TTAAACGCTTCAAAGTGATAGCCATAGTTCAAGATGAGAAGATTTGAGAGTCTATAGAGAAACAAAGAAAAAGGGCCTAGTCCAGTACACAAGGTTCTCGTCATTGCGAATTCTGGAGAGGGTCAGATATACGCAATCTTGCTTCTACATGTTGTTTCCTTAATTCGAACCTATGACATTTACATCACAGTAGGGAACCTTAGTAGATGAAGATGGTATTGAAGAAGAAGAAGAAGAAGAAAAGAATATAGTATTCGAACACTTCAAAGTGATAGCCATAGTTCAAGATGAGAAGATTGAGAGTCTATAGAGAAAATGAGAAAAAGGCTTAGTCCAATGCACGAGGTTCTCGTCATTGCAGATTCTGAAGAGAGTCAAATATACGCAATTTTGCTTTCACAAGCAAAGAAGTTGTTTTCTTAATTCGAACTTGTGACCTCTACATCACAATAGAGCAACCTTATTGTTGCGCCAAGGTTCACCCTCTTATAGAGCACCAGAGATGATGGTGGAAAATTTGTTCATGAAAATATTCACCTAGATAGAAAAGTAACTTATCACTGTGCCATCATCTTTTAAATTAAAAAAAAAAAAGTTATTATGAAAATTTATTCCGAGTCTACATGTATTATCACTACAAATTTCATAAAATTTATGGTCTAGATTTTAATGTTTTCAAGGTTGATCAATGATAAAATATAATCTTTTAATTCTTCCCGGAGCAGCTACAAAAAAGGTTGGTACAGTTAGCCACTGTATTCAACGCTTGGAAGAAGCTAAAAGAAAGCAAAGCCTAGTAAGAGTCATGAAAAAGCCCAGCAAAGGCTATCAATATGACAGCGAAAAGGATATATACTGTTGTTAAATTAAAATCCTAAAGAAATTCAAAAGCATATTGCACTGCCACCATCTCTCGAATAATTAAAAGTAAATTCATATAGTACCATATATTATATATATATATATATATATATATATATATATATATATTCTTGTCCATAATAGCAGTACTAAACTCCAACAATTTTAATCAACAACCAAGCTAAAAAACACACTATGCGAAATCTATACATGTATAGAAATACTGTATATGTTTAGCATTGTTTTGTTTTTTGGTAAAAAGTAAGAATTTGATTAGACATAAAATTACAGAGCTAAAGAGGGCATGTTTAGCCTTGTTTTGTAAACTGTCTTCTTATTGCTGTCAATCAATGTCCTCCTAATTCTAGTATTGAAGTCACATTTAACCAACCCCTTGATCCACCAAGATCCAAAAAAAAAAAAATGTAGATATATTACGTATATCTTATATCTGACCCACCCTTTGTACAAATGTGTGTGTGTGTATATATATATAGTTTTACTTTGTACGTGAAAATGAGCCAATATTAAACGTATAACTGCACGTTGGTGTTCTTTTTGTAAAGCAGTAGGCTTTTTTTTATTTTAATTTTTAATCTATAAGATTTGATGCTTTGACTTTTGGACTAGCGCAGGCAAACTTCTCTTTTTGGATTTAAAGGTAAGTCACCCCCACTCACATGGTTTGTTTCTTGACTTATCACAAATCCAACTCTGTAAGATAACTATCTTAGGGTTTATATATCAAAAAGATTCCCCGAAATTTAGAGGGACCCAACTACTCAATTCGATGATTAGGGTTTGTTGGTCTAACTTTTTTTCTCATTATATATATATATGTATATACATACATATATATATATATATAATGTAGTAACCCCCCATAGTAGCTCTCTTTAGATCCTTCCTTGCAAAGCATATGTCAATTCCATTCAAGCTTTTTGGTTGTAAATAAATCACTTTTTTATCTTTATTCTTTCCAGTATGTGACATGTTACCAATTTGAAATCCTTTTTCACCCTACTTTTTGTTTTTTTTTTGTTCCAAAAACGCTCCAACACCAACAAGGGCATGGGACTTCCATGCTACTTGGTTTAGATTTGAGACACGTGGAGTGAGAACGTGGAAAGGGACGCGTGTCGAGCGCTGGGACATGAGTGTGTGGGAGATTATGGTGCACCGGGTGGTGGTTGTAAGCGCATACTTTTTGGGTGTTTGTCTTTCATATGAGATGATCCACTAGCATTGGTGAAGTTGATGGAGGCACATGGAGACTAAAAAGGTCATCTTCCCAGAAAAGGGTACACATTACAACCAAAAAGAAAAAGAGAAAGGAGATGAAAAGAAGAGAGAAAAATAAAAAGAAAATAAAGGGAGAAAAAGGAGAACAACCCATGCTCCCTGTCCCAATAGGTAAATGTACTTTCAACCCATATTTTTTAGTTTTCCTCAATGGAGAAGAATGAAGGAATCATGAGTGAGAGAAAGAAGAGAGAGACTCAAAAGCAACAACATTTTCAAGCACAAACCAAAACTACATCAACAACCAAACATTACACACACACACACACACACACTAAGGCCCTAACCTTTTTAGGCTGAAACCCACCATTGTGCTAATAGGGTAAAGGGCAAATTCAATGCATGAGGCTCTCATCATTGGAGGGTCGTATATAAGGTTCCACTATTGTAACGTTTAAGAATGATTAGATATATGCACTCTTAACGTCACTCGCCAATAGACAATTTTTTTAAGATTAATCTGGGGTATGGAATATTTGAGACTTTGCCCCGACTAATTCCTAAAGACACATGAAGAGCAAATCAAATGCATGAGACTCTCATCATTGGAGGGTTGCACGTGAGGCTCCTATTATTGTAAGGTCTGAGAAGGATTAAATGTACGCACTCTTAACTTCACATGCAAAGAGGCCATTGTTTTTTTAGATTAGCTTGGCGTATGAGGTATCCGGGGCTTTGCCCCAACTAATTCCCAAAGATCTATGAAAGGTGCCTCCCCATCCTGAGTCGGGTAAATCGTGAAGTATAGCTACAGAGGCGTAACCCCAAGGAATTATTTAAAGTCAATGGGAGTTAAACCTTAAACCTAATGTTTTATGATGTACTAGAGCCAAGTGACCTTCCCACTGAGTCAATCCTTGGGGTTAAGCAACCTTACCATTTCACTGAGTTCCCCCTCTATCGTGCTAGCTAATTGTAACGAGTGAAGACTTACCTATCTATCTAAAAGCTTAAATGGGCAAGCGTCCACCTATTACAGTTAGTATCAGAACCAAATTCAGTTCTTGATCCGGTATCACTCCAAGCGTCCGGTCCGGAGGCGTCTGGGTGAGCCCACCCTAGTAGGCAAGTGGTCCAACCGCAACGAAAACGTTGCGAGTTTGGGTGGGAGGGGTACTTGTCTCATATCAGATCCGAATAAAAAGTAAAATTGATATAAATTGGTGAATATGCAACACTATCTAATGACTTAAATTTTTAAATAACTGGACAAACACCTAACTGTTAAACTAACTAACATAAGTAAAAAGAAGTCAAAAATTCTCAAATTCTCAATACCATGGTAAAGCACTTTCATTTTGCCCATCACCAACCAATTATATCATGTTGTGAGCAAGTCCACCTAATACTAGTAAAAAATTACATGACACTTAATTCATGCACTTTTTTTTTTTTTAATGTTTGTCATATTTTTCCCATATACTGTGCTGCTACATCTTATACGAATTACACAATTGTGCGATACATTTAATATGAATCACGCAACTGGTCGTATGTTCATTGACAATAGTGTGTACTCAAGCCCGAATTTTGAAATTTTAGTCCAACCCACAAATCTTGAACCCAATTTCAATTAGCCCAACCCACAAATCTTGGTCTAGCATAGTAGTGTATTGTGGCGCTGGCCCAGATTCTTTAGAAAATATCCTGATTATTTTCCAGCCCATGTATGATATAGTAGTAGTAAATAATAGTTTTGTAATTTTATTATATCCCTCAAAGTTTTGGCTCAATAATGAAGTCAGAGACAAAAAAAAAAAAGAAAAAAAAAGAAAAAAAAAAAGAGTTTTAACATACCGAGGAGGGTGCAATAATACAGGATATTTATAGACGGCGGACCAATAATAAGATTTCATTTAGCTCTTTATAATAATAATAATAGGATATTTATAGACGTGGAACTATAATGTATCATAATTGAAGTAATCATCCTTATCAAAATAATATATAGATTGACAGATTGATATTTGATTATTTGTGCTTTGATTTTGTGTTCCCCACCTCTTTGATTCCGATTGTGAGAGGTTTTGATTTTTTCTGTTTTGGCTCCTTTTCCTTATCTCTTGGCCTCCCCACTCCACCTGTGTGTTCTTTTAGCTTTGTTTTTAGTGATTCAGATTTTTGTTAGGGAACATGTTAGTCTTCATTATTACATAACAAATATGTCTTACCTACACACAAAACACACACACACATATGACGTATCATAAATTTGAATTGAGAACTTTTTCATACCAACAATGATGGGTGTACTAAGGTAAAGAAGACGCATCAAAATGTCTTTGCATATGTCCCATTAAGGAAAAAAAATTATAAAAAAAATAAAGCACACACCTTGCATATTTCAAAGGAATTATTAAAGAATAATATTTGAATGGTAAGGACTAAATAAATGACTGAAGATCAAAACCTAAATGTACAAGAAGGATAATAATGAAGATGAAATGTAAGCATTAATGGATGGATGAGAAGAAAGCTTGACTTTACAAAACAAGCATGAATAAACCTTTATATGCTATGATTATTATTAGTAAACCATATTAGTGCTTTATAAAGATTGGTTGTTAGCTAAGCTAAGCCAAGCCTTTATTTTTTTTATTTTTTTTGGTAAGTTAAGCTAAGCCTTTTCCAATTAAACTAGTCCTAACCGCTCAAATTAAAGGTAAGGTTATGTCTAAGAATGGATTGATTATTCCTGCTTGGTTTAGGCAAGTAAGTGCTAAAATGCCTTATAACACTCCCATTGTTGGCTTAAAGTGAAGCGTGGTCCTCCCTTTTTTCTTTTTCTTTTTTCTCTGCTAAGAGTCCACGAAGACGGGAAAGACATTATTCATATATTTGTACACCAACAATCCTCCAATATTATTCTAAAAACAAGATTAGTAACTTGTACAATTCATTATATGGTCATCAGCCTCTCTTAATTTTAACAATATATACAATATTGACAAAAAGGATTTTCACAGAACCCTAAAACTATTCTACTCACTGTTGCAGCTCAAGAATCAAATGAAGCTCTCAATTCAATAGTGGAAGAGGTTTAGAATCCGACCTTCAAAGACTAATTTCCTCCGTTGAAGTCAGATGGTAACCTATATGTGCGAGTGATACGAATCTGAAGCAAAAAAGAACTAATTCAGTAGCAGAAAAAGAAAACAATATATCTACAAGCATATAAGGATTTTGATTTGGAACTAGTCCTAACCACATCTAAAAAATGACAATATGTATTGTGGTGCATCCAGTTGCATAGAATTGGGGCTTTAGAATTGGAACCAGAGATCCTAATTTCAATATGTTGTTTGGTGTTTATAGAATTAGGTATGGAATTGGAATTCAATTTGAAACGCACACGTCCCAATTCCTAAGGCAGATGTTTTAATTTTAAACCCACTTAGAACTCAAATAATAATAAGTTTTACATGCATAAAATTATTTGAACACAAAATGAAATACATATATAGTGCTAAGGTATACGTTCATACATACATATACATATACACATATAGGATCTTTGATGGGTAAAAGTAACTAGTACTCCTTGATGGGTAAAAGTGAAACAATTTAATTGACGGGTGTTCTTTGACAAAATGAATCTTGTTTGTATCTGTATTAAGAATTAGGATCTTTATTTATTTATATGGTGTTAGACATTAAGTTGGTCAACAGCTCTGAAAGAAGAGAACAAAAAAATTTATTGTGTAAATGTACTTGTATGCGTGTGCGAGCTGCATCTGTATATAAGAGGTAGGGGTGTGTGTGTGTGTGTTGGATTAGTAATAAACTTTTGATTTTCAATTTCAAATGAACAGTTTCTTCAAATAAGAAAGTTGGGTTTAGGATTTAATTCCAAATGAATTCCAAACTTGATCCATGAATTGCAATTCTACATATTTGGAATTCCAAATCAGTCCCAATTCTGCACAACCAAACACACCCCAAGTTAATAACTGAATTAAAACTTATATAAGGTCTAGTCACCCTGCATTGAAATTGAAGTCAGGGTTAGACAAGAGTAGATCTATCAGGATACACCTAGATCACACTGGAAACCACACAGCTGGACCCATGGCCCAAAATTGAGGATCATATGTCCAACAATGTGAGGGCTTACAGCTACATCATCCTCAATTATTATCAGATCAGTGTAGGCTCTATACCTCTACTAGAACCAAACCTCAACTCGCACATGCTGACAAATCTAAGAGCATATAACTATATAAGTATGACGATAATTGATTACCTGTGCAAATGCATAAATTGCTCGCAGGATTCTAGCATAATCGGTTCCAAGCATTTGAATGACAACATCTGCCAGAAATGTACCCCATAGCCTGCAGGAGCCAACCAGTAGGCTGTCAGCGCCTTTCTTGTTTTTCTTCCATGATATTGAATAAAAAATTAATGTATGTTTTTGGTTTTTGAAACATTAGGCTCAAGTAACTAAACTCAAAAGGATAACAAAAGGTGCAAGAAAACACTAAAATTATATCTTCAAATTGGCTATTGCATACCTATTGTGAACTAGATAAGGATAAAGTTTAGTAAATGATGTCAAATGAGCATCTTCACACAAAAATCATACATAAATTAAATACAAAGGGCAATTGATGCTAGTTCAGGTCCAATGCCATTATATCCAATTGAGTATCAAACCACATTAGATTTTCAACAAACAAAACGTCAAGCATCACAATGAAGACCAAAGTTGTCACTGGTGATGCAGACATGATGAAAGAGTAATACCATATTAGTCCAAGGCTATCATGGTGAAGCCAATAAGAACACAGCTTGAGGCGGAGAACAAGTCAATATGGATTCCGTTTTAAGCAGTGTGCATGGCATTAAAAAGATTTCAGCAGAGTAAAAGGACTCTTCGGTGGTTAAAAGTCTAGTACATCCTCCAGTCATCCCTATGATGAAAAAATAGGTCAAACACGAGAAGGACAACAGGGTTGACCCATGATTTGAATTATTATTATTATTATTATTATTATTATTATTTATTATTTTTTTTTTTTTTGAGGGGGAAGTGGGGTGGGGTTTACCAGAAAAAAATGCTGAAGTAAGATTTGACATGATCTAGAATGCATGTTCACTAAAGTCATTTATGTTACATTCAGCCATGTGTACTTGTGCAAGCGTTTGTGCCATCTCTGACAATTAATAATAGGAAACTAAATCATAAAATTTGTAGAATTATTAAGTATTAATTTTTTTCCAATTATGATTAGCCAAAAACACTTTTAACTTCTTACAAGACATAAATGAATAAAATATTACGTATCTTCTCCACAAAATTTCTAACATTTTCATATTCACTAACTCTAGCAAATTCAAAGGCAAAAAACAAAAGAAAGAAAAATCAACATTATCTAGTAATCAACTAGGCAACTCATATTATGTGTTTGATTAGTAGAATTTTTTGTGTCTTTTCACATTATTGTATATTTACATTTCAATAATTGATATGTAATTAAATTTTATTAGGTAATAAAAAGAAATTACACTGTTGAACCAATTTGGTTCCCCCAAAAATCATCAATTATTAGAATTACTAAAGATCACTTATTAATTATTCGAGGATCAAATGTATCTACACAGACAACCATGCACAAGAGACATTATCATGTGTTGGTGCCATTGGTGCAAAGTGTTAGGATGGATGGAATGGTACAAACATAATCCCCAACTTTATATGCACGCAAATATCAGCTCCCATTACAGCACACGAGCATATCATTCATAGAATTTTCAAATGCACCATTCAGTGCTTTTTGTCCCAAAATCCTAGTTCCATAATCGAACTGTTTCCCAACCATCTAAGCCTTAGTACTCAAATTGATAATTAGTTGTGCTCTATAGATCCAATAACTATCACCTTCAAATCAAAAATCCTATTTTAATTATTTTTATCTGTAAAATCTGCAAGCTTTCTTCAGCGTTTTCAAATGCCGACTCAACAAGCTTTCCAGAACCATAGACCCTGATAAGAATTGAACCCCTAACCTACACCAAATCCCATTTAGATATTATGCCTACAATTTTACTACTGTGCTATAACATCTTTAGCAGCTTAACCTAACCTTAATCCACCATAAAAATAAATAAATAAATAAGAAACATTTTTTTAAAAAATATTTAAGTACTTTCCTGCATCATGGTATGGTGGTGTCATACCACCACCGCAAATCATATTACATCAGTTTATAGGTCAACTTGTAAAGCCACACCATAACTAAAAACAGCCTCCATCATCCACATTAAGTCCAAAAGTTCAAAGAACTATGTTGAAAGCACTAAAAGGGGAGAAGAATTTAGAAGGTTCCAATTTCCAACAACGGATTCTAGAAGCTTTATATCCTACTATAGTCCAGCACTAACTTTTGTTAGGTAAGTTACTATATACCAAGGTCTGTGGCCTGGTGGTTACCTAGTTGTAACCCCTCTCCTTTCAAAGTGAAAGGCAGCGGGTCGAGTCTCTCCAAGAGCATTGTGGGAGTTCTTTGTCAAGACAATGAAAAAAAAGAGTTACAAACACATTAATTATTGTCCCTGTGAGAACAATTTGTTCAGCACATGGATTTGCATCATTATGATATCCTCTTCGTTAAAAAAGAATCCTCTTTGTTAACAAGAACTTCACCTAGTTTTTAATATGTAGAGTCTAGAGAAAATAGCCGATATGATGCATTGACAAACTAAAAGACAGGGAAGGCATGAGAAAACAAAAAATTAACTTCAGGACACAGAAATTTATCACAATAATAGCAGCACAGAAGAGCCAATACATCGGGCCAAGTAACACCATCATGCTCCTAAGCCCCAGATATCGTGATGCAGCACCTGCAGCACCCTGTTCATAATGAAAAGCATAAGAAATCTGAGTATAAAAAATGCAATCAGACATCTAAAAAAATTGTCTCTACAGTTCTGTTATTATTATTATTTATTTATTTTGGAAATTAATTGCCTCTGAAGTATGTAACCAAAAATATGCACGTATTATGCTACGGTTAGATTTCCTCTTGTGGAGCTGCTAAAATAATATTATAATGATCACTGAAATACAAAAAAAATTTACAACATTAGAACAAGTTCTTGTTAACAATATCAGCAAAAATTGATAAAAACTTACAACCATCCATTAGCTTGTAGCCTTGTATTATTAATATATGGTTAACCATAGACCTTTTGTTCGTTTTATCTTTTCTGGTCAAGCCATAGAACTTCGTATTCTATGTACTAACAAAATCCTTCAGGAACTCCTATTAAAAAATAAGAAATAACAAAGAGAGGGAGGGAGGAAAAATCCTTCGCAAACAATTAAGTCGTAATGAATTTATATTATAGTTTGTCTAGAACTATTAAGAGATCCACAAACTTTCAGGGTTTCAGAAAATTCTAATAATCGCATTATGAAGAATGCTGCCCGAATCCATTACTTGTTGCATGTACTTGACACAAACAAATGAGAAAAGAAAAAATAAATAAATCTCATGTGTGCTGCAGAACCCTAATCAATCCATTGCATAGAATGTGGATATTTATGTAGTAAAAAAAAAATTGCATTTGAATATAGTTTAGGACCATGATAAATAGAATAGTGGTTGAACACCCACTTAACTTTACCAGAACATGACTCTCATCTATACTTCAAATAGCTACAATGTCAATCACATACCTTTTTGATAACTTCATTCTTTATCCGATAGTTAGCAGCTTCTAAGACCATCTTTCCGGACAATCTCCTTGCAAACTACCACAGCAAGGAAACAAGCTTATAATTGCAATTAAGGAACCAAACTATAGTAAAATCGTGTGGATCATTCTCTTACCAACTGATATATTTTCCCTAGTGTAAGTATCCCACCACCCTAGAATACACAGATCCAGTTAAACGGAGACCAAAAGAAGTTAAACAAGAGAGAGTCACAAAAAATCATAAACTAAACCAAATCATTATAGCGTGCGTGGCCATACCTTCAAAATAATTGAACGGAACTCCTCAGCAACAGATTGTACCTTTGACTGACTAAGTCCAAATTCTAAGCTACTATGATTGCTAGAAGTCTTGTAGCTTTCCCGAGACTTCGGGAAGGTTCCTGATTCTTCCCTACATGAGGCAATAACATGCGCTGAATCATAAAGAGGTTATACATAACAAAATTGCTGATAAGCATTTTTAGGAAGTGATAGCGAAGCTAGCACATTAAAATATCACAGTAGCTGGGGAAAACAAAGATTAACTCTGGCATTCACAAAAGAGGGAAAGTGACAAAAGAAGAGGTTCACAATATAATAGCACGTTCTAAACAGTTATTTGCAAATTATTAGGATATTGGCTGAGTTTTGAAAATGCCAAAATGTAATGACCAATGCATCTCACTGTCAGCTAGAAGCAAGTTGGTATGACCAGTACCATGCCATGATGCCAAATATCAGTTTCTATGCAAAATTGAGACACTATAACTTATTCAGTTAAAAGGAATAAGAAGAAAATAATAATAATAGAAGGTCACAGCCCCCATCTCTTTCATTCTTCTCCCTTTCTAGTCAAAACACTCTCAAATTCCAAACAAGTGTCCGATTCTTTATCTTTCAATATATGTTTTTCATTTATGAAAAATAATGTTTTGTTATTAGAACAAGGAAGCAAAAGAGAAAGGATAAATCCAATGTATACCCATTAGAACAAACACATGAGTGGCTACAGTTTATGTAATTAAATTGGCAGCCAATTAGTATATCGATGCATTAAAATTAAAATCACTACAGTTTTATGTGTGATTTAGATTGGGATACAATAATAAGGAGAACCGATGATCCAAAAGAACTAATTCTGATGAAACTAGTCATCGTGTGCCTATTATGCAGTGTGATCTAGTTATTGCCTGTATATATTGCATATTCAAAGCTCGGGGACCAATTTAGAACAATTACATCAATATGAAATGCATAACATAGTTCTCTGATTCTACTGGAATGACTTTGGTTTGATTACTTAAACTACTCAAACCTAAATCTTTTAACATGTGACATGCAATTACAAGATCAATTTTGACAAGCCTATGTTGTAGAAACCTAAATCAACCAAAATGTCAACCTATATAAGTCAAGATAAGGCATAAATAAATGAACACTTTTTAAAACTTTTAGTAGTCAGCTCCAAGAATTCTTTTACAAGAAGTCATCATATGTGGGATCACATATCGTGTTGGAACATTAGGCATCATATCTTTTATCACAATCTCACTTGCAGTCCTTTGAATGACTCACTGTCATTTTATTCTAATTTGGCTGATACTACAGTCTGTTATTTTATCTAATGAACATCCCTGTCTCAATTCTGCCCATGCTATTAACATGTTCATTGGCCTGCTATAATTCTGAATGAAAATCTTTGGGCAACTTCACTTATCAAAAAAAAAAGAGAGAGAGAAAGAAATAAAGAAAAACAAGGCCACTTACGGTTCAAGCTCTCCGTCATTAAAAATCACCAGAACAAACACTTGAAACAAATATCATGATAAAAATAAATTAGACCCGATGACGAAAAGTACCTTGAGTTGTCCTGCAACAGATGAAGAAAAATCTCTACTTCTAAGTCTTCCGTTGATAATTTGCTTGAACAGGGAATGTTTAATTTTTTCCTCACACCAAGCAAGACATTTCTATATGATGGCCTCCAACCCCTATCAAGAATACCAAATGTATCTAGTTTACTAAGAAAAAAAAATTCAGAATAAAATTCCACAAACAATCACCAAAATTTTCAACAATTAATTTAAAATAAACTTGAAAATTAACTTTAGATTCGTATTTATGTACAAATTCACCCAAGAAAAATACAAGTTGGCATTGACTAAACTAAATTTGGTAGTTAGTCATTAAATAGCCCAAAACTAGCCTATCATTAGCTTGGTAATTCAATAACCTTAATGTAGAGCGGGCATCAGCTGCGAGGAACAGGAATCGTGATTCAAGAATTGCAATGAAATCATCTCGCTCTTCAGGGTCTTCTTTGATCATGTGGTAGTCAACATCTGCTTGTTGTTGTGTTATCGACTTTAACAAAGGACTGAAGTAACTGAAATTGGTAAATAATGTCATTATAAGATGATATGAAACAACATTATTGGTATATTCTGACGGAAAACAATACAAATATACACACATATCAACCTTGGACCAAAAAGGATTCTTTCAAGCTCATACAACTCGGAGTCTGTTGCAAGTTGAAGCACTGACCGAAGCTCAGGATCAAAAGTACCTGTAAACTTTATTTGTAAAGCTCTATGGGATTATCTTATTTGCATTGAAATGTTAAAATTTTAATTCGCAATAACCAACTAGGCTAATACACAATTTGACTTGATTAAGGGTTATTTTTTTTATTTTTATTTTTTTTAACCTGATTTCAAGTAAACAGACATAACAGAAAATCGTTAAGAGACTCAAAACTTGTGTTTTCTTTCCTTTTCCTCCACTATCTTGGCAAACAAACGGAGGGGAAATTAAACCCAAAAGCCGAAAGTAGAAGAAATGTGTGAGAGATAAGGAACGGTAAAGAATGCAATAACCTTGTGCTTGTGCTGAAATGGCGGCCTGAGGACAACCCAGAAGCCCAAGACCACTATAACGCCAAGGTGACCTTAAAATCTGCAATATTTTAAGCATTGTTTCTTTAGATTGAGACAATATATTCCATGAAAATAAGAAGAAAGAAAGAGGTTAGTGAATAGTACTGGGTGGTAGATGAATTTGGGGGTTGGGGGAGCCAGGGAGTAGAGGGGACGGTGATGATGATGATGGAATTGAAGGGCGCATAGGGGCGGTGCTGTAGCAGCGGCCATCTTCAAACCTGGAACTGGAAGTGAGAGTGAGCCTGCGACTCACTAGAGTCCACAACGCCAACAATAGGCCCAGGATGAATCCGCATTATTAGCGAAAAATATATTTCTGCTACGTGAGTTATGTAAAATATAGTAATTTGTTTTATGGACTGAAAGAAATATGCATTATTATTTTTTTTTTTTATAAGTAAGATTTTATTAAAAACGCTAAAAAAGGGAGCGAAACGCAAATAAACAAAAGAACACAATGCCAGAGGGCGCCTTAAACCTTCTGAGAGGCCAAAAACACAATAATTTCCTGAAATATGCATTATTAAAAGTGTAAAGTGCAAAAATAAATAAATAAATAAAATCTGTTGTGTAAAAATTTGGGAAAAAAAAAAAACTATGTGCATGTAAATTAATAACATTTGAAAATATGTAAAAATTATCTCTTACTATCAATTTTGATCAAAAAATTGATTTATTAAAACTCAAAAATACCATTAATAATTAATAATTATTTATTTTATTTTATTATTTTTTACTTAAGGGGATCTTAGGCATTTTAGTCTTCAAATTGATAAAATAAAATAAAATGCTCTTATTTACTTAATATAGATTTTTTTTTTTTTTTAATACCGGTGATTTATTTTTTGCACTTTACCCTTACTAAAGTGTGGGAAAAATCATAGATATTTATATAATGAAAATCTATATTAAATCATAGATATTTAAAGTTTTATAATTTTGAATCTTATTGTAAAATTATAAAAAAAAAAAATTCATGTGACTTTCTATTGTTTAATGTATTTAAAATAACAAAACACCAAAATCAATATCAAACCACATGTCAAACGGGTCTAAAAGTACAAAATAATTGATGAATTGGCTAAAACTGAATAAAATTGTTAATAATCGCTGATCAATCATATGGCGGTGAATTCGTCCCGGCCTTGTCTATATTTTATATAAACATTAGTTCCATTGTTACTTAACTTACAAAATTTTAACATGTCATATAAGTTAAATATAAGAAAAGGCAAGGGGTGAGATTGTAAACTATGTCATTACAAAATGGAAAAATGTTACTTGAAAAAACTTTTAAATGAAGTATTATAAAAACTTATTTTGAAATTAATTCATAATGCAATTTGACAAATCAATCAAGAAATAAGCTATCACTAGGATATTCACATTGTTAGCATTCATACTTATTCATTGAATATATACTCCTGGAGTATTTTGAATTGTAGCATTAACGATGCAGGTTTATGGCGAGAACAACCTTAAAAATTTATAATAATATTATAAAGTATTCCATTAAAATGAATAAGATAAAAACATGAATCGGGTGAGGATTATATTTAAAATAAATGAAATATATATATATATATATATATATATATATATATATCGCTTTTATTCAAAAATAAGTTTGACTGGAGCTATCAAAAGATAAGATTGGGAGGAATTTATTTCATTCTAAGAAAAAAAATGGGATGTTGGTGGAATAGGTTAAGCCAGCTTTAACACTCTATACACAACTATATGCATTATTATATTTGTATATTTGTATCATTTTCAGATCAATGATGAAATTGTTGCACGCTGATTTAGTTCACAAATAAATATATCATTTTGATTTTAGTTTTACTTAAAACTTACAACAAGGCAAAAAGCATAAACAAATAATAAATTTTTCCTTTAAAATTTTATCTAAGTAATTTCAAAATGGATAAAAATAGCTCGGAGTATTGTATTAATATCATACTTCTATATTTATCTACTATGGTTGCACTTTTTACAATATGGTCATTTAATGGTAAATGACTATGAGATGTTGACCAATATAAAAGATAAAAACACATACAATAATTTTTATTTCAATAAGTTGGTTACATACTCTTTCTCATCTCACAAATTCAAATCACTTACTCCACTTGCAATTATTTATCACTACTATTTTTTCTTCTCAACACCACATCTATTTATAGAGTTTTCATACCCGATTCCTTATTAGACAGCAATTATTCACTTACTTACAACGAGTTACTATACAAGTTTTCAACTTTCACGTCTAACTTATTAAAGAAATAATTGAACTAGTTCCAAATATTTCTAAACTTATTCACTTATCCTATAACACTACTTGCACATCGAATTCGAGTTACAAAACCTTACACACATGGAGAGTGTTCAACATTTTTTACTTTGACCTCCCATAAGATTTCACCTCTAAAATTTTATAAAATGACAAATTGCTCATCACTTGTATAAAAAGACAATAATAATTTTATATTTTATAACAAAATAACAAAATAAATATAAATATATAATTGACTTTTTAAACTCTCAGTAATTTATTTTATTTTATTTTTTTTGGTCTAAATAATAATGTTAAAATATATAGGTTTGTTTAAAACTCATAAAAGGTTAGTGCAATTTATTCTAATTTAAATTCAACAACCCCAACCTCACATTATTTAATATCCTTCAATGTTATGAAGCTTTATTGTATTAAGCAATGAGACGCATTTATTAAAGTGTTACCTCTCAGTAGTTAAAATTATCATCATAATTTAATCCTTAAAAGAAAAGGAAAGAAAAAAGAAAATAACAAAAGATGAGTGAAAATGGCCACAAAAAAAAAAAAAAAAAAAAAAAGGAAAAGAAAAAGAAAAGAAAAAATTTGGTGACATAATGGCATCCGACTTATTTCTCATTCTAAATGTAGCAGGATAGTGGAATATACGGATGGTGGACTTATTTATATCCTAGTATCTTTTACTAGTACTTGTTAATTAATCCATAAGAATAGTTAAAAACAGAAAAAGAGAAAAGGAAAATAAAGTTCAAACATAATCCGCCGTTGGATGAGACTACCATCATCAGTTGTGGATCACAATGAGAAATCCAACGGTAATAATCCAAGGAATACAACCACCTGTTAACTATTCTATCACAGTTTGTTTTCATAATTCTCAATTTTTTTTAATTGTTTAATAATTATTTTCTTTGGCTCCAATGCCATGCTAGGCCTGAGAATTGCAGGCCGAAGGAAAGAGAAGCCAAACCAAACCAAACACAAACCAAACAAACTCATAACCAAGAAGGTGAAAATCAAGACAACCAAACCCTCATTTTTTATTGTATTGCGTTCGTAGTCTGAAGTGGTTTGAGACATTGTCACTAAAATCAATGTTTGGAGACATTGTTGGTTTGTGCTGGCGATGGAATCCGAATCAATAGCCGACGAGACTCCTCCCTGTTTGGCATCAGAGAAATCTTTCTGTACCCTCCTCGATTTTCGCACTCCACATACATCTCCATCGATCTGTAAGATTTCTGATCAAATTTATTGTCTGAGTTTTAAATTTCTAGGGTTTTGCTTATTCTTTGTAGATCTTTGAAATCTAATGGATTTGTGTTGCTGCTTGTGTTTATTGCTCGGAAAATTTTCTAGGGTTTTCCGTCTGTTACCTAGAAAATGTCTGAAAAAGAGAATTGAAGTACGATATTGGATTTTATTATTATTATTCCAAAATATCACTCACCGTCGCTCCACACAGCTTGAAGTTTAGCTTTTTAAAATCTGGAATCCAAATCTCTAGGCTATTCGGTGAGGCTCGCTTCTTTTGATTTTTTGATTTTGATTTTTTTGATTTTCTCCCATTTTCTGGACAAACAACTTATAGTAGGGAAATAGTGACAGTTTAGTGGACCAATTGTACCATCTATTTTGCAATGTAAGCAAAAATATATATTGATTGATTAGTAGGGGTTTGTGGCTTCTTCAACAATGAGTTGATTTTATCCTATTTATTTATGGTTCTGTTACTGTAACATACAATTTGAAATTGAGTTGGGTTTGTAATACAGTTAGCTTATTATTGGTTCATTTCAGATTTGCTGGACTTTTCCTAGTACCTGCTCAAAGGCTTCTAACAGTTCACTATGACAGACTCTAGCTCGGTTGACCACATCCTAGACTTTCTGCGAAGGAACAAGTTTACGAAGGCTGAGGCTGTTTTGCGCAGTGAGCTCAGTGACCGCCCTGATATAAACGAATCCCTTCGAAAACTTGCCCTTGAAGAAGAGGACTCGGTTAAGTTGTTGGGAGAAGAGAATGGTGACAAACCAGCTGCGGAAAACCAAGGAAAAAGTTCTCGAAGCGGTAGTGAAGTTTCGAAGGAACTTATTGTTAAAGAGATAGAATGTAAGACTGAGAGAAATGGGTCCGAGACCAAATGGAAAAATGTTGCCTCTGTTGGGGACAGAATTAAACCTAATGAATTTGATGGTACGAGTGAGAAGAACTTTGTATTTTCTAAAGGTTTAGAGGATACTGTGATTGATTTGTATTCATGGAAGTTCAATCCCAGCAATGGTTCGGTTAATCCTTACCCGAATGATGGTGACACTAACATAAACAATTTTTCAGAGTTTCAGGTTTCTGGAAAATCAAGGATTCTTCCAGCTGAGGTTTCTGATATGGGTAAAGTCAATGCAAAATCTGGAGAAGAAATAAAATTTTCTGGTGAAAGGAGAACATCATGGCTTGGAAGTACTCTCAAAGTCAATCTGGAACAAAAGCGTGAGAGAATTGAAATTAGTGAGCTTAAGGAACTTGATCAGCAACATAAGACCAGTGGTGCATGTTCTAAAGATGATTTTGTGGATAACCCGTGGTCAAGAAGCGATGAACCTGCACATCCATCAGCAGACCCATGGAAAGATTGTTCGGTCAAAACCGTCTTCCCATTTTCCGAAGGAGATGCATCAACTAGTTATGACCTTGCCCTTGGTACTGGTAACAAGAAAGAAGGAAAGAAGAAAGCTGAGATCAGTGACATAAGGTCTGCAATCAAAGAGCAAGTGGATCAGGTTGGAAGAGCTTTGTACTTTGGGAAGACTCAAGGAAGTTATGAGCAAAAGACTATCAGCAGCTTAGGATTTACAGTTGCATCTGAGAATCAGAAAGAAGAGTTACCTAGGTTGCCACCTGTTAAACTCAAGTCGGATGACAAGCCATTGAATATTAATTGGGAGGAAACTTTTGAGCGTGATGGACCTGGTTCAAAGCTCACCATTGCTGACAACACATTCCTTATGGGGTCATTTCTAGATGTTCCTGTCGGACAAGAAGTTAACTCTGCAGGTTTACTCGCATGATAAATATTATCAGCCATAATTATTGCTTACTTAGAGGTCCTCGAACTGCATTCTAACCTAGCAACAGCAGTTGTCTTTTGGTTACACGGGCTTCTTGATTCTAGTCATAACATATTAGGTTTTAGTAATTGCGATATGATTTTTTTTACCTCTGAGTTGTTATGCTTCCTGATAGCTTGTGTTGCAGTTTGTAGTATAACTGTATAAACAAATCACTTAAAATTTCATCTTTACTTGCTCGTGCTTGCTTCTTGTTTTACTTCTTTTATGTTGCAGTTTTGTCTTGCCGGACAATTGATATTTCTACGAGTGTGAGGTATCATCATATGTTAAAATCTGTGGAAGATGTTATGAATGCTGAATCTCACACCAGTCTAAGTTTCCTGATAGCTCATAGTGCAACTTGAAGTATAAGCATATCCCGCATTTTTTATTTTCTATTTTAATTGTTTACTCATTTCTGCATTCTTATTGTGTGCATCTATTGTGCTACATAACAAATTATAACCACAAAGCTTAAGTGTCAGTTGGTAAATACATGTTTTTTAATCAGTATTGGTGCTTGGCTACTTAAAATGGTGGGATTTCATACAATATATGATGTTTGTTATCAATAAAAAAAACCAAAAGAATAAATAGATAAATAAAGTTGCAGGTTTGTGATTGATTTTTGAATCAAAATCATTCTAGATTATTTCTGTTTGGGACGAGTTGGGTTCCATCCGGAAGGGTTACATGTTCTTTTAAAGTCGATGATTGGGTGCTAGAGTTTATAATAAACCTTTTTCAGATTTCCTGTCCTCAGTAGTTTTTTATTTTATTTTATTATTTTTATTTATTGTAATTTTTGCATCCTTCCTTATTTGAAGAAATAAGTATTGATTCATGAAATGATGATCCAGGTGGAAAAAGGCTTGGAGGAGGCAGTTGGCTATCTGTAAGTCAGGGCATTGCGGAGGATGCTTCGGATCTTGTTTCTGGGTTTGCAACTATTGGTGATGGATTGAGCGAATCTGTTGACTATGCAAATGAGTATTGGGACTCTGATGAATATGAGGATGACGATGATGTTGGCTACATGAGACAACCTATTGAAGATGAGACCTGGTTTCTGGCTCATGAAATTGATTACCCAAGTGACAATGAAAAAGGAATGGGACATGGGAGTGTTCCCGACCCTCTAGAAAGAGGTCCAACTAAAGATGAGGATGATGATCAATCATTTGCAGAGGAGGATTCCTACTTCTCTGGTGAGCGATATAGCCAGCCCAAAAATGTCGATCCAGTAAATGCTTCTGATGATGCTATTGGGTTGTCAGTGACTGAAATGTATGGGAGGACTGATGAAAATGATTTAATAGCTCAGTATGATGGACAGTTGATGGATGAAGAGGAACTGAATTTGATGCGTGCAGAACCTGTCTGGCAGGGCTTTGTCACTCAGACAAATGAATTCATCATGTTAGGAGATGGGAAAGTTCTGAATGAGTATGGAAGGCCTCGACGTGATGATGTTTGTTTGGACGATGATCACCACGGTTCAGTTCGATCTATTGGTGTGGGGATTAACAGTGACGCTGCTGATGTTGGCAGTGAAGCACGGGATAGTTTGGTTGGAGGTAGTAGTGAGAGAGACTTAGAGTACTTTCACGATCACAATGTTGGTGTTGGTGGGTCCAGACATTCACAAAATGACTCAGAGAAGTTATATCTTGACAGATCAAACAAGGATAAACAGAGAATAACTAGCCATGATTCTGATAAGTATATAATGGGGAATGATAAGGGTGCATGCACCCAGACAAAAAATCATACAGATGGGGGGTTTTCATTTCCGCCTCCCAGAGATGGGCAGTTGGTGCAGACAGGCTCTGGTAAATCTTTATGGACAAACAAGTGCAATGCTGTTGTTATAAGCGAGGAAACTGATGACTGTTTGAATACTTTGATTGGGACTGATGACATGCTTGCTCCATGGAAGCGAAAAAGCAATGATTCTTCACCTGTCAGGAGTTCAAGGGATGAAAACAATGCCAATGCTGTTGTATCAGCAAACTCTACCTCCTCAACACTTTCAAATTATGGTTATGCTGAAAGAGAGCATATCAAGATTGAAGTGGATGAAAAAATTACTGGTGCAATAGAAGAAGATCCTGGGGTTTTGGAGGATGAAGAGGCAACTGCTGTGCAAGAGCAAGTAAAGCAGATAAAGGCTCAGGAGGAGGAATTTGAAACCTTCAATCTTAAGATTGTGCATAGGAAAAACAGGCATGGCTTCCTTAACCTACAAATTCATCTGAATTATAAATTAATTAATCCTTGTTATCTGCTGGGAAATTTTCCATACTAGGCGTAGAACGTCTACCATTTACAAGAACTGAACCCCATCTACATAAATTTGCAAAACGATCTCTTCATCGATTTTGAAATTGTGATCTTAATTTCATTTTCTTTTCTTTCTTTTTGTGCGTGTAAATCATGTTAAAACATGCATAAAAAATTTATAAAAGTCGTCGAAACTCTGAAGGTAACAATTGTGGTTACATATTGGATAATTTTGCATATTAGGCTTAAGGCTGCTGCTACGTTCACAAATCATTTACTGAAAACTGAAAGTAGTTTGTGAGGGCTTCCGAAATTATAACCTTTTTTTTTGTGAGGATTAGATTTACCACTTGGTCCACTACTCTCAGCAGAATGGGACAAATTACATTTGCAACCAATGTGGCTCTTCAAGTGCCTCCAGTGTGTGCTAAATACTTGCTTGCCCACTCGTCTCTCCTATATTGATTTTCTCACACTGTCAAATGAAGAAGCTACTCACTTTTAACTGTCTTCTTTTCCACTGATTTTTCTGTCGGGAACTCAAGGTTTTCTTCTATTTGATGTTCAGAACTGGCTTCGAGGAGGACAAAAATTTCCATGTTGTTTTAAATTCAGTCATAGCTGGGCGTTATCATGTTACTGAGTATCTTGGATCCGCTGCATTCAGCAAAGCTATTCAAGCACACGACCTTCACACTGGCATGGATGTTTGTGTGAAGATTATAAAGAACAACAAAGATTTTTTTGATCAGAGCCTTGATGAGATAAAGCTCCTCAAGTTTGTCAACAAGCATGATCCTGGTGACAAGTACCATATTCTCCGATTGTATGATTACTTTTATTATAGAGTAAGTTGAGATTTAGTATATTAACCATTACAACTTCTTGGTTATTTTACTCATTAATGTTTTTTTTTGTACTGTATGTAAGTGTACTTGTCCATGCACTCCTTGTGCTGTATGTATTAGATCCATCCCTTTTCCTCTTTTAGTAGGCACTTAATGTGAGGGTGAGGTGCATATTATACTTGTATTGTCATCCACCTCCAATAGGGTTGACCTATTCGATTTACTGCTAATTTTGCTTCTCAGAGGCAAACACATTTTATCTTTGCTCACTAAAGAATTGCAATTTTGACTGCTTTCTTCTGAATGCATTTGCCTTTTGAAATCACAATTCATGTGACGTTGTTTGGATATGCCTCTCATGCTAGTGCATTTTAGCTGCATGATTTTATTTGTTTATCAGTTCCAAGTATATTATAAATGTTTATTGCATGGCAAATTTGTCTTACTTAACTTCCTTTATATGTGCAGGAGCATTTATTAATTGTATGTGAACTTTTAAAGGCAAATTTATATGAATTTCATAAATTTAATAGAGAATCTGGAGGGGAGGTTTACTTCACAATGCCAAGATTACAGGTTTGTTGGGTGCTAATTTTTCTGAGGGTTTTCTTTATCTTTTTTCCCCATTGATGTGGTTAGCTTCATTTTGAATTGATCTGTGCAGTCGATTACGAGGCAGTGTCTGGAGGCACTTCAATTCTTGCATGGTCTAGGCCTTATACATTGTGATCTGAAGCCTGAAAATATTTTGGTGAAAAGCTACAGTAGATGTGAGGTGAAGGTCATTGATCTTGGAAGTAGTTGTTTTGAAACAGATCATCTCTGCTCATACGTTCAATCTAGGTCCTACCGTGCACCAGAGGTTATTTTGGGACTTCCGTATGATAAAAAGATAGATATTTGGTCACTTGGCTGCATCTTGGCAGAACTTTGCACTGGCAATGTAAGTTCTTTCCATCCAAAATTATTTACTTAGGCATTTTATTTATGTCTCTCCGTGAAGTTTGAGCTGTAAGATCTATTAGATATAGTTATTATTGTTGCTTTGATTTTCTTTTCTTATATTAATAATCTTGTGAACTATAATGCAACTTATCAGTGTAAAAATTCGCATCTCACATATAAGAAAAGAAATATGATAATAGGTATACACCGGATAACCTCATTACACCACATAAAGATATGACATCGAATCATGATCGCCTCAAACTAAACATACACAACCAGAATTAAAAGCATTTTTCAAGCCGTACAGAGCTGATTTAATAAGAAGAGCATACAAAATTGCGATGAGAACATTGGATAACTCACCGATTATTTCAAAACATCTGTGATATGGAAATTTGAACATTAAAAAAATTGAGCATGTTTTGTGGAACTCATTGGAGCAACTGAAATTCCATTAACAGTAGCAAAGAACTGTGATTGCCAACATAACCAGGTTGAGCCTACGAAATTAGGATTTTGGCACATCGAACACCATAAAAACTATCTTAGCAGGGGGATGAAACATAGGATTTAGAGTTAAACCACATGGGTCCCACTGTGTCTGCACACTATTTGTATGCTTGTTCATTTTATTTTTCCTACTTCTACAATTAAAGTGGTTTGGGCAGATTAGAAAAGGAGAAGAAGAGAAAGGAAAGGGAAAAAAGAAAAGAAGAAAAGGAAACAGAGGGAGTATGGTTAGGGTTTTGGTTTGTATTCATGTTCCTTTTGAATATTTCTACTTGCATCAACAATCTTGGATTGAGCCTCCTTTAGCACTTATTTTGTAACAATGTAGTGATTCAACTTCGACCTTCCTTCTAATAGTAGCTGGTAGCTGAAGATGCTTTTGGTTCATCATCTAAGCCGTGTTGATCCTTGGTAGCTTGATCTTTTCATTTTAGAATGGTTTTAAATAGTTTCCTTCAATTTTAACACCTAACGTGTGTAATTTTGGGTTTCAATTTACACTAGAAGAAGAATCATTTGATCCATTTGATTGATTTAGTGGTTGCAGAAATGAAACCCTTGTACCTCAGTTTGCATCATCAAGCCTTTTAACTTTAGGTGACCTTTTCCAAATTGAGACACTAAATATTCTAATAATTGGCAATCTCAAATATTTCTCAATGCCAAACACCACCAAGAATGTACACCATACTCTATAATGGCAGCCAAAGAAACTCTCACCTTATATTAAATCAGCTTCGAATCGAACCGGTGTTTGCCAGGGGTCCTGCACAACTTGACTTAGAGTCTTTGGTACAACATATATATATTTTTAATATGCTCCATTATCCACTTGCTGTCCTGTTTTTAGTTTAAAATTTCACAGAAGTTATCGTGATAATTCATGGATATGTACTTCTATGGAGCTTAGCTTTCATCTTTTGCCACATGCTCAACGGGACTGTCCTGATCTTCTTATTCATCAACGTCAAACCACCATCTTTGCTGATCCCACTAGTTTCAATTTAACAAACCACATTCTACACTCATCCGTTATATTGTTCAAACCAATATACCCAATGGAAGCAAGCGACCTGGAGTAACAATCAACACTTTAAATCTAGAATCTCTCTCTCTCTCTTAACTCTCACTCCTCATTTATTATTTTATATATATGTGTGTGTGTGTGTGATATTATTTCCAGTATATGTCCTTTTCAAAGTCTCTTGTCCAAGCATGGAATTCTTTTATTTTACTGCCTTGAGCAGCCTCGAATTGTTTCCTGTGAGAAGGATGTGCATGGTAGTTGATTTCTTGGTCCTTTTGATTTTAATTTTCTTACCATTGTTGTTACTTGGGATTTTCTCCTTGCGCATTGAATGCTGCTGCATCGTCATCAATGGGTTAAAGAATTTGACATAAGATTTTTTCTCTCATGTTATAACCTTAAGCTGCTCTATAATTCAAAAAAGAATCTCATCTTTATGGCTAAAAGTCAATTTCCCTTTAATCAAATCTTTTTAAACACGTAAACATGATTCCAGAATCTGCTGTGATACCAAACTAATGTAGAACAAGTGCATAGCAATTCTCTCAGGCATACTATCAAAATTTGAATCAGGATATCATTATAACGGGCTTTCTGGGGTTACTTTCTATTGGTTTTTTTGACTAAATGCTGGTGGAGGTATTGAGGCTTTAATTCAAAAAATAGCGATGTTTTGAGGTTTTAATTAGACTGGAGAAGTTTGGGGACCGTTCTTGGTGTTGTAACAATAGCAGTTCAGAGTAGTTTTGGGTTCTTATAGCATTATGCTGTGGTTCGATGATGAGGTGGAAGAGGTTGGGCTTGTGAGATGATTTTTAAGGGTAGGAAAGGGGTTAATACAGATTGGGTTGTGGGATTTTTAAGGGTTAAAAAGATCAGAAAAATTAAAGAAAATAAGAAGAAAGAAGTCAGGTATCACACTTTGATTTCATAGGGCATCACATATGGGGTTAGAAATGTATCAAACAATCCCAAAAAACCTTCTCAAAATTCGATGTTGAATTAATTTGACTGGTAAAACCTATACATACCTACTAAAAGCATATATGAAAACCCAATATCAGAATTCATCCAGAATATGAGCCAAGGAAACTAGTACTACTACGACCCACATCAGCAAATCTTGACATACTTATGCTTATTTACTGGAATAAGAAAATCTTGGCTTACCAAATTATCATTGGCTCTTAAAACTGATTATACACTTGAGTAAATTTAAACCAACAGCTAACTAACTAGGAAAAAATAAAAAACGAAAAAACGAAAAAGAAAAAGAAAAAGAAAAAGAAAAGGAAAAAGAAAAAACATAAAAAACAACTCAAATCAAACTAGCACTGGGCTAAGCAAGGTTCCAAGTGAGTCTACCTTTGAAATCCAACCAATTTCCATGATTGTTTTCTTCTTTGAGCTTTCTTTTTCAACTTCTATGAAATTGTCTCACCAAAATATCAAAACAGAATGAGAAAGTTAAAAAAAAAAAAAAAGGAGGAAAAGAAAAAGAAAAAGAAAAGAAAAGAAGAAGTGAACATTAATTTTAAAATTGATTATGACTTATCAAAAAAAAAAAAAAATTTAAAAATTGATTATGGAGTGTTTAAACCTCATGGTGCCAAGCTTAAGATTGCTGGTTCGAGTCTAAAGAGAGTCACTTGCAAAATAATGCAAAAAATTGTTTTTATATTTGTATCCTTATTTGATGGGCACCAATGCTTGGTAATAATTTTGGAGTGGTTAAAGTTTTTATTGATTGCTAAACTAAGAAATCTTAGATTTTACTTCATAAGTTCTAAATTCTGTGAGGGGTGGGCCTTGGTGCAATAGGAATGTTGCTCCATTGTGACCTAGAGGTCATGGGTTCGAAACCGGAGACAGCCTCTCCATGCAGAGGTAGGGCTGTGCACATCTGACCCTCCCCAGATGCTGCAATGGCGGGATACTCGTGCATTGGGTGACCCCTACCCCTAAAGTTCTATATATTGTCAAAAATTAGAACTACTGTTACATCGTCTTTCCTGTTTGTAAAAAGTTTAAAAAGCTGACAGGCAATACGTAAACAAGCACCAAGAAAATGTTCAATTTTTGATGTACTGAGTTCTATTTTATTATGTGTTGTAAAACAAATTCCTTTCATATCGTGCCAATTTTACGGTACATTTAGTGTTATGACTACTCACATCGGCAAATATATGAACCGTGAAAGTAACTGGCATGTTTTGACTCTTAGAATAATGAGGATTATACCGAAATGGATCGTCTTAATATAACATAGTTTCTCATATCCGAATGTAGATGAATATATAGAGCATCTTCAGACTCATCTTAATTGAATTTGTTTTGAGATAAATTTCCCTGCTGTTAGTATTTATGACACAACGGTTCAAACATTAATTGAAGTCTACTATGGTGCAGGTCCTTTTCCAAAATGATTCACCTGCTACATTACTTGCTCGGGTAATTGGAATAATAGGTTCCATTGACCAAGACATGCTTGCCAAAGGACGAGACACATACAAATATTTCTCCAAAAATCACATGCTATATGAACGGAACCAGGTAATAATCCTTCTTTCTTGTTATGTTTTTATTTATTAATTTTCTTTTTAACTTTTGGAAATCTAACTGGTCAGCTTTCTCCATCGCATTTAATTTTAATGCTTTGTGATATATTATGAGTATGCACAAGAAGGATATTCCTCGGGATTTGGTATCCAACAAGGGGACCATAAACCTGATTGAATAGCAAGTGTCTTATTTCTCTTTTCTTGCATTTTTAAAGCTCATTAAAATTCGTTTATGCACTTTTCATATGTATACATTCACCCATGCCAATGATTGATTTTGCAATGGTGTCAACTGCATTATTTGGTCCACTTCTCGGCAAGAAATGTGTTCTTTTCTTGAAAAAGCTGTTTTTTTTGGTGAAGTATGTAATAGAATATGGCTGGCACACTAAGTATTATCCTTTTGGGTTTAAGTGCACTTAACACCCCTTGAGTATACGCCACATTACACGATCACCCCCTACTTTTTAAAATGATCCATATCACCCCCTAATTTTGAAAAAAGGTGCAAATATCCCCCTCAAACCACTTTTTGTGACATGTGACATATAGTAATTGTATTATGCTCTTTTTGCACGTTTAACATTCTGAAAATACCCCTAGCTAGTTTAATATATATTTTTGCCACGCAACACCGTCGTTTCTATACCATCGAAGCCGAAATGCAACCAAACAACCTTGCTAACCCGTTTGCTTAGGTGGGCGCCACATCTCAACTGCTTGACCAATCCCCACTGACTCTTCCTTCCACTCCCTCCACTGCTCACTACCTCACCGCTGACCACCGCCAGTGCTCCACCAAAGACATCGGAACCGGAGCGCGTCAGCTCTGCCTCTTCTTGATTGCACTCATCTCCAGCTCCAGCGTAAACTTCACCGGTCCGAACATGGAACACCTGCTGCCAAGACTTTGCTGACATCGACGTGATCGTCATGATATTCACCTTCCAAATCGGCGACGGCTCACACTTGACACCGTATGACCTGTTCTGGTACGCCTCCAAACTCAAAACCTGAACGAGTTGGAACGGTTCTTGCAAACGAACCGGTCCGGTTCACTGCTCAATTTATCATAGCTCTGATCAGTCTGAGATTTATGAAAAGATGCCGATTGGACGCTTAGGTAGGTACGCGTTGAGTTCGTCTTCGTCGTAAGGGATGATTATTCCACAGAAGATGATGTTGTCGGAGTGGTTGCTTTGGGAGGTTAGGTTACCGAAAAATTCGAATAGATCTTGATCTATGGAGGCTCGTGGAGTAGTACTCTGGTCTTGATCATGATGGTCGTGGATTGGGAGGTTGCGGAGAGAATGTCTTCGTCTTCTTCAGATTTTTGGAAAGTGGAGTTGGTCTTGTCTTCTTCCATTGTTTCAGTCTTTTAGAGGAGTGAGTTGGGGAGAGAGATGAAAGAGAAAGATGGGCGAGGAAAGTGTGGGAAGAGAGTTTGTCTAGTGGATTATATACATCCGGGAGAGAGAGAGAGGATGCGTCCTTGGGCATGTAATTCTGCTAGAAGTATACATATACTGTAATATATATATATATATATATATATAGAGAGAGAGAGAGAGAGAGAGAGAGAGAGCGTCCTTGGGTGTGTACTGTGATGGCTTCTAGAAAGACTAGAATATAGAGGGAAGGGACTGAGAAATTGAATAAAATATAGGAGAGGGGTCTGGTAATGGAAGACTAACGTAAAAGAGCAAAATGGCTAAACAAGAGGAACCATATAGATAGAACTTTGAAAGCTGCTTTGGTGTATGGGGATCAGATACCCAAAACCACATCAAATGGACAAATGTCCAATTTGGTCCTTTCTCATTTGGATATTTTTTAAAATAATGTAAGAAATATTGTTGTAAGGGTATTTAGGTATTAACACGAGTTAATGTGTTAGGAGGTCCTTATTTGCATGCCTTTTAAACTTGAGGGAGTTTATTGAACATCAGGGGATGCACTGTAAGGATAGTAGATGGGTGATAAGTGCACTTAACACTATCCTTTTTAATAGCTGCACTGTGGCATGTTAGCATTTCGAACACCAAAGAGCTATGTTACCTGGACTCGGGTATGTGTATTGGGTGTGGGTGTGTGTCTTCAGTGTCAGACCTCCTTGATTCTCAAATTTAGGATACAGGATATGTGTCCAAAAGTTGGACAGGGGAATACTACAGATGTAAATATATTATTTGTCTTGTTATTGTTTTATAAAAACATACCCAAATTAAATGGGATGTAGTAAAAGAAAACGGTTTCCATCTCTCATAGATGGGAAAGTCATCTCTACTATTATTTGAGATTTTTCTTCTTTTCCAATCATGTCATGTGAAGGATAGGGCGTCCGATTTGGGTTTGTGTGTCTGATACATATCTATCCGTACGCATGCGGCCATGCCAATGTTGTGTCGTGTAGACACGAGTAAGTGAAGGAAATAGGAGAGTCCATTTAACAGAGCCAGATTATGCAGCCCCCTTTTCTATGAGCATCTGAGTCCACTTCTCTTATAAGTTCTCCAATGAGTACATTTCATTGTCAGACTCAAGGCTGTATCCTATCTAATATTGTCTAAAATCTTCACGTGTTTTGGATCAGAAATCAATTCTGGATATTTTGCGAACAAGATTTTTTTAGTTTTTCATAACCAACCTCATGTATAATTCATATAGTAATTTTGATGGTGGCATTGGAGGAAACATTATCCCTTGAATGTGGATCTAATTGAATAAATGTAGCTGTTTGACCTTTTAGAGGATATAATATTTCCTCAGTCTTGCTGTTGTTACGTTGGTGGTTTCATTGATTCCATTGCGTGGGTCAGATATGTGGACAAAAAAAAAAATCAATATTAATCTAAATACAAGATTGATAATATTTCAAGCGGTGATGGAATTTTCTTTCATTTATTAAAAGTGATGGCATTTTACTGATTTTTTTCAGGACACCAACAGATTGGAATACCTAATTCCCAAAAAGACATCCTTAAGGCACCGATTGCCAATGGGGGACCAGGGTTTCATTGATTTTGTTGGTCATCTGCTTGAAATAAACCCAAAGAAGCGCCCTTCTGCATTGGAGGCTCTAAAACATCCATGGCTATCTTACCCATACGAACCCATATCATCTTGAACCAAGATTTCCGTGGTGGAAACAACCTGCTGCTATTTCCCCCTTCCTTGGATTTGACTGTTGAGGAAAGCTGTCCCACTTGATTCCTGATCAGAATTGGCTCTGTATTTAAATCGATCGTCTACAGATTACCCCTTGGAGTGCCTGCAGAATTGCATTGAAAGGTGTGTTTGATTTTATTGGTGATATCTATCTTTCCTTCCCCATTATCGAGTTGTATTTCAATTTACCGTAATCAAGAATGTGATCTTGCAAGCGTCGTGTAATTCTAGGATTCTTTCATTTGTTTGGTCTGGTGGAAAGGGGAATCAATCTTGTTGTACATGATGTGCGATAATTCCTTTAGGTTTATTTAGTAATAGCTTGTGAAATAGTTTTTTTTTTTTCAAGCTTGGAGCAAGCCCAGTGAGAACATTATTGGGTATTTAATGGTTTTGAAGTGCTGTCCTGTTTAACTGGGCTCTTGGTCTTTCTCTACATTCAGGAGCATGCCCTGTCCCTGTCCCTGACTCAAGTGATCTAAAATGTTTGTTGCTTTTCTTCCCCGGTGGAAGGGCCGAGTGTTGAAGCTTGAAATGTTTGTTGCTTTAATGTAGTAGGGTAAACTCAACTGATTTGAAATGTTTGTTGCTTTTCCTCCCCGGTGGAAAGGCCGAGCGTTGAAGCTTGAAATGTTTGTTGCTTTAATGTAGTAGGGTAAGGCATGAGCTGGTATGTTTTCTTGTTGCAGTAGTAGTAATGGACGCTAAAGGTGAAGGATAAAATAAAGTTTTGAAACCATTAGGTACGTATATCAGAAAACTGGTTCGCACCTTAGATGTTTTTGTCCCCTTCATTTTTTTTTTTTTTTTTTTAATTTTTTTAATTTATTTTTCAATAATTGATTACTTCAAATGTTCAAAGCTAAGCGAGAGGTTCACTTTTTACATGGGCTTCATGATACCCCAAGTAGGATGAAATTGGCACTCTTTTCAGTATTTTTGGACATCATTGGAATAAAGAGAAGTGGGATATTTTTTTAAAAAAATTATCCCTTTCATTTTCCAGTGTTCGTTTGAACGAAAAGTTGTATAAGATTTTACACCTTTTGGAGCAAAAATGACTTGCTAATCTAAAATCCCTAGATCATTATACTTAATAGCAGTTGTGGCTGTCTTGGCCATCGTCCTGTACCTTGCGGAACTCTCACCAAGACAAATAAATACACACACATATACATATAAAGACAGACAAAAATTGTGGTCATTCCCTTATTTCCTCTGCTGCAGGAGCTTCCTCAATTTCTTAATCGTCAATATAAATCCACAGGTCACTTTTACTACTCTCTTTCTATGTATTATATACATATGCATACATGTATGTGAATGTAATTCATTTCTTATGCCACCATATTATGCATTTTGAAAATGTTTTCAAGATGCAAGTGAAACACTTTAAAATTAAATAAAAATGTATTTTACGTTTAATTGATACAAATGGAGCGTTCAATAGGACTGCCCTTTGGGGGTCGGTGGCTGCCTACTCTAAATACTAAGAGCATCTTCAACAGTGTGTTAAAAATTATTTTTGTGTGAAAATACAATGTTTAAACTTTTTTTTTCCCCCTCTAATATATTGTCCCCTTATCAATATGTAAAATTGTTGTGTATTTTGCACAATCCTTTTACATAGTTACATCAACATATTTTCTCTTTCACCCTTTTTTCTTATTTCATTAACAAATTAATCATATATTAAGTAGGTTTGTAAAAGTTATGTGGGGTGAATCATATGTTAAGTAGGTTTGTAAAAGTTGTGTGGGGTCTTGGGCAAGCAATGACTCGAGTTAAAAATAATTAGTCCAATTTTTTTGTATAAATCTACTAAGACATCAAATTTACACAAATATATATATATATATATATATATATATAGACAACCATGCTCTAAGCTTGATGTTATTGACCCGAGAGGTTATGCTACACAAGCAAACAATAGATATGACATAACAGTTTGCATGGACCAGGAACATAGTACATTATTAAGCTGGATTTGGCGAGGTTCCGTTGGAACCTGTCAAATCGGAGCTCAATTGTGCTTGGGTTGGCCAAGAGGCCCAAGACATATTGTCAGAGTATTGTACAACCAGGTGCGTGAAAGAGGCCCGTAGGCCTACCCAACTCCAAAGCTCTTCGGGCCAAACATTCGCGTGCCCATTGGGCCTAGCCTGAATTGATCCCTGTCAGAACTTCTTATCATCATCATGCGAAGCTTCATGCATCTAATCAAATGTTCTGAAATTCTTAGTAATTGAATCAAGTGGACAAATGTTCTATATATATATATATATATATATATATATAGGTAAAATTAACAACCTATGATTGATTTTCTAAGGATTATTACCATGTGGTTTAGTTGGTAGATCGTCCAATGCCAACTCACCTAGCCTGTTGGTTTATTACTAAAATCCTAAACCATTGGACCAAGGTTTGAAACTTGGTACCTATATATATGATGGTAGATTGTCTAACGTCCTGTGCGAGTGTGCCCGTATTTGAGTTCTCCTTCTAATTTGCTAGGAAAAAATAAAAAAAAAAAACGAAAAAGAAAAAGATGGACTCACTAGGTATGGCATGGGTAAAATGGATTAGATTCGTCCTTCCAACATTCGTGTTCATATATTAGGAAAACACTTTTAAGAAGGTGAGAATATATTTCACAGTTTTTAGTTCTAACTTTGAAGGACGTATTTTTATAGAATCATGTACTATGAAGAAGTATCATCAGCACCTTGTCCTAAGAAGAATTACTGTCAAGAAGCATAACTTCTAACCTAGATGGTACAAGTTCTTCCTCTCGAAAGAAAAGATCTAGAACAATTCGAGCCCCGAAATTTGGACTATTCAAATATTGAGTTTTGGAATTTTTATAGAGTTATAATTAGCACAGGTGTTTGTAGCAACAGGTATATATCAATATATTAGATATATCAACATCTGAAAATTGGATTCAGTATCCATGTCACTAAGAAAGGTCATGATGAATTTAATTAAATGTGCGACAAAATGACGTATAAGTTGTTTCACACCACTTCAATGCTCCATGAACAATTCAGAGGGTGACATGTACGGAACAACTATTAGTCTATAGTGTATAGTCTAAGTCTATTGTCTATACTGATGACTAGGTCAGGGCTTCATTATCTTGTATCTTGAAATTAATCCCAAGTCAGAATTAGTAAGGATATATATATGGAGTATATAAAATTATAATGCTCAATTTCATAATGAGATCCCAGAAAATATATGCATGGTTGAAAATTATGTGGATGGTTAGAATCTCATGCATCAACATCTAACAGTTTCAGAACTAGAAACAAAAACAAGTACTTTGTTTGTATCTGGAAAGTGAGTTCACTGAGAAGTACTTAGGGTTTGAAGGAACCAAGTGAAGCACAAAATGAATTCCTATTAAATAATTTTCAAAAAAAAAAAAAAAATGGATGTGTCATATGGGTAGAAAAGCAAAACTCAATGAGAACCTAACTGTCTACAATGTCAAGGGCAAGTAGTGGGCAACTGAGGCACTACTATATAAAATGAATGAATGCTTGCACAATCTGGTATATATATAGCCAGAAAATGGAAAAATGGATTCCTACAATGGTTCGCCATATCTTTTTTCAAGTTCGACTCATATCGAGTCCGTTACACTGTGATCGCGACTGATATCATACTGCGAACCATTACAACCATAGCCATGTACGTAGTTCTTATACTCTGTTTTCTACATGCAAAACTTAGCAGGAAAAAGAAAAAAATTTGTACACATGAAGAGATGCCGGAGATCACAAGTCCTAGCTTAATTACGAGAGAGAGAGAGAGAGAGAGAGAGAGAGAGAATCTTCCATTTTTAATTATTATTATTTTGGGACATACATGTGGTCGTCCTTGAAATAGAGAAGTAAAATAAAAATTAAAAAAGAAGAAAAGAAAAAGCAATTGAATTTTTTTTTCGGTAATTAAAGCAATTGAAATTTGATCGATAATAATATTGGATTACCTAGCTTTAATAATATTTTTTTGTTTGTTTCAATCTTGGTTAAATGCTATCAAAATGATATGATATTACAAGCAACAGAAGTATTTTAAAAGCAGATTACATGGAACAAACTTATCCAATGCCACTCACTGTATCATATGTGTGCGCGCGCGCGCGCATTACTGTATAGAGTATTATAGTTCATATGGATCAACAACCATGAATCATATTTGCTTGAATGTTCTGAAAAAAAATAAGGAAAAAAAAACCCATATGAATCATTGTTGTAGCTCTTTCAGCAAATGCTCGACTTCCCTATGCGAAGCCTTGAGTGTATTAGCTTTCTCACATTTATAAATTAAACTTTCTTTCCCTACCCAAAAAAAAACAAAAAAAAAAAGAAAACCATCAATCAATAATTTCCTAGATGTTACTTCTTAGCTGCAATACTTGTGGTTTTAAAAACAAACCAACAAAAAAGGAAGAGATAGAGATGTTATACTCATGGTTTTACAACAACTTCTCCTGCTGCTATTAATTTCTCGATCCCTCATTTGAGTTTACATACAACATATGCCTCTTCATGCATATATATATATATATATATAAGTTCTCTCTCACTAAAGTGATGTATAACAACTACGCAGAGTTCTAGTTAGTCACACTAAATGTGTAGAAGTATATGCATATGCAGGTGAATCTTGTATAATGATTTATCATATACCATGCATCAAGATCTAGCACTAGAGTTACGAAGAGCTTCCAACTGACAAGAAATCTATGAATGAGACCCCGGCACTGGAACTGCTCTGCTGTGTCGCCGCTTCCTGTTCCACCTCCTCCTCATCTCTTATGCCATGATCAATCACTTCACTTCTATTACAGTCGGTATTTACTTGGAGAAAATCATAAAACTCCGCAGGGTGACTACTATCTGAAACAATAGAAAACAAAGTTAAATTCTTCAAAAGAACTACGGCAAAAAAAACAAATGAAACTATATATAACACATTTCGGAGTGAATTATTCTACTATAAATTAATTGTTACCTTCTTGCATCTTCACATGATGAATCAGATTGTCCGAGTTGAGCTCCTTAAAATTTGAATAATAATTATCAACTGAGATAGGGTATTCAAATCTTTTAGGGTAATTATCAACAAAAGAAACAAAATTCCTGGCTTCACAGCTCATCTGCAGATGTTGTTGTGATGGGGATTTTGGCCCACTTACTAATGTTTGAGCAGCCCTCTTCGCGAACAACCTCGACCTTTCCCTGCATCTTCTTGCCATGATGACATGCCAGTGATTCTTCACTGCGTTATCAGTCCGACCAGGGAATAGTCTTGCGATAATAGCCCATCGATTCCCATGAATCCGGTGAGAAGCAAGAAGCCTTTCTTCCTCCTCCTCCGTGAAAGGGCTTCGATTGATTCTTGGATCCAACTGATTGAACCATCTCAACCTACAACTCTTCCCTAAAAAAAAGAATGTTTGTGCATGTGTTAGTTAAATATTGAGAAATTAAGTTAAGGTTAGTTATTTTATTTAATGAATTATATTTGTTCTAAGATCCTGATCTCTACTTGCTTAATATTGTTGATACTAAAAACTTGGTATATAGTAAGAAATATGAATTGTATTTACAGTTGATATATATATATATATATATATATATATATATATATATATATATACTAGTAAATATCAATATTCAGTGACAATCAATAAGAAATGAAAAGGCAATATCTCTAGCTAGGTTATATAAAATCAGTACTGTGATATATGTTGATGATTACCTGATCTTCCTTGTAGCTTTTCGGCTATGGCGTTCCAGTTATGAGGTCCGTAACGCTCCACCAATTCCCTGAGCTTCTCATCCTCAGCAGGCCTCCAATGGCCTCTGGTGCACATCTGATCTGATGAGATCTTCTTGATAAAAATATATATAAATAGATACTACAAACTGAAAACCCTAAATTGTCCTATTTCCTTGTGTTCTAACTGTCTTTTTGATCATTAGCTATCACAACAAAACAAGTCTTCATCAACAACAATATGATTCTGAAAGACAAAATCAAAGAGATATATGGATCTAGTGGTTGCAGGAAGAGAGAGAAGCTAGGATCGATGATAATCTATTAGTAATTTAGAATATATATATATATATATATATATATTCATGATATTGAATATGTGTGTGTGTTAATCTATGGTGGTGATATGTTTTCGAAAGGCAGATAGATCCCAACAGAATATAAGGGTGAGATGAGAAGTGTTTTCCGTTAGGGAGTGGGAGGGTTTGGACAGACCTCTACCAGCGATTGATGCAACGTCTAGGCTAACAAACACACCCTATAAGTACTTATATATATATATATATATATATATATATATATATATATATATCTATATGAGAGAGAGAGAAAGGTTGCTTGGTGGGGTGATTTTCGTTCTCCTTTCAACGTCTTTCCAAGTTTCTAACCTACTTATAACCCACCAAAGCATTTTAATTTCTCTGTATAAACATTTATGTATACATACTATTATATTTGTATTAGAGATAAAACTGGTGTATGTAAAGTTAATTGTGAAACTAATTTAGATCCATAAACTGCATGTTTGGATTTGAATAGTATAATGTCTAACCTAAATAAAATCTAACAGTAACCCTAATCTAAATTAAGTGGATTGATATATATTTAATATATAATAATTAACTAGTATATATATAAATATATATGAAATGATATGATATTAGCAAAGGTTGGTATTATTGTTAGACCTTAGTGATGAAGTACGTATGTAATGCGTTTTTAGGTCTTTGATCAACTTTCAGACCTAACTAACAAATTAGCTTAAAACCTTAGAAGTGCACGTGGAGATTGGGACACCCATCATTAACCTGCTTCTTTTATCAGTCAAACAACTGATCTCTCTTCTAGGTGTGAAGTTGCTGTTAAAAAAAAGGGTACAGAATTACAAAACTACCTTAATTATAACCTTAATCAATTCATCATTCTTCATAATACCTCTCTACAGTTTAGTTCCCATGCACTCTATAGTACTATTTCTTGGTTCAACATTATATATACTTGGTACAACCCAACTTAATTGCCTCCTTTCTTGAAAACGTTTGCAAGATCTTCCATGAACAGACAATGAGCCTTGGCTCAAATTTTAAAGAGTTGAAAGTTTTCGACTCAATGAGCCTGTCCAGCTTGATGGTGGAGGTAGACTTGTCAAAACGGATTGGATTTTGATCCGAATTTGAGTCAATAAATAAAAATATGAATTAGAACATTCAATCATTACTTATCGGAAAAAAAAAAAAAAAAAATTCAATCTGGTAAACTGTTAGCGATCCAAATCCAATAATTCATTAGTTAGACAAATCAAATATGAATTATGGTTGATTTGATCCTATAATATATAATCCGATATGATATAATATCATATATATATATATATATATGTATGTATATATGCTATAAATAAATTATTTAATGTTATAATATATCTCTATTTTGTCTCTCTTTATTTATTTTTTCTTTAATAAAAAGTCAAATACCTACTTTTCTCCTATTTGAAATTATATCATTTGAATTTAATATCCAATTAGAAAGAAATCAGGAATGGATTCAATCATAAATAATCTACATGGTTATCAAATTAGATGAAATTAATATAACTCATTCAAATCAAATCAAGCCTGATCCAATCCGTTTACAGCCTAGCTAGGTAGGAAGAATTCGGTTGGATCAAAGACTAGACCTATTCTAATTACATATTTAATAGGTCGAACACTTATTATTTCACTCAAAAACTTAAATTATTAAGTAATGAAAACTGCACATTGACCTTTTTTGTTTAAAAGATCGTTCGTGGAGTTGTAGAATGGTTGCTCTTTTTATTATTATTATTATTCGTTGGCAATAACACACTAACACCACTTACATACTCACTTTATTTCTTTGAATATTCAAGATTCACATTTAACTTTTAAAGATGAAGGAAATACACTACACAATAAAAATCTTGAAAATAAGATGTCGATTTTTAAATTCATACTTAATCCATTCGAACTAGGAGTATTTAATAAGTCCACTGACCAATGGCTTTTTTGGTCATATTCCAAATCTGACTTAACTTTTTCGTTCTTTCCGTTATTTTTATTGGGATACGTGACGCGTAATTCATCCTGTCAAAGAGTTGTAGTGGACCAGCTTTTCTTCGGTTAGATTTTGAAAAACTTGAAAAAGAGAATTTGAAATTTCAATTCTAGTCTGAAGGATTTTAATTATTGCAAGACGGAATTTTAGAAAAGAAATAACAGCATTTTCCTTTGAAAAATATAGGAACAAATGACATTTTGATTTTTGGATACAGTTACTTAGAATCCTCGTGATTTATAAAACAATCCAAGTTTAGGATCATTCTTCGTCCCCTATAGCTATTTATTAAACCAACTATGTTGTATACTTGTATTGGGCAGAGTTTTAAATCTTTAAATAATAATAAGATCAACACCTGTGAAACCAAAAAAAAAAAATGTTAAAGATGAATGATTAGAGTGCCTAGAAGATCTTCTATGGTCGCTAATGAAAATGTGAAAGAAAAATTAAGAGTAATACTCATTAGTCAGAAATTTCGAAAGTGTAGACTTAAATGGTTTGAACACATATATCGAGTCCTAGAAAAGTTCCGGTCAAACAAGGAGAACTAGTTGTGATAGAATGTAGAAGACAGAGACGCCGACCAAAACTAATACGTAACGATTTATTAAATTCGCCGTATCAGTCGATACGTCCGATACTGTTATACACCTCCATGAACTGGTCGGTTAGACTAGTTTACACTGATATTTTTTTGAGTCCGTTACGCCGCAACTGTGAACCATGATTAGAACTGATTTTAAAAAGTTAAATATATAAGGTGAATGACACCAAATAGAAAATTTTGGAAGGAGAGTGATATTCATATAAGATTAAAACAAAAATAATAACGATGATTATTTGTCCAGGCTCACACACCCATTATTGTATCATTTGAGAACTCAAATCCTCAACCTTCCATTTGAAGGGGTAAAAAGTTGTACAACTTGGTTAATCCATTAATTAGATTTTAGTTTATCCCTTAATATGATTTGTTTACTAAAATAACTCGAATCTTGGAGGTGAATTTCAACTGTTAGAACAGACTTGGATTTGGGTTACCCCAAATTTGGCCCTAATTACAACTTTAGACTAATCGCATTGAAGGTCGCTGTTTTCCCCCTCCAAAATAGGTGAATGATAATCCAAATTTAAATGGTAAGTGAATATTCAAGTGATTGATTGTATTAGTTTCACCTTTTTGCTCATTGTGTGTAAGAAAAAATTGTGCATAAACTTCCCTTAGCTAGAACCTAGAACACATAGATGGTTCATTATAGCCTCTTAGGAATGAAGACGACGCTGGTTTGGCGTGGGGACCCCAACCCATCCCTGTTCGTACAAAATTATTTATTAAATGGGGTGGGGTGGGGTGGTGGGACGAGGTTAGGATAGTACTTTTATAAGTATAAAAAATATTAACAAATATAAATAATAAGTTTTAAATTCTCAATTCAACTTGAGATTTAATATTTTATTATAAGAACATTAGAATTCAATAAGAAAAATACAAAAAGAAATCTAGTGATTGGTATAAAAGAATCTAGGGTTTATTAATTATATACTTAATATTTTTTAATATTAAATAAATTATAAAAACAAAATTTTTGTTTATGGGGTGGGATGACATTTTCCCATCCCATTACACAAGTACGCAGATTTTCAATCTAAAATTCCGTCTCACTTCAAAACTCCGTAATGTTCTAAACGGAATAAAGCGGGATGTGTAAAAGAAGAACAATAAAAATAAAATAAATAACCCTACCCTGTGCAACTGGTGGACGCTTGTTTATTTACCTAAAATAGTAAATTATTAGATAGTGTTACATACCCACCCATTTATACTCATACATTTTTCCTTTCGGATTCGATGTGGGACAAGTTCCCACTTGTAACCATCCGAACTCGCAACTCCCTCGTTGCGGTCGGGCTACCTTAACTACTTGGGCTGCTCACACGGACGCCTTTTGGGTCGGGCGTATGGCATGATATCAGATCAAAAACTGAATTCGACTTTGATACCAACTATAATGGGTTATCGCTTGATTATTTATCTAAAAGTTTAAACGATCAAGTAATGTTGCATACTTATCTATTTATACTTATATATTTTTTCATCTGATTTCGATGTCGGACAAATTTTCACTTGTAACTCCGTTGATTGTTAAATTGATAACTTTGGATAACCAAAACTGGTTCGGATCCAACATCCAAGTACAAACAAACCTTATTAAGAAAACCTTTTGCAAATAGTTATAATAGGGGACATGAGTCTTCTTTTGACCATTTCTATTTTTTAAGTATTATTATTTTAAAAATCTTTTTGACCGTTGGCCTACCATTCTCATAGTTTGGAGAAATTGCTTGTCGGAAAAGGGAGGCAGAGGCCTCTCCCATCTTTCACCCACCATTTGTCCCAAGATAAAAACAGCCCGCAGTCCATAAGATTGGTAACTGTCACTACTAACTTAGCCGTTTTCTTCAACTAACAAACCTCCCTCTACTCTCTCTCTCTACATTATTGCCTTCTTTTTTCTGTTACACACACACACACACACTACACACACGTGAATTCTGACCTTGGAGACATAATGGGATCATCTTGAATTCTATAATTTTCATCACAAACAAAATTTTAAATGAAGGGCACTGTGGTGTTAATTAGTCCAAACTAATTATGCGTTTCTTCTCCTTTATAACAACACTCTCATGGTCAAAATTAGTCTCTCCAAATTACAACTGTGTCATCTATGGACTGTTCACCAGTTTTACCTACTTTCTTCTGAACCTTGGTTGATTTTCCCAATGCCCTAAGAGTTAGTTTTGTTTGTGCCACTGCAGTTGCTATACCAGAATTTGAAATCTTGTACTACATGCGTGTATATATATATGTAAACATGAATAATATTAATAATAATCAAAGAATATTCACAACAAAATTTTCATACTCACCTATATACTGCTCTCAAAGGATGAAGTATGCTGCACGTTTCAACATAAAAAATGCAGTTTTTCACAAATATATTTAACCATCCATTCTTTATCTGAATTCAAAATGAAACAATCCCATGACAAATTAATTATTAGAATTGGTGAGAGTGTTGTTTCTGAATATTACAGCAACTGCTATACTTGAGCAAATCTTTCTTATGCAGCGCGTAAAACTTTGGAAGAAATTAGATTAAAGCCATCAGATTCTACTATTTAATTAGTTAATATGAATTGACACACATTCATTCACTGATATCAGATAAAGGATTTCTGGTTATGGAAGTTATCTAAACTTCTCAACTGTAAAACCAACGAAAGCCAACATCCGAACCATTCAAAGAGATTACTTATGTTTCTTAAGCTCAATTCATGTGTACACCTACCACACCTAATTTGTCTATTACTAGTACTAATGCCTCACTGTTTTAGTACCTTTAATTTATCTTATTTTGGTCATCATTGCTTATACATAAATTTCAATTCCATGTTTTCCACCACAGTTTTCTTGCCTTATTTAGAATAATAATAGTAATAAAGTTCGTTTCAAAGCTTATGAAGTTGTGGAAAAAAGGGAAAAAAAAAAAAAATAGAATGAAAATGCTCTTTTGAGTGTAACTCACTTTTGAGCTTGTGGAGGGTATTAGGTAGAAGACAGGGATGTAAATGTCATTGTTGGCATGGATACATTACTTCAAATGGATTTTTTATACTAACCTTGATGGAATATAACACCTTTACATTCTCTACTAAAATTTTGATGCCTTAATTTCTCTCTTTGTCTGAACGTAGAATTTAAAATGATATGATCTCTCTCTATATATGAAACTAGAAGAACAGATTTAATCTAGTAAATATGTGAATGGTATGTTAAGAATAAACTATCTCTTTAATGTGAAAAAGAAATTTGCAACAACCATCAACAAGTAATTTATCATATAATATATAATACTTCCACAAACCCTATTTGATGTAGAAATGAAGAAATCACTTACTTTATGGTTATATGTAGGAATTTCTATCAATAGCATGAAGAACAAATCCACTGATGAAAGCCATTTCTTTCGGCTCAAGTGTTGATTAGCGCAACACAAACTCACTAGTCCAAGATGATTGCAACACTTTGTCGCATTCAAATTTGATTGATGGAGCGCATTTTCCTTCATAACAACCGTCATTGAGAGAAACTCAGGGAAAAAGTTGGATTCTTCAACATTACTCAAAAGCGTCGCGACAATCACTTGAAGAAGGCCAGTAAAATGGCGACACATTTACTTCCCAATCGCAAAGTTCCATGATAGAGTTTGAATTGTTCAAGTACGACCATGCCACGGTGTATCCCACAAAGCTAGAAATTATCATGCATCATCTCCGTGTAATTGAAGGAATATCCAAGTGTACTATTCCTCGCGCTCTTTGTTTTCAATGTTCATAAGTCAAAAGATCAATTGATGATGTTAAACATGAGATGAACTGTTATAACTGAACACTTCAATGATATATTTGAAAGAAAGAAGTAAAAAGGGAATACTCTAGTTCATAAAACTGGATGGAATTCTTCTAGCACTTGAGTTTAAGCAGTTTTCCCATCATAATCACATTATGCAAACAAATTTCCTATATGCCCCCTTCAGCAAATGGTTACTAAAGAACAATACTATTAACAATCTGGTTTGCGACCTTCTTCTTCTTCTTCTTCTACAGTTTCTCTTAAATGGTGAACCAATCGCAAAATTTGTCCACCCGTTGACAAATTAATTAAGTTGGTGAAAAAGGAAGAACAACTTATAGTCTCAAAGTCTAACTTCTGTATTTTAACTTTAGACTAAAAAGGTCTAAATGCCGAAATGAAAGAAAATGAATAAAGGAGAGAGTAGATTGTTATGTTTGAATACTAAACAATAGCTCAATCAAAGGATTAACTGGCGGACCATTTATTTAAAGAAGAAAAATTGTTAAAGAAACATATATGAGTATGGACCGGACTTGACTCACTTACCCTCAACAGACGGAAGATGCCACAGTCTTCAAATAGTGCAGCAGCAGTAGGGTTTACTATACTGGTCCTCCTCAAACTCAAGTACTCATGAGGGTACGTTCAGTCATTTAATTTGGGAAAGAAACCTGGTGCTAATATATTGGAAGGATCCTAACCTGAAGTGACCTAAACCTAACATATATGTTACAGAATTAACAGCAATAATCATATGCTTACTTAAAATTCCTAAAAGAAATCAATGAAACGCCTAGATATGATATTCCAGGTCTGGAAAATAAAAGGTGGTTGTTGTCATGCGTAGTCGGTGCCAGATGTGGGGTGAAGAAGAAAAGAAAAGAAAAAGATAGCTAAATAAATAATAATATAATATAAATAGCAGATTAATAATATCGAGGTTTATATTTACGATCCAGCCTCATCATATTTGCATTCTGATTTAAAGGTTTGAGCTCCTTCTTTGTCTAAGAATATCCGATTCTGCATCATGCAAGTCTACACAAGTTTATATACAGCAGTGTGCATGGTGGTTATTCTAAATCCATAATACAGATATTAACTTAGTGTTATGTTCCATAACAGTGACTGGTTTTAACACAAAAGTATTTAATTTCTTGTGTTTTATTGTTCAACATGTGGTGACTTTTTTTTCGTTCTGAATATGCACAAGAGAACACCTTTCTGGTTTTGCATATTATTGCCTCATTGTGGATATTTTGTTTAGACTAGCTATGTGCTTAATGACCCCCCTATATATCATCAGCCTTAAAGCAACTATTGTTTTGAAATGTTGAATGAGAAATGTGTTGTTTTGGTGTGTCAATGCCTAAAGCTACACTTTCTCAAAGCTACATACATGAAACATGGACACTAGCTATGTGAGTTCTGTTAATATATATATATATATATTATATATAGCTACACTTTCTCAAAGCTACATACATGAAACATGGACACTAGCTATGTGAGTTCTGTTAATATATATATATATATAAAACCATTTAGGTTACTAATCTTTAACTAATAGAAACTGCTTCTGTGTTTGTCTTCTTCTTCTAATTCCCCAGCATGTAAGTTGAGTTTCATTGACAGAATTTTCATTGTCTGTCTTCAATAAGAATTTTTTTTGCCAGTTTTGCATATTGGGAAACTTTTTTGAGTTACGATATGATCTGGGAATGTTTTAGATCAGAAAGACTAATCTTGTTTTGTAAAAATAGAAAAATAAATTTCCTATATATATTTACAAGGGGCGAGGAAGAATCAAATTATCACTATATTTAATCCTTTTTCTAGTTCTAGTTTCTAAGTGTAGGAATGTTTGGATGCTTTTAATTAATACAGAAGAAACGGCCTTAACAGTTGGGGTAGTTGGTATCTTAAATTGGGTGTCTTTCTCATAGGAGGGACCCCACTACGACGATTTGACACCCCCCACTAAGTTTTCTTTTTCTTTTTATGATTTAAATAACACATCCTCTAAGCACTACATAACAAGAAAACTATAATCTGCATACTACTTTTTGCAACTAAAAGTATTCTAAATTCTTAACAATAATTAAAACACCTATAAAATAACAAGTAGCAAATAAATAAAATATTGTTTTACGTCTTGATCGTCTTCGTTAAGTTTTCAAGAGTGAACCTTTCAAATTTTAGTAAAGTGTAAGCACTGTATAAAGCTTTTGTTGCTTCAACAGGTGAATGCTAGCTATTGCACTTTGTCGGCTCAGCTTTATTGGTCTTTAATACATAATTTTGCTAATAATGAAAATTTGGAATATTGTTTGACTATCAACACCTTTAAATCTTAAGAACTAATAGATATCTCAAATATTTGGGATTTCATTTCAAAATTTTAATACTAGAATCTATATGAAACGGTATATCCTTTAATTAAGGGGATTTCTTTTGCATCATGAAGTAATAGTCTCTGTCCATTTTATTTGGTTAAATTTATCCTTTAGATGAAAACTGAAACAAAACACATTAGCTCAAGTTTTATTTTATTTTTAATGAACTCTTCATAATCGTTCAGGCCACTGTCAATAACTAGTAGAGAATAAACGGAAAATAAAGACCGATGATATCAATTGAGCTAACAGTTAGAAAATAGTACATGTATGAATCTGTATCAGAAAAATAGTACATATGTGACAGTTGTACATAGAAGAAAAAAAATAATCCCTCAATATTAACCTTGATGCGAAGTGTAATAGTAATTTAATATACCTTACATTAGAAACGAAGCATAATAAATCTGATAACCTGATGATTGCTTCAACATTTGAGGAACTTCAATGCCAACAATTCCGCCGTGCAGCAGGACAAGGTGGTATAACTTCTGCACCAAACCACATTGCCGGCTAAAAGAATTATGGTGGCGGTAACCTAGTGTTGCTTACAAAGCCGACAGCTCAACTTCACGAGTGCAAGGACGATATGCCACAAAAGTGCTGTCGTTAGAGAATGAACCAGGATTAAAACACGTTATTCCTGTGTACTTGAATGCCTTCTGGTCACTTCTGTCTCCCAACACAATCTGTGTAGAAAGCCAAACAATGATACAGATGTTACACAGCTTTTGTTTGAGATTTATATTCATGTACATTCTCTGCTGGCAAAGTTAAATTCCATCTTTTTTTCAATCTGTATGAATTATGGAAAAAAACGATCTTCAGACATGCAACTTTAGGCAGAGCCCCTTTCACTTGTTAGGTCAAGCAACATTTCTCCAAGGTCTCAGTTCATCCAATTGGTCATTTAACAGTACACAATCCAGCAAATTTTCAGCAGATTCAATGTTCTGAACCGTCATTAGATTCAACATCAATTCAAGACATCTCATGTCTAACAATCATGTTTGGCATTATCCCTATCCCAATCCCAATTCAAAATATCCAAAGCTGAGAAAGAAAAGAATCTCCAGTACTAGAGAAGTAAAATAAGTTAAGTAATGTTAGAAAACTGAATTTCATAATTTTTAAACATAAAACTGCAAGTGATGACCAACATTACATGGCATTAAGTCCACCCTATGATGGATCCTATTAGGTGGACTTTCCATTTTTGGCCAGACTATTTCATGGATCAAGTGAACCTAACAGGCTGATTTGATAATTTCGGCATTTAATTTTAATCAGATTCTATCAAAATATATAACAAAAAATCCTTATCATGTTTCCAGAAAAGAATGTTCAACTTTGATGGCGAAAAATGTTCTTTAGTAGATAGCAATAAATAAATAAATAAACAAACAAACAAACAACATATTCATATTCTCAGACGTGACAGTAGAAACATGACAATTAATTTTCAAGCTTGAAGTCGTGTATCCTTATCATGTTTCCAGAAAAGAATGTTCAACTTTGATGGCGAAAAATGTTCTTTAGTAGATAGCAATAAATGAATAAACAAACAACATGCGCATAGTCTCAGACGTGACAGTAGAAACATGACAATTAATTTTCAAGCTTGAAGTCGTGTCCTTTAATAGATAGCAAAAAGAGAAATGAACAAGTACCGTATGTGGAATTGGATAAAGGTGGAGACAGTGATCATAATTCCAGATAATGGGTTGCACAGTCAGAGGGAGGGGGCAGAGATGACTTTGATGCGTTATGGTAGCAACAAGCTGTAACAAAATTCCAAACCTGATTAGCATTGTAGGGCCCCACCAATCATAGGATCACTCTAACATACAAAATGGAGAATGGGAAAGAACAAACTCACATGCTCAAAAGGATCACTAGTTTCTTCTGTTGAAGGAGTCATCAGACATGACCTACGCATTCTATAAAGCAGATCCTGACGGAAAAATACGATTTCTTGCGTGTAAAACTTGATTCTGGGTTCAAAAATGAGGAAGTGTTAAACAGTTGAGCAATTAAAAAATGAATCACTAGCTATGTCAGTCAGTCAAGTCACAGTAGTAACATCATAAGAAATACATCCTCATGATTTGATCATAGTATGGCCCTCGGGATTTATAAAAATTGAATCCAAACATCATCAGATAGTGTGGAGCATGAGGATGCCCTCCAGAGGACTGCTTATCCTCATTGATGTTTACGCAGCAACTAGCCGGACAGATTACCTGCAAGGATTTGTTGCGAATATGGTATTTGGAATGAGCTTCTGAAGTTCTTCAGTTAAGTATTTTGGTAAAGCACACCTAGGTAGAACAGTTGAAGGACCTGAAAATGCAGACAAGCAGAATGTCTGTAAGTAATACAACGTTAGTCCAGGAAAACTTGAATGAGCATGTAATGATCAACTTAACACACCTGGATCATCAGGACCAGGAATAAAAAGAAATCTACTTTGCTCCTTTAATCGTGGATGGGCTCCAATCATTTGCCCAAGCTTTCCGAACTGCAATCTGCATTCCAAATTTTTTTTTTTTGTTGGTTTTATTTATTCCAACAATAAAATTTACCACAAGTAATATGATAATATCTTATCCACGCTCACCTGAGACTAGAAAAGGAATGAAAGGAAAGATTACATGGATGTGAACAGAAATTTCCCATGAAAACAAATAGAGAAGGAACGACCTCTACATTCTCGTAACCATCTAAGACAGTCTCTAGCTTTCCCATGGTCTTCTCTACGGACAAGATGACACTGAGATTAGTCAATATTACTCACAAAAACACCTAAAAAAGATTTAAGAATAAAATAATATAAAACCTAAACAACAAATATATAATAGACATAAATTACCTCCTCATTGTCTAGCCAAACATCAGACAGTACCACAAACATGTCATTCACTGCATTCTTTTCTAGTTCTGCAAGTCTCAGCTATTGGAAATGTATAGGAAGACTAAATAATAATTCTTGGCCATTAAAGGAAGTGCTAGAAATGCTTTTGTAATTATGATTATCATTGAAGGCCAGAAAAAGGATACAGTTTCCTCTTTTGTTAGCGTACCACTTCCAAATAAGTCAAGTCCGCCAAATAATGCAATTGTCTTATCTCTGTCCTCTAATGGAGGAAATCCACATGTTTTCACCTACATATTATTTGACAGTAAGTTAATTATAATGATAATAAAATTTAACAAGAATTTAATGTTTCAGGAATTCAACCACACATGTCTTTAATGATCATAAAATAAATTGGCAGTCAGCTGTGACGGTTGACAACCAGAGGTGGAGCTGGGATCGTAAAAAAGTTGGAGTTGAAGCTCAGGCTATTTTTTAACCACAGTCAATCCAATTATATCAAGGCATGTAATTCTTTCAGCAAGTTTTGGCCATTTCATCCAGTGATCAAATGTGTTGATGAATGAATCTGCTCCTGGTGTAGTTAATGATTCTATTCACAATAATACGGGTATAACTGTTTAGGGAGATACATGATTGATGGATATTACTGTAAGAGCCTGAGATTGTTTCCCCTTTTTTTGTGGCCAAGTAACCTTGTTAGACTGGGGGTATGCCTTTGTACATTTTTTTTTTTTTTTGTTTAATATTTTATATAAATTCTTGCTTACCTTTGAAAAAGAAGATATATTAAGTTTAGAGTTCATGCTGCCTCATCATCTTGGTTGGAGACGAGCTATGTTACCCAAACTCAGGTAAGTATTGGGTGCGGGTGTCCGTTTAAAGTATCGGGTCTCCTCAAATCCAAGTCTTAAGATACGGGAATATGTGTCCAAAAGTCAGATACGGGTACATAGAGACGTATTATGGATTTAAATACCATATATGTTTTATTGTAGTGTAATTCTTAGTGCCACTGTTTTATTAAAATATACTCAATTAGTCAATTATTACTCAAATTAAATAGGATGTGATAAAAGAAAAAGGTTTTCATCTATCTTATAGATAGGAAACTCATCTTTGCTATTAAATTTGAGTCTTTATCTACTTTAATCATGCCATGTAAAACACCAGGGTGTCCGATTTGGGTTCGTGTGTGGGACACATATCCTGTACCCATACCCATGTGTCACGTTAACATGGGTACCTGAAGGCAAATAGCAGTGTCCATGTAACAGAGGAGAATTTATGCGGAGCAAACATCCTTTAATTGATCAGGAACTTGAAATGTGGCAATGTTATCCTTTTTAATCTCTTTCTCGAGTTTGAACACATTCTTAATATTCCTGACTGTTGTAAGAATTGAAATTTCATCTCCTTAATATTTTTTTGATAGTAGAGTCTTCTCGCATTATGTTTTTGGCCTTTTTAGGAGGGATGTTTGAAGATTATCAAGATGTTCCCATGCATTGCATGGGCATCCAGTATTTGATTTTATGATCAAGAAGATATAATTCTAAAAGGAACCAAATAACTAACTTTAATAAAAATAATCCAAATCTGGACAGGAATATGCCCATATGCCATACTAGTAAGGAATGATATGTAAAATTCCTGTATGACTTGTATGATAATCTTTGGTATCTATGGTTCAGGAGAATTAAACAAGGATATGTATGACGCTGTAAATGGCCAAGAAGAACCCAAATAATGGAGGCAAGATTCCTCCCGAAATGAATATTGTGATAAAACATTCCAGTGATTTATCACGTATTAAGTTTGCAAAAGCTGAAAAACCTTAATAGCAGCAAACTCTGACAATGTCTAGAAATGTTTCAAACTTGAAAAGTCAAATGCATGTGTAAAAAGAGGCCAATTGGATAGAATAATAAATACTGACCTGAAAAATACCATCCAAAAGCATCTCACCTTCTGCTAAAACTACAGTGTTTTCTGAAAAAAAACCTGTGGTTATCTTGTATTGCATGTTAAAGAAAACGATGATTTAGATCTCTGCTCTAATAGCATTTAAACCACATCGCATCCTTGCAATATATGTGTCCTTACATAAACTCAGTCACATGTCTAAGCTTCAAATATATTGGATTCCCAAACCAAGGACAAGGAGACAAGGCTAGATATTCATAATTTATTATTTAAGGAAAGTTTAAAAACACAAATGCAAGAGATCTTTTTATAAAGTTGTTTATAATGAGAACTTATATTATTTCAATTTGTATATGAGTGTATTTCCAAGCATTCAAAACAGATAATAAGTATGTTGATTAGGCAAATTAATAGATTAATGGCATAAAGGATATTGCATTAGACAAATTGATTTCAACTGCTGCCGTGAGGTCTTCCAGGTAGAAATGGCCATCTTCCAACTGAGATATTACTCCCATGACCCATCTTCTCCCTGTTAGCCCGACCAGAGACTGTATCGGAGATATCTGCCCAATATACACATAAATATACTCAGAAGCAACATTTCACATGGAAATAAAAAGTTACAGACACTTATCTGCTAAAATGTGTGAGAAGGAGAGAAATAACAAGCGAGATAGGGGGAAGGGAGTACCTCACAGCTTCCAAGCTGAGACATTCCAGTATCGAATACAGGCCTCGAAAAATTCGGGTCACGAGAAAGCCTCTGAAGCAACAAGAGAAACCTATCTCTGTACAAAGTGGCTTTTGCAGAAGCATCACCATGAATTGGAAGCCTCCCTGTGTGCCTACAAGTCAAAAGATTAGCATAACCAACACTTAATCAAATGCCAGAACCAACAACAAGAAATAAAATTTCTTGACACTGACAAATTATGTAACACCAAAGTCCACATACAAAACCCCTCTTCACAAAAAAAAAAAAAAAAAAATGTAGTTCCCTATTTGTGAGAAAGCTGAGCAAAAGATGAGTAATTTTGGTTTAAAATGGAAAAACTCTTATCACTTAAGCCAAGTATATGTACCAGTCTGATCATTTGTGCAAAATTGCTATTTTTTTTTTTTTTAACAGGGCAATTGAATTAATAGGAAACTTCACAGACCCAATATATACGTGTGTAAAATGAAAGTAGAACATTGGCATATTCTCATTAACTGTTAAAAAACCTAGACTTCTGAGAAAAGCGAGCAAAAGATAAGTAATTTTGGTTAAAAAATAGAAAAACTCTCATCATCTAAGGCAAGTATATGTGCCAGTCTGATCATTTGTGCAAAATTGCTAGTTTTTTCACAGGGCAATTGAATTAATAGGAAAATTGACAGAACCAATATGTATGTGAAATGAAAGTAGTTCATTGACATACTCGAAGAAGATCTTTCTGACGGGATCGTAGCGGAACTTTGGGACAAAGAAGGCGTCGATTATGCGGAGAGCGGATTTGTTAGGAGCGATTGAGCTGCTAGGGCTTTCATCAACGGCGGCTTCGGCTTCCAATAGAAGGCTTACGACACGATGTACGGACTCCTTGTCCAGTATGGAAGATTTCACTGCCACACCAGAGTAATCAAGAAAGACCAATAAGCAATCAAACTCACAATTAATACCAGAAGGGCAAATTGTATGTGGACTGTGTGTGTGTGAATATATAGGTAGATGAAATACAGGATTCATTTTGGAGTTCGTCGAGGAGGAGATCTAGGGCTTCGTCTTCCGCGTCCTGGAAGCGGGTCAAGAAGGACAGGATCTCATCTAGGGCTTCAACTTTGAGGGTGTAGCCTCTGATCCTGAACTTACTCTGTACCTTCTTCCTTATCTTTACCACAGCTCCACTCATCTTTCTCTATCTCTCTCCCAAGGAAGAAGATTTTCAGAGGCTTCCACTCTCTGCAGTGGCTGCTGTGGAATTGGCGGGAGACCGGCCTTCTTTACTGTGGGGAAAAATGGCGGGAACTCCTCATCAATTAGGGCTCCTTCACTTTTTATTTTTGATAAAAAAAAAAAATACATCTTTTTCTCTTGAGTAATGCTTGCATCCTGCGCAGGGAGGATGAACTCTGATGACGTGGCCACACTCCCTGCTGACACCTGTCCAACATTAAAAAATATTAAAATATGAGTAGTATCCATTTGTGCGGGTTAAACCCGTTTCTTCTTGATCTCTACCCCCTCTCTCTGTGAATACCTAAACTATATGCGCCGCAACAGAGTCAACAGACCAATTTTCACAAACCATATGATCTTAGAGAGAAATTCAACGAAGTGGGTGGTTTTATAGTCAAAAACAAAGCCGCCATGCGTGATCGAGCTCCAAATGAATGGTTGAACCCTGTTCTTCAAATCTGCAAATTCTGTCAAAAACAGGGCAGTAATGTCAAACCAGTGATTGCGGAGAAGAAGAGAGAGATAAGTTGGCTGTTCTTGCTTCCGGGTCAGATGATTGGGTGTTGTAAGCTCACGCAGTTGAAGTATTTCTGCAAACACACCAACAATAATCGATCAGGTGCCAAGGATCGAGTTCTTTATCTCACTTATCTTGGACTCTGCAAATAGCTTCAACCCAATGGCCCTTTTGATCCTTATTGATCCAAGATTCATCATATATTTTTAAGGAATTAATAATTGTTGGTTTCAAGTTTATGGGTATATATAGATCTGAATTGGGGAAATAGTATAGAAGATTTATCATGCTTCAGCGATTCATGCTCTTGGGTTGGGATCTGATGTGCACTAAAATGTAAAAATGCCATTACTAATTAAAAAAAAAAAAAAAACAAGCTATAACTATCAGCGCCGAATTGGAACTGGATCGGAGCCCTAACGCCTTCTTGACCTTGGAAGCAGCAGTGGAAGTGAGCGATCGCTGCATTGACGGCGAGCTGGACAGCAACGACGGCGACGGGATGGGGATCGGTCGGAGTTGAAGGAATTGGTAGGAATGTAGGTGAGGGGCTTCCCGGTGGAGGTGCGGCAAGCGGCAACGAAGATCTCGTAGGCGGTGTCGCGGAGGTTGGTGGCGGAGAGAGTGGGCGTGAGGTCGCCGAATGGGGAGGGGAGAACGAAGGTGGTGGCGGTAACGGCGGCGGCGGCGGCGGCGAGGCTGAAGCGGAAGCTGGTTGTTCCGGGCATGCTCTCTTTCTTTGTATTTTTGTTATTGTTTCTGGTATTTTTATCCCATGAAAGTATAATTCAAACAATTATGTACAATATTTGGCAAGGGTTAAAATTTTTACCTAGCCAAAGCACATGCTTTAATCACAATTTTTTTTTTTCAAATATATATGTCAGAGTGATTTTTCTTTAGAGTAAAACGTCTTTAATATAATCAACCAACCATATTTCATTTCATAATTAAGAATACAACTATTTCAATTGATTGTGCAGGTGTTTAATTATTCAACCATTCCCATCTCAGTTGGTTTGGTTAAATGAGTTTTAATAGGACACTTGTCACTAATAACAGATCCAAAATTGATGCTTAGGTGAAACCAATTCAAAATTGATGCTTGGGTGAAACCAAGTGGTTGTCCGAACTCCGCGAGAAGTTGAACAAAGGTTGCTAAATTGACTTATTTCTTGGATGTACCAATTTTTTGTACTATGAATTTGTACCTAGTTAATTTAAAGCTGATGAAAGTGAACAATCAAACTCTTTGTTGTGTATGTAAGAGTATTGTCTGAAAGAGCGATGCTATCATAGCCGAAGTAGCCAATTGAGGGCATCTCGAATTGGGGAATTTTTTTTATTTGGGGACATCTCATTTCGGGGAAATTTTTTTATCTGCACCCGTTGCACTCTAAACACTCATTATCAGCTAGTGTCATATATGTACGAACATGTGCATTACACTAACGAAATCTACTGTATTCTCATATATATATATATATATTTATATATTTATTTAGAATTTCAAAAAAAAAAAAAGAGACTCATGCTTATCACATCACAGTTCAAATTCTATGAGTAGTTAGCTCTTCCATTTGTAACAAACCTTACATCATTGCCATTAGCTAATCGGAATAATAAAAACAAACAAATAAATAACTTTTATCATCTGCGTATATGCTAAATTATCCAAACCGTAACGTGGACATGCCTGATTTACCACAAATTCCATATTGTTATTTTCTTGGCAGGGAAATTTAGGTTCTTGTACAAACACATCATAGAAATTGTTCAAAACCTCCACATCAGTATTTGTTAATGTGTCACTAATGGGCGGTGTGGTCCAACCAGTAGAAATGAGAAAAAATTGAAAGGTAAGGTAGGAATGATAGAAATTTTGATTGACTAGGAAGAAAATAAGGAATTGAAGTATTGAATGATATAACCATCATATTTTTGAACAATAAAATGAAAATTCAAAAGGATTATAGGCGAAAAGTCAAGAAAGACCTTCCAAGGGCCTTCTAGCCCAATGATATCTCCTCTACCTCCCAAAGTGGATGGTGAGGGTTTAAATCTCCAAAGGAATAAAGTGGGTGTGTTAGTGTGGTGTGTGTGAGTTCCTTGTCAATGAAAGAAAAAAAAAAAAAAAAAAAAAAAACAAAAAAGACCTTAGCCCCAAAGAGCAATTCCCTCCACTCCTTTCCCCTCCCTCTTCCTCCGTCAAATCTCACCATCCCTCCTCCTAGCAAGCACAGCTCAATAATTCAAAATCCTTTTACAGAGGATGCAGAAGCATTTCTAATAAGGAAAAGTCTTTCTAAGTTGAATTCAACCCAGGCCACTAGATACAAACTAGCTTTATTAGCATTGTTACTATTTCTGGATATCTTCAAAAATGAAGCAAACTGGATTCTTTGATTTCTGGGAATTGGCCAGGCAGGACAGCTGAACACCTATCCTCGACGTGTGTAGAGACACTGCTTTCACTTCATTGTCACATGTAACAAACAGTGCCTTAAATATGCTACTTTTGAAATCCACTGTAAGATTTCAAAGTGCTCAAAGTAAAATAACAATGAAGATCAACTAAATCTTTATTCTTAACTGAAAAACAAAATAACATCAGCAGTAACGAAAGAAACCCTTTAAATATCTGCTGTCACATGCATTGAACAGAGTATCAAAAATTCAAGCCACAGTTTAGGCTGCGTCACTATCAGATTTCATGGTCCCATAATAGCAGTCTCTTTGGTGCTTCTTTTCACATGATGCCCACTGCCCTTGCTGTCCTGTGTTTCATCCACAAACACGGTGACATGGGCAGCTTTAGTAGTACCGGACACTCGGGGAGGCAACATGTCCATCTCCTTCATGACTTTCTCAATATCTGAGAGAAGTCTCTCTGCCAGGCTGCGGCTGAAGTCCTCTCTAATCACAATCTGCAGGACTGCAACGTCTCGGGCATTGGGTGGCATTGTGTACGCTGGAATGATCCATCCAAACTTTCTCAGGCTCTCGGATATTTCAAACACAGTGTGATTGCTGCTGTCTTTGAGAGCAAATGCCACCAAAGGTACCCCCACGTCTTTGGAGACAATCTCAAACAGCCCCGTCTTTAATATCCCTTCTTTCAGCACCTTTGCATTCTTCATGCAATTCTCCATTATGTTCTTGTAGCCCTATTGACAAGAACGAAAAAAAATTGTGGTATACTAGAAATTGAACGTCCACAATAAAAACCAACCAATATTGAGCAAGCTATGCCCCAATAATAGTAAAACGAAAAACAAGTTTCAAAATAAAATTTTCAATCAAATTGATTCGACGATGATATCAAATTTTTTTAGTATCTTTCTTTAATTGCATTTAAATAACATGGTATCTCTCAATGCATCAAATCTGATCTTGGAGGACACTGGAGAGATGTCAAAATGTCAAGAGACACTGTGATCAGAAGAATTACCTCAAAGCCAAGCCTTATGAACTGATAGTATTGGGCAATTATTTGGCTGGAGCCTGCCCATTTTAAAAGGAGAAAAAATCAGAAAGTAATATTTAAAGTCTGCAAATTGTAAGTTGTAGGCAGAAAATAATCAATAAATAGCGAGCTTGCACAGTAACCACAATAGCAATCAGTACCCACATTTAGCACAATCAAAAATCACACGATCATCTCAAGCCAACATCTGTATAATGGAATGTGTTCCAAGTCTTGAATGTTAAAAATTAAACATGCTCTCTGGAAAAATAACCACTTGTTTTCAGTGTAATAATGCATTTTTTGCTCGACCATAGTAACAAGAAGGTGAATAGTTTGACCCAATCCTGCGGGTTAAATAGGTTGGTTTTTTCTCTGGCGCAATTCCTCTGAATCCAATGCCAATATTAGATTTGTGACATAGTTTCGAAAATTGTTAAATTAATCTTTATGCTTATGAATCATCATCGTGATGAACAGGCAAAAGGCGGTCCCACATTATTTGTTAGGAGTTATAGCTAGAAAGGAGTTACCTTTAGAGAAGTTGAGGGTGAAAGTGGGTTGATCAGATCCAAGGTAGTTGATATGAAAGACAAGCTCATCAGGCAGGTCCTCCTTGCTTCTCCACACAACCCAGCCAACACCAGCGTACATGAGGCCATACTTGTGACCACTGACATTGATGCTCTTCACTAATGGCAAATGGAAATCCCAATCGAGATTTGGGTACAAAAATGGAGCAATGAACCCTCCACTGGCAGCATCAACATGAATTGGTGTGTTCCATCCAGTTTCCTTATTCTTTTTGGTGAGAAAATCATTAAGAAGCTTTACGTCCTCAAACTCTCCGTTCAGGGTAGACCCCAGGATTGCGGCAACACATATGGTATTTACATCCACCATCTCCACTGCTTCCACAGGATCCATTACATAGTATCCTTTTTTCAGTTTCACCTCCTTCAATTCAACCTCAAAGTACCTGGCAAATTGCTCCCAGCAGACCTGTGAAGAATAAAAATTTTGTCTGGATTTTTCAAAACAGAGATAAAAGAAAAAAAAAAGATCTAACTTCCCTGTATAATTACTAAATAAAAGCAATATAAAGGTGACATTACAATTGATGTTAATTTGAATCAACCACATTTGAAACCATTGGCTAATTTCCTTTTAAAAAAATAAAAAATTAAAGCTATGATTTCCATTATGTAATGAGTGGAGAGAAATATAATAATTAGATCCTCATGAACATCAAGTATATATATGGCTCTAATATACACAGACCCAAACTGAGGTAATTGTTCAATATGAGAATCGTCTCACGAAATATACAGAACTGGAGTAACAATAACATCTCCCACAAACAAGTACATGTTACTACTAAATATAACCGGATTATATTCTGTTTATAATCGGAGATTCATGATGATGCAATGTGAGAATATTGTATGAGTAGGCTGTGTTCACTTGGCGAAACAAGTGGTAGGCATGTTAAAGTAAACAAATATGCAAGTGCGGTATATGGCATCATCATGTGTATTTGACATTATGTTGCACAAGCTCTCATACTCTAATCGACATCTTCATGTGTGTCGGTCCAAGCTGTTACCACTGCACCCAGCAATGACATTTAGGTGCCTAACTCAAGCAACTGCACAAAAATATTAGCCCTAATTTTCTAGTCTTCGATCACAACTGTAATGGTCAGAATGACTAATTAGTTAGAACAACATCTATCACAAAAGAAAGGTTCATGGAACATTGAACAAAGACATAACATTGATGTCTAATACGCTATGAAAACAAAGTAAGAGAAACTAAAAACTTCTTAAAGGAATATCTTACTGATCATGCATGACAATTAAATGATTAGACAATGCCAATTTATTTCCAAGAATTATAATGAAATACATATATATAAAAGAAGCAAATGCATTAATTTACCTGCACGTTTGCTCCAGTGACAATGTTGGGCTTGTCATAGGGTTTGCCTTCTGATTGTCTCTTATGCTGCCACTTTCTTTTAAAGGCAAGACCAGCAAGCATTATGGCCTCTGATGAACCCACAGTTGCCACACCTACAGCCGTTTCACCGTCCTCAAGAGGGGCATGGAACATACGGCTATCATATTAACACATCGGTTCTGCATGATTAAGATTATTTGATTATAGAGAACAAAGAGCGAGTATAATCAAAATTAAGTTGTACAGTTTTGAAATCCAAAATTATATTATCACATGAAAGCCATCAATGTCATATGACAACCAATGCCTGCAATCCTTTGTATCAGATAGTTTTTTTTTTTAGGTAACTGGGTATCCGGGGTTTTGCCCCGACTAAATCCCCAGACAAAAGAGCATTCAAATAGTTGGGCTTGTATCAGTTTTTTAACCAATGCTTGCAATCCTTTGGATCAGTTTTTTTTTTTAGGTAACTGGGTATCCGGGGCTTTGCCCAGGACTAAATCCCCGGACAAAAGAGCATTCAAATAGTTGGGCCCTTCTAATGCCATTACCTTTCTTTATTTCTTACAGGATATAAAAAAGGAGTATTTTGAAGAAATGCTAGTTCAGTAAATGCCTCAATTTGTATAAAATGATTAGGCAATTCAAATACTTTTAATTTGTTTACGGAAAAAAATGAGTATTGCAAAGATATTGTAGATCAGCGAAATTTGTATGCTAATGATGATTTCAAGAAGCCAAATATAAAGATTGGTCACATTACAAATTCAACTCAAAAAGTTACACCAACTCATCTGCAGACTAACCAGGTGAAAGTAAAGCAATGTTACAGAAATTTATATGATATCATAGTCCTTGTAAGGCTCTATAAATTTACCCAACCCAACATTGACAGACCTCATGCATTGTGCTTACCCTTTTTTTTTAGTCCTTAAAATTCATTTAGTCTCTCGAGTCAATAATGACAAGAGTATGGAGTAGTCGTTGTGACATTTGTATTTCCCAAAAAAATCTTAAGAATTAAAAAATTCTTCAATTTATTATTATTATTTTTTTTTCTCTTTTTATGATCAAGAACTACGAGCCGAGAAAAATATACAATATCCGGGTACCAATCAAAAACAAAATGGATCATCTGATTTACCTATCAACATTATCCTAGATTCCTACTACATAAGGTCCATTTTTGGGTAACACTTTTTTTTCATCTAGGAAACTTCCTGCCACATCCAAGGATAGTTGTTGAGTACTAATGTTGCTCTGCTTAAGCCATCTAAAACTTCAATTTCAAACAGTAGAGACAATTATGAGAGTATTGTATGAGGAAACCTCGTGAAAGTATTAGATACTGTAATAGATAAGAGTACAATACACAGTGAGAATGGGAAATATCTAAGGGCTGACATGGAGGGAAATTTTTGTCCTTTTAACAAAAAAACAAGAAAGGGACCAAAGTGTAATCTAATCCGAAATTATTCATAGATGTAGACACACCCCATTTTTTCTTTTTCTTTTTCTTTTTTTAAGAATATATTCTCTCCGAATTGGAATAGCCCTCCTCCACATCTCTCTCTCTCTCTCTCCAAAGCCTAAGGTGCTCTCCAAAGTCCATATACAGAAGTTTATGATGGTTTTATTTATTTATTTATTAAGTCTCGTGCTTGTCCAAACCATGAAAACCAGATTTCTTGGACAATTTTTTTTTGAATTATTTTCAAACTAATCAAATAAATCCTAAAAATTTTATTTTCTTTCCATTAATTTTACTTTCTTTCACTTTTCCGTTTCACAGTTAATTTTTTTGTCTAAACAAAGGATATTACAAGAAAAAGGGAGGGAGTGGAAAAAATTGAAACCTGGAACTCGGTGGTGACAGGATACTCATCCATGTCAACGTAATTTTTGTTGATGGAGGCTATGATGAGCTTATTGCACTCGGGTTCCACATGCAATGAACAGAGCATCCAGGATTTCAAGCCACCGTTTGGGCTGCGTCACTATCAGTTTTCATGGTCCCATAATAGCACATCAACGCCCCTCAAAAAATACCTTGAATATCATATACGAACAGGTGAAGCATTAGACACGAGAAGTGAGTTCATATACAGTAAATTTTAAAAAGAAAAATCAAGGATGCTCGTTTTCTACCTGACCAAACACATGAAAGAAAGAAAACATGCATTGGACTTCCTTCCACGATGACATTCTACCCCCTAAATGCAAATGAGAATACACTTTGTCAATATCAAGTTTAAAATTCAACTGCAGATGCTTTATCCAAATTATGATGGGAACATTCAGGGAGTTACCTAGTCTTGTGGCAATATGTTATAAGTTCAAGACATCAATTTAGCAAAACAACTAGGCAAGAATTTCGGCTCTAGATGTGTATTGCGAATTCATGCATCATTTGCAGCCAAGGCATTGATCTAGAGTTGTGGTAATGAGGCCTCATTTCTTGTTCCCATTCAGATTTCTCAAACAGCTAGCAATAGAGTGTAGCAGGGAGCTATAGACACATATCATTCAACATTTCAGAACACATAACAAATATTATTACTTTTGCATCTACTACTTTCCTCTTAAGCTCATGCTCTTCCGCTTCTGACTCACTGCAAAACGGCGTGCCATAGCAGGATTGTAGAATTTCCTCATATGCTCAGATAGCCTATGAATGGCTTGGAGATTACCGATCCCAGAAAGCTGCATCAGGAAGGAATCAAAATTTCGATATGGCAATTTCATTCCCCTATTTACAACTTCTTCCAAAAGAAAGCAGGCATCCTTTGTATTATTGGAACCAAAAAGTCCTTCAATCATCACACAATAACTATCTGTATCCCGTGCACAGCGCCTCTTATCCATCTCATTCCATGTCTCAAAGGCCCCATCGATATCACCCATCTCAAAAAACATTGTAATTAGCATATTAAAAGTATGCACACTAGGCACACAACCCACCTCAATCATTTTTCCATAAAGCCTAAGCGCTTCATCACTGTTCCTATTGTCACAAAGAACCTTGAGAAAACAGTTGTAAGTAACTATATCGGGAGGGTAACCTTTGTTTCCCATCTCTTCCAAGAATTTGTAAGCTACATCAACATCCCTGGCCAAATACAAGCCTTCAATCAAATCCTTGTACGTTGCAACATCAGGGAGACATCCACTGTTTATCATGTCCCCTAGAAGTTTAAAGCATTCTTCCATTTTGTTGCTTTGGGCAAATGCCACAATCATGATTGCATATGTTTTTGAAGTGGGAGAAGAAAAGGTTGAGCCTTTCTTTCTCATGAACTCCAATAGTTCAACAGCCTCAGACACCATCCCAGCTTTGCAGAAGGTATCAATGGCAGTATTGTAAGTGAAATTGTCGGTTGTATGACCCATTTTGATCATATCTTCAAGTATCATCATACCTCTGGTTGGGTTTCTGACTCTACACCACCCAAAAAACAAAATATTGTACGTGTTAGCATCCGGTTTGACCTTATTTTTAATCCTCTTAAACATCGCTTCCGCATCCTCAACAAGACTGCACTTGCACAAAGCATCCAAAAGCAAGTTAAAGGCATTGATCTCCGGCTGCGTCTTCACCCTTATTTTTTTCTTCTTGGCAAATTTCTGAAGATGGGTCAGATGCTTTTCGGTGTATTGTCTCAAAATGGTTAACAGAACTTCGACAGGAACCGAAGTTTTGTTTTTTCTCTTCATGTAATCAAGAAGATCACAAACAATCCGAAATTGTTTAACCTTGTATTTCGTACTAGATAGTATGTCAATTATCTCATTAAACACCCGAGATTCAATAGAAAAAAATTCTTGATGCCCCACCCAAGTAAAGAATCTAAAGGCTAATTTCTCCTGGAAACGAAGCCTCCCAAGGACTTCCATGACCAATGCAGTGGTCAGTTTTATGCTAACTTGGTCAAGTGCTCTCTCCATATTATGCTCAGGACTGGAGTGGTCTATAATAGTTTCGTAGAGCTTATTGCCATCATCTGTACAACTATCAGGTGTTTGATCTAATGCCTCAGCTTCCAAAGGAGGCGAGGAAAGTGAGGAATTAACAGCTAAATTCGAACAGGAACGAAAACCAAAAGGCCAATTGATATTCCAAAGACGAGGACTAAATCTAAGTGATGATGGTGTTGGATGATGATGGTGATGAAATGAACATTGAAAGATTGGTGAAGTTACGATTCTGGAGAAATTGTAAATAAGAAGACGACTAGTAGAAGTATATGAATACGCAATAGTCGAACGAACTGAAATTCGCAACATTGCACAATCAAGAAAGAGCAAATGAGTATATATATATATATATATATATATATATATTTAGAGAGAGAGAAAGGACAGAGAGAGAGGAGGCACCTCAATGAATCCGTGATGAGATGTGGAGAATCAAAAATAAAGAGAAATGTGTTATTGAGCAGCACAGACGATGCAATACCCAGATCCTTGAGCAAATTGTTTGATTCGGAAGCCTAAACCTATGAGAGAGAAATTGATATTTTATATTTATAGTTTGATTTTTTTTTTTTTTAACTTAGCAGATTGTATTTTTTTGTTCAACCTATTGGACACAATTTGGGCCTACTCGGGCCAGGACACAATGACACACTATCAGTGGGGCTACAATAACCGTTAATTTATTTATTTATGTTTTTACAATAAGTTGAAGTTAGGAAATTTCGATTGATGAGTAGAAATACAATATAAATAAATTTTCTGGCTAAATATATATATATATAAATAAATTTTCTTTTTCTTTTTCTTTTTCTTTTTCTTTTTTTTTTTTTTTTTGTTAGTTTTTGGCAGATTCTGAGAAAAATTATTTTTATGGTTTTCAAAATTTTGGCCTAAATCCTTCCAGATTTACCAAATTAAGCAGATTTATGGAGGGATTTTGGAAATTTAAAACTACTAAATACGTATTTTTTTACTATTTAATTTATTACAAATCTTCCACAACAAGACTCCAATAGTGTTTGATAAAATCTAGCAGTTAATCCATCAGGTTGCCTGAATATTAAAAGTTTAAAACTACCTACTGATATTCAATTTTTTTGGATGGCCATCATTCAACAAATTTTTAATTTTTAATTTGATGCTTTGGATTAGTGTTTTTGTTTACTAAAAATCTTACAACCCAAAAAGAGATTATTAACCAAGGTATTGGAATTTTAAATCACTTGGGCTGTGCCTCATGAAATATCATTTTTAAAATCTGACTGTTAGTGTAAACAATTCTTTGAGTTTTCATAACCCCCCAACAAAACAAAAAAAAAAAAAAAAAAAAAAAACCTCATAAATAGAATAATAATACACAATAAGAAACAATTTGAGACTATATTAAAGAAATCAACCAATTTTGAGCAAACTTTGGACCATATTAAAAAAAAGATATGGATCATCTCCGGCTTTCTTTAAAACTTATCTGAATCATTGGTCACATCTCCCTCAACCTCTGTCTCTCTCTCTCTCTAAATTTTAGATACAAGACCAAATTTTTCTCTTTCCTTTTTAATAACTTCCATTACCCAAATTTCGCTTGTGGGAATCGGCTGCCAAGTTCTTCTTGTGCTTCTTACCGTTGGTTTAAGATGATATATTTTTATAAATAATGAATGAAGTCGGCAACGATGTCTCCAACAAGAGCAGACAATGTTGATGAACTTCCTCACGCCTGTAAAAAAAAAACTTCCTCACACCTCTAAAACATGTCTCCTTACTGTTTCTCTCATTAACGGTGTTCCTGAATCAAAAAAGCCACTTGGAGTTGGGCCTAGAACGAACTTAAGATTGTCTTCCTCGTGCAGTGCAGAGAGTGATCTAAGATCGTCATCTTCCTCTTCATTATTTATTATTATTATTATTATTTGTTCTAGAATTAATCATTATTTTTCTTTTATATATATGTGTGTGTATATATTATTTTTATAAATATATCTTCTGAACTGGTGGCGGATTCAGCAAGTAAAATTTGGATACACATGGAAGTTATTAAAAAGGGTTGAGAAAATTTTGGTCATGTATCTAAAATTTAGAAAGAGACGTTGAAAAGAGAGAGAGAGATGTAAATGTCACAAACGACGTGTCCTAATGAATGACATTTTAATATTAGCCTCACATTAATTTTGGAGAAAGTAGGAGAGAGATATCCGCGAAAAAGATCCGTATCCTATTAAAAATGGGTCAGTAAAAGCACCCAGTCACTTAAATTTTAAACTAATTTTTTTTTTTTTTTTACAATTTAAAACTCAAAACAATGATTTGATGCTCATAAACATAGTAGCTATAAAGCTATGTAAGGGGCTTGACTGACCAACTGTTTATGCACTTTATTAATAATAGAACCACCCAAAGGTTCTGTATTTAATTATGTATTTGAATGGATTAGCACTTCCGGTTGCAATACAAAATATGCAATACCTTAGGGTAGCGGTTATTGAATATCCCGACAAATTAAATTGCCTCCCGGAGTACCCAGTAACCGAGTTTTCACATGTCTAGGAAGAGAAAACTTCACAAACCAAATATATATCAAATAGTAATCTCATGAGTTAGGATTATTCACCTGATTTTGAAAGGTACCATACACATTTTCAAGAGAAAATCATACTACTACAAAGGCAATGGCAATGCAATCCACACAAAAACAAGGGTAGAGAAGGACCGAGCAAAAGCTTGCACAAGGGCGACTTACTGAGACTTAGCAGGGTCCATTAGTCTTCTTACCCTCTGCAATTCTTCTCCAATGCCCAAGTACTTCTTCAGCAGTCTCATTGCTGCTTCTTTTCACATGATGCCCACTGCCCTTGCTGTCCTGTGTTTCATCCACAACCGCGGTGACATGGGCAGTTTTAGTAGTACCGGACACTCGGGGAGGCAACATGTCCATCTCCTTCATGACTTTCTCAATGTCTGAGAGAAGTCTCTCTGCCAGGCTACGGCTGAAGTCCTCTCTAATCACAATCCGCAGGACTGCAACGTCTTGGGCATTGGGTGGCATTGTGTATGCTGGAACGATCCATCCAAACTTTCTCAGGCTCTCGGATATTTCAAACACTGTGTGATTGCTGCTGTCTTTGAGAGCGAATGCCACCAAAGGTACCCCCACGTCTTTGGAGACAATCTCAAACCGCCCCGTCTTTAATATCCCTTCTTTCAGCACCTTTGCATTCTCCATGCAATTCTCCATTATGTTCTTGTAGCCCTATTGACAAGAAAGAAAGAAAAATTGTGGTATACTAGAAATTGAACATCCACAATACAAACCAACCGATATTGAGCAAGCTATGCCCCAGGAGTAGTAAAACGAAAAACAAGTTTCAAAATAAAATTTTCAATCAAATTGATTCGATGATGAAATCAATTTTTTTTTAGTATCTTTCTTTAATTGCATTCAAATAACATGGTATCTCTCAATGCATCAAATCTGATCGTGCAGCACACTGGAGAGACATCAAAATGTCAAAGAGACAATGTGATCAGAAGAATTACCTCAAAGCCAAGCCTTATGAACTGATAGTATTGGGCAATTATTTGGCTTGAGCCTGCCAATTTTAAAAGGAGTAAAAATCAGAAAGTAATATTTAAATTCTGCACATTGTAAGTTGTAGGCAGAAAATAATCAATAAAAAGCGAGCTTGCACAGTAACCACAATAGCAATCAGTACCCACATTTAGCACAATCAAAGATCACTCGATCATCACAAGCCTACATCTGTAGAATGGAATGTGTTCCAAGTCTTGAATGTTAAAAACTAAACATGCACTCTGGAATAATAACCACTTGTTTTCAGGTCATATTAGGGGAAAAATTATAGGGATGCGCATTTTTTGCTCAACCATAGTGACAAGAAGGTGAATAGCTTGACCCAATCCTTCGGGTTAAATAGGTTGGTTTTTTCTCTGGTGCAATTCCTCTGAATCCAATGCCAATATTAGATTTGTGATATAGTTTCGAAAATTGTTAAATTAATCTTTATGTTTATGAATCATCATTGTGATGAACAGGCAAAAGGCGGTCCCAAATTATTTGTTAGGAGTTATAGCTAGAAAGGAGTTACCTTTAGAGAAGTTGAGGGTGAAAGTGGGTTGATCAGATCCAAGGTAGTTGATATGAAAGACAAGCTCGTCTGGCAGGTCCTCCTTGCTCCTCCACACAACCCAGCCAACACCAGCGTACACGAGGCCATACTTGTGACCACTGACATTGATGCTCTTCACTAATGGCATACGGAAATCCCAATCGAGATTTGGGTACAAAAATGGAGCAATGAACCCTCCACTGGCAGCATCAACATGAATTGGTGTGTTCCATCCAGTTTCCTTGTTCTTTTTGGTGAGAAGATCATTAAGCAGCTTTACGTCCTCAAACTCCCCGTTCAGGGTAGACCCCAGGATCGCGGCAACACATATGGTATTTTCATCCACCATCTCCACTGCTTCCACAGGATCCATTACATAGTATCCTTTTTTCAGTTTCACCTCCTTCAATTCAACCTCAAAGTACCTGGCAAATTTCTCCCAGCAGACCTGTGAAGCATAAATATTTAGTCTCGATTTTCAAAACACAGATAAAAAAAATAATAATAAAATAATAATAATAATAATAAAGAACTAACTTCTCTGTATAATTACTGAATAAATGCAATATAAAGGTCATATTACAATTGATGTTAATTTGAATCAACCACATTTGAAACCATTGGCTAATTTCCTTTTAAAAAAATAAAAAATTAAAGCTATGATTTCCATTATGGAATGAGTGGAGAGAAATATAATAATTAGATCCTCATGAACATCAAGTATATAAATGGCTCTAATATACAAAGACCCAAACTTGGGTAATTGTTCAATATGAGAATCGTCTTACGAAATATACAGAACTGCAGTAACAATAACATCTCCCACAAACAAGTACATGTTAATACTAAATATAACCTGATTATATTCTGTTTATAACCGGAGATTCATGATGATGCAATGAGAGAATATTGTATCAGTAGGCTGTGTTCACTTGGTGAAACAAGTGGTAGGCATGTTAAAGTAAACAAATATGCAGGTGCCCGTATATGGCATCATCATGTGTATTTGACATTATGTTGCACAAAATAGCAGCTCTCATACTCTAATCGACATCATCATGTCTGTCGGTCCAAGCAGTTACCACTGCACCCGGCAATGACATTTAGGTGCCTAACTCAAGCAACTGCAAAAAAATATTAGCCCTAATTTTATAGTCTTCGGTCACAACTGTAATGATCAGAATGACCAATTTGTTAGAACAATATCTATCACAAAAGAAAGGTTCATGGAACATTGAACAAGGCATAACATTGATGTCTTATACACTATGAAAACAAAGTCACATAAACTAAAAACTTTTTAAAAGAATATCTTACTGATCATGAATGACAATTAAATGATTAGACAATGCCAATTTATTTCCAAGAATTATAATCAAATACACATATATAAAAGAAGCAAATGCATTAATTTACCTGCACGTTTGCTCCAGTGACAATGTTGGGCTTGTCATAGGGTTTGCCTTCTGATTGTCTCTTATGCTGCCACTTTCTTTTGAAGGCAAGACCAGCCAGCATTATGGCCTCTGATGAACCCACAGTCGCCACACCTACAGCTGTTTCACCGTCCTCAAGAGGGGCATGGAACAGACGGGCTATCATATTAACGCATCGGTTCTACATGATTAAGATTATTTGATTATAGAGAACAAAGAGCGAGTATAATCAAAATTAAGTTGTACGGTTTTGAAATCCAAAATTCTATTCATCACATGAAAGCCATAGATGTGATTTGACAACCAATGCCTGCAATCCTTTGTATAAGATATATATATATATACTTTTTTTAGGTAACTGGGAATCCGGGGCTTTGCCCCCGACTAAATCCCTGGACAAAAGAGCATTCAAATAGTTGGGCCCTTCTAATGCCATTACCTTTCTTTATTTCTTACAGAATATAAAAAAGGAGTATCTTGAAGAAATGCTAGTTCAGTAAAATGCCTCAATTTGTATAAAATGATTAGGCAATTCAAATACTTTCTAATTCGTTTAAGGAAAAAAAAGAAATGAGTATTGCAAAGATATTGTAGATCAGTGAAATTCGTAGGATAATGATGATTACAAGAAGCCAAATATAAAGATTGGTCACATTGCAAATTCAACGCAAAAAGTTACACCAACTCATCTGCAGAATAACCAGGTGAAAGTGAAACAATGTTACTAAATTTTGTATGATATCATAGTCTTTGTAAGGCTGTATAAATTTGACTCTCTCTGGACCCAACATTGACGGGTCCTTGTGCATTGTGCTTACCGTCCTTAAAATTTATTTAGTGTCTCAAGTGAATAATGACAAGTATGGAGCAGTTGTTGTGACATTTGTATTTCCTAAAAAATTCTTAAGAATAAAAAAATTCTTCAATTTTTTATTTTTATTTTTCTCTTTTTATGATCAAGACCTGTGTTAGGAGCTGATAAAAATATATAATAAACCAGGTAGCGGTTGTTGGATGTCCTGGCCAATAAAAAACAAACTGGATCTTCTGTTCCTAAAATCCTAATTCTACAAAAGCCCCATTTTTGGTTAACACATTTTTTTTTTTTTTTCATCTAGGAAACTTCCTGCCACATCCAACGTAATGATGATGGATAGTTGTTGAGTACACATGTTGCTTTGCTAAAGCCAACAAAAACTTCAATTTCAAACAGTAGACACAATTATGAGAGTACAATGCACAGTGAGAATGGGAAATATCTAAGGGCTGACATGGAGGGATATTTTTGTCCTTTTAATAAATAAATAAAAAAAAAACAAGAAAGGGACCAAAGTGTAATCTACTCCGAAATTATTCATAGACGTAGACACACCCCATTTTTTATTTTTTCTTTTGCCTTCATCTTTTTTTAAGTATATATTCTTCCCAATTGGGATAGCCCTCCTCCACACATCTCTCTCCAAAGCCTAATGTGCTCTCCACAAGTCCATATACAGAAGTTTATGATGGTTTTTCTTTTTTAATTTATTAAGTCTCGTGTGCTTGTCCAAACCATGAAAGCAAGACTTCTAGCTTGAACAATATTTTTGAAATTTTTTCATACTAATCAAATAAATCCTAAAATTTTTATAATCTTTCCATTAACTTTACTTTCTTTCACTTTTCGGTTTCACAGTTGAAATTTTTTCTAAACAAAGGGATCTTACAAGAAAAAGGGAGGGAGAGAGAGAAAATACACAATTAAGAAAAGAATTGAAACCTGGAACTCGGTGGTGACAGGATACTCATCCATGTCAACGTAATTTTTGTTGATGGAGGCCATGATGAGCTTATTGCACTCGGGTTCCATCCAAGTGGTCACAAACGACGCCAGATTCAGCCTGGGGTTCCCATCCAGCATCAGCTCATCGTGTATTATCTGATATGCCGCTTCCTTCGGTACTGGCTGCTCACCCATCTCGAACCTACACATTGTTTACATATCTGTCGTCATCACCGGCCCACTCTCTGTAGATATTTTCTGCTTTATATACTCCATAAAACGGAAAAACGACCAAGAAACTAACCTGGGAAGTGAAGTGCGGACATATCTGGAAGCGAAAGTACAGTCCAAGTGACCGCCGGAGTCCTTAATGGTGGTCGTTAACACCATTTTTCTTTTCTTTCAGAGAGATAAAAAGAGGAGGTGACAGGTGAATTATAATTATGTAAGAGATAGATAGATAGATAGATAGATAGATAGGTGTTGGAGATAATTATAGTGGTTTGGAAATTAAGATGACTGTGCATTGGCACCCACCCGACGTTTCTCAACAATGAGTAAACTTAAAGGATTGCCGACCGCTACGTGATGGGACTGATAGGTAGTAGTTAATAATGGGGATGTGTGAATTGGAAGAATAGACAAGCAGAAAATTAAGGGCCAAGACTTTTTTGGATCGCCACGTCTAGTCCTACCACCTGTCCGCCACGTATCCATTTTTGGCACTGCCATTAAAAGTAGAGAAAAAACGTATCACCATTCTTCTCTCACTTCAGATTCTTTGTTTTTTTTTTTTTTTTTGCCGACTCACGGAGTAATTATTGAAATAAATAGAAATATTTTTAGATGGAGAAAAATTTTGATAGAGATTTCATTGATAATAATTCTTAGTTTTATTTAGAAAATAGTAATTAGTAACATAATTACACAAATTAGATTTTGAAAGAACAACAACTCCTAAAATAATTTTGATAATAATAATTAATAATTCTGATAATTAAAATTATAATATTAAATAATAATTGTAAATTTAGATGATAAAAAAATATATCAGATTACATTGTAGTACGACGGTCTATTGTAAATGATTTTTTGTGAAATATTGAAGATTCGCCGAAAAGAAAATCGAATGTCTACTATAAATGATTTTTTGTAAAATATTAAAGATTTGCGGAAAGAAAACGTGATGGAAACAATCCATTTGTTGGTGGTAAAAATTAAAAGTATGAAAGAATATCTTGATGAAATGTTTATTATTATTATTATTTTGAAAGTGAAATAATATAATATTTTGGGAAAGTGAAAAAAAAAATATCATATTTTGTGGGAAAGTAATATTTTGTAAAACGGATTTGTATCCTTTAACTTAAATATTCTCTAAGTTATCTTAAGTTGAATTAACTACAAATTGACACGTGAGATTTAAAATCTATGTATTACAAATATTAAACCATGTCAACTAATTTTAAAAAAGTTAAGTTTGAAAACTCTTAAATATTCATTTGGTGTACAGTTTTCAAACTTTTTTTAAATTAGTTGAGGTGATTTAACACAATAGTAGATAGATTTTCAATGTCACGTGTCAATCTGTAGCGAATTCAAGATAACTTAGAGAATATTTAACTTAAAAATCAAAGTCATTGTAAAATCGTGAATGGACTTTTGGTTATATATATATATATATATATATATAGTATATATATGTGCATGGTCAAATTTCAAAAGGGGCAACTAAACAAATATAAAAATCTTTTCATATAAAATAAAAATAAAAAAATTAAAAGTTCAGTGGGGACAGTTGCCCCTACTTGTCCCTTTGTGGCTACACCCTCCACTCTCATGTTTCGATTGCAAAAATTGGATTCAAAAAATTACATTAGAAGAGATAGTCTTGAACAACAATAATAAATAATGGAGAATCATTAGAATTTAAGTAGAACATTAATTTTAAATTCTTTTACAAACAAAAGTGAGGATATTTTTAAAAAATTTATAGATAATTTTATAAATAAATAAAAAAAATATTCAGTGGGACGCATGTTCACACAGACTCCACTTACTCCCATTATTTGTGATTCTCCCATTATTTGTGATTTCGATCATAATGCACTCTCACTTACTCCCTATATGTATGACTTAGATCATAATACACTGTCATAAAAAAAATATACACTAAATCCACAAAATGGATGTGTATTTATAATATGTAAAAGAGGACAATTTAGTGGTTAAGTTTTTAACATTAAATGGAAAAATAAATAAATAAATAAATAAAAACAACAGTTCTCATAAAAATACAAATTTGGTTCACTACTTTCAATATTAAATACTATTTGATATCAAAATTAATAGTGCTAAAATATTTAAAATTTTATTTTAATTCAATTTCATTATTACATTATGAATAATAAATAAATTATTGCCATTACTTTTGAAATTTTCACATCATATTTCTTTTAAAAATCTCACGAATCAATGTCAAATCTCTATAAATAAATTAAAAAAATTGTGCATCAATAAAGAGATTTGCGGAAACGCATATTGAGTTCTTCCTTCTCTTTAAATAGGGGAAAAGAGATTTGCGGAAAGCATCCCAAACCGGTTAGACTGAGCTAAACATGATTCGAAAAGCGCCGGCCCAAAACTCTTTTATCTACAATCCGCCCAGATTTGAGCTTTGTTCAGATTCAGGACTATTCGACCTTAATTTTGGGCTCGTAACGAGATCGTCTGAGTAAATGTATATTGTAGTTAAATTATAATTACTTATATAAGTTTATTGTATACATAAATTATCAATTACCTATATATACATAATTACCTATACAAGTATTACAAATTGTAAATCATTAATTAAATATATTGACAATTTTTTTTAGTGTCTCTAAATTTAACTACTGAATGGAAACAGTAATACATCTTTCAATTCAGTATTTAAATATAAAGAGCTTATGACTCTTGTCAGAAGAATATCTCCTAATAGTATTACTCTAATACTTCATATTAATTGTATATTTCTAAATACTACATTTTAAATTAAAAATATAATGAAAATACTAATAAGTATATTATCTACTTAGCATACTAAAAAAATTACTTAGGAACACTCCATTAAATTTCTAATAGCTAACGTGCGGAAGAATCGGAAGATTGTTATTTAATAGATAACAAAAATTAAATCGAAACTTCTATCATTTTCCGAGAAACAGAACAGCAAAAGATGGACTTTTTATGATTTGTTAGGACGATAGTTGTGACAATATTATGTAACATACTACTAAGCATAAATGTATATTTATTCCTATGACCGTATGACGTATTGAACAATAATTGGGCTAGACCAGATTTGAGATGGGTTTAAATCCAATTTGTCGGGCCAAAGTTGTCCAACCGCGTTATCCAAACCCAACGCAGACCCAAACCCAACGCAGATCAAAGTTGTCCAACCGCGTTATCCAAACCCAACTCAGATCAAGGTTGCTGTCAAAGCCTGCCCTGTGACCAACACATAGAAACCAAGTTGGCTTGGATGGTGATACAGAGCTCAGAAGTCGAACGCATCTGACCGTATTTATATGTCATCTTTTTCAACGACAATGTAAGGCAGTGGGCAATAAACCACAATTCTTTTGAGACCATGTTATCAAAGCCATGTTACCAAACACATCAACACCATGTTGGCTCCGATTGAAGTAGTAATGACCAATGTACGGTAGTTAGCAATAAACCAGAATTCTTTCTGGCGTTTCAAATATTCATAACTTCCGAACCATCAGACCAATCCTCTGTTCAATTTGAACGGTAAAAACTTGAAATGTTGTTACAGAAAGCAAAAGCATGTCTACCAAGTACGACACATTCAACACTAATAAAGTAGAGAAATAATGACTACAACTACTGACTGTTAGAATTCTCACCCAAAAAGTAACTATTCCACAAATCTCTTCTCTCAATAAATTACTTGTGAATCATGACCTCCCCCATCAAAGTGACACCATCACCCCCTATATTAAAATATTTCAAAGACAGCCCCAACTTTTAATTCAATTGTGTATACCAAGCAATGACAATATAAGAACAACATACAAACAAACTTCACAATTGTGTTAACTCTCTCGTTGATTCAATCATTTAGAACACAGAGTCTGGCCGCTTGGCTTTCCCCGCCAAAACATCCTTGGCTTCATTGATCTTAGAAGCAAGATAGTGGCTCCCACCACCATCAGGGTGGTTGGCCACCATCACCCTCCTATGAGCCTCCTTAATCTTCTCCATCACAGCATGTTCTCTGAAATCGAGGAGATCCATCAAAGGAATTTTACAACTCACAAGTTGCAGTGAAAAAATATATTAAATTTTGTATAATGATAGAAAAGAGAAAAACAAGAGCAGGAGAATTATGTGCATAAAAATTATAGTTGGCAGATATTTTTATTTTTTGAAAGTTCAAGCAAATGCACACACTCACTATATTTTGCCCTTTTAGGGACTTGAACACTCAAGTGAGGAGGTGGTGTGGGAAACGTCCCGCAGCAGCGTCGATATCCGACAATATTATAATATAAAATTAGATGAAAAAATGAAAAGAGAATTCGAATCTTATGTGCTCAACTTTGAAAGCACCAACGACGATGAAGGTAGCATAGACAAGGGTTCGGTGCATGCAGAGCCTGTAAAGGCCCTTCGAGAATTATACTTGTTTCTTCTTTCTTTCTCAACTGGAAAGTGCTCTCTTTTTAACAAAATTATGGTTGCTCTTTTTGGCAACTACTATGTCAAAAAATTTAAGCCAAGATTCATAATAGTGCGTAATTTCATTATCACACCTGTGAGCTCTATATGTCAAATATTAATCCTCATTTCAATAATGACCTAGAGACATTTACATGGGAAGGTTGCGCTAGACTGATTGAATATGAGTCAAAATCAAAATTAAAGATTTTTGTCACAATAAAAATTACTACACATTAAAAAAAGTTTTGTAGGTTGACCAACCCATTTATACTTGACCCATTTATAACCCGCCACAAACATTTTGTTAACGGATTATGACCATTTACCGCCCCGCCCCTTTATGACCCATTACTAACCCGTCCATTTGCCACCCCTAACAAAATAGTACATAATTAATCATGTTTATAAAGTTAAATAATTCAGATAACTCAATAGCCTAATTTTGAGTTGGCAAACACGTTAGTTGAAACCACCAAATACAAATTTAATAATTCATAACCTAAGGCAAAGAAATGAACAGAACATTTGGCGGTCACATATAATTCCCTCAACGGATGCCAATTATTCAGGAATATACTCTAGAAGTGAAAAAAAAATAATAATACTAATTAATAAAAAATAAAAAAAACTGCATACATATTACCTGACTCCAAGAATTAATGCTGCTTCTCGTCTTGTCATGGCCTTCTCAAATCCACCAGGATAAAATCTTCGAGTGCGAGGAATTGCTCTGAGTGCTTTCCATGCACCTATCGCATATCTACCTCCCAAGGCAGCAGTTGCAACAGTAAAGCAACCTAATACTAGAGGAGTTTCCTGACAAGTGACCAAAGAAAAAATGTAATGCTCTGTAATCCACAATATCATTTGAATGAATCCAGAAATACAGTACTTCTCCAAATTAAAATATCGATTATAGTAAATTTGCAAAATCTTGAGGCTAGCAAATTATTTGGCCGCAACTTATTGAAAAGCTACCAGTACATATACATGCCATGGACAAAGAAATTGATGACCAAACTAGAATAATTTCGTATAATAATGTTTGACTTACAACATTGAATAACAAACAACCACCTACATTATTGCATTCTTTTTTGGGTGATTGTGTTTGGTGTAAATGGTTAAAAGAGTAAGATTGAATCAAGAACTGATCATGAGTCCAAACTAGCAGAAGTGAATGATATGCGTGTTTCCACCCCATTTAAAAATGGACAACCAAAATTAAAATGCATGAAAACTTACTGAAATGATGTCTTTATATCAAGGCTTAGCATTGGAAAGTGAAGAAAAGTCACCCACACAAGATAGACAAAGACATTACATAATACCATATCTCTCCTTTTTTTTTTCCCTCCTGAAACCCACCACATTAAATTCTTACCAAGTTTTTTTAAGTTCACATAAGCTTAATTTTGTGAACCCATCTATTATACCATAGTTATTTGCTTAGTTACTTAGCACCAGTGTTTCACAATATGACCTTAAGTCTCTCCAAGTTTAACATCGACAAACAATTTTAACCTCCACATATAACCTTTATCCTTACATAAAAACACTTAAATGCTTGCTGACATTCTCTTTGTCCTTGGGGATCTTCTTAATCAAATATAAGACCCGAGACACTTACATATTATTTACTTCCAAACCTTAATTATACAATGCCAACAAGTTATTGAGCGTGTCCAGTCCTCATCTGCTTCAAAGAGTGTCTAACCTCCGATAAACTAATCGAACTTTGAACATAAAGAGGATATTTTTCTTCATGATAGAATCTAAACACCCTACATGATTCATTAAACAACTTCAGAAAGTATACCTTCCATATTTCTTTTTTTTTTTTTTTAAATGGAACCATGGAAATTAATATGAATTACGAAGAACCAAATAATATGGATATTATGTATTAATCTAATGCAAACAACCTTCCATTGCAAGTGAGGACAGAAAACTTTTGAAGTCATTTTTCCTCCATAAATATGTGCATATTTGGCAATTAAAATTCCAAAAAAAATTTGTGTCAGACTAAATGTATACAGTACACTGACTTCCCAGTAAACTTAATTTAAAATTCTGTATGTCCATGCCTAAAATTACTGGAATTACATAAATTCAAAACCAAAACATGAAGCATATTATATATCAACATATTATATTATTATTATTTTTTTTTTTTCTTTCAAAGTAATATGTAAAAAACTTAATAGGAAGTTTTTCACGAGACACCAACATTGGATAAGTTTGTGGTGCAGTTTAACATGCTTTCTAGCATATATATAATTCCTCACTAAACGACCCAATAGAATAGGATAATCAAGATATTAAATTATTCAAGAAAAACAAGAGGGATAATAAAATGATGTTACCATCAGAAATATTCAAAACTTAACCAGCCCCCTCCATAGCAAGCCGGTTGATTGACTCAACCTACAACAAAACCCTGTTGCAACTGCTGAGACCTTTTTACTTATTCCAGATCTCCTACTAACTTCACCAAATCACATCAAACTCCCACGAGCCACAAAATGAACCTTTCAGCTCTAATACCACTTGTTATGCATGCGAAACCAAATTCCTATCAAGATCCAATCAAACAAGCGAACGATATTTATTGTGGCCAACAAATCCGCCTGTCCAATGATGGGAAAAGATAATGCATCATATCTATGAATTTACAAGTGTCCCTTGTTTCAATACCCTACGGTGTTCTCTTGTCTCTTACACACATATCTACAAACCCAATAATGCAATGGCGCAAAATCCACACAACTCCCTCTCTAATAGAGCGGCATTGATCAACTGACTACCTATTATCTATCTACAGAGACCTAACTCCAAGTTTCACGTTGGACAAAGTATATGACACCTTATCATCCAAATAATTCCTACATAAAATTTCCTAAACAATATACACTACAGAATAAACTACCAAATTAAGTATCTGAGACATATCTAAAAAAACTCCACTTGAAAGAAATTCCATCAAGCCAATCATTTTTCTTTCCATTGCCATCGATTCAAACATTTGATCTTATCTTGTACAGATACAACCAGCATTCAATTAGGCACTTTTACTCAGGGATGGCTCCCACAATCCCAGTTTTACTCTAAAGACTTCCATTCAAGGACTCAGCTTCTCCTAACTCTTCAAATAGCATGCAATTTCATACCTTCAATTTCCTATTACGCAAATCTAATCACGCAATCTATGTTGTTCTATTTTACAGTACATGGACATTCACGAACTTGTTTTTACTTGGAAATTTATTTAGAGGAACTCGCAAGTGGCACCAAGTAAAATTATTTCTGGTAATTTACGAACAAACTTCTGTGGTGTTTTATTTTTTATAATATAAAAAATAAAAGGTATTTGAACATGCTGTACAAAATGCAAGTAATCTAAAATTGATAACCAAAATGAAGTCTCTCTCTTTGGGGAGAGTAGTTGTAACCATAGAAGGTGATAACCCTACTCCCATACCCAAAAGAAAGTTCAAAGATGTGGAAGAAGAAGCAAGATCAAAGTGGAGGTCCGTAGATACGAAGCCCAAAAAAAAAAAAAAAACCAAACCTCAAATACAACACAATTTCCGTATAATGTATTGAAATTAAAGAAAAACACTCATTACTTGACCGCCTAAGAAGCACGGACACGGATACGACACTGACACAATGACACAACAAATCCTAAAAAATTTGGATACGGAAATAGCGAAGACACGGCGAATAAATATATAATTATATATATATGATGTTGTACCTTAAGAAATTAAGACTAATATTATTTTTTATCAACCTAATAGTGAAAAGAAAAAAAATTTGTGCTTTAGCGGGAAAAAGAGAGAATGGTAGAAAGAGGGTTAAGAAAGAAAAGAAAACAAATAAACAAAGAGGATTAGGGTTTGTTAGAAAAAAGAATTAGGGCTTAGTTAGTAAGAACCCATAGAAGAGAAAAAGTTCATGGAAACAAGAAGAAAAAAGGAACCAACAGGCCAGTGGCCTAGCGGTACCAAACCCCTACTTCTCAAAGAGAGGTCAGGGATTCGAGCCTCTGTGGAGGCATGTGTGTGTGAGTACCCAACTAGGAAAAAAAAAAAAAAAAACACACAAAGGATTTTGTTGTGAAAGGGAAAAAAAAATTATCTAGGGTTTGTGAAGATGAAGAAGAAGAAAGAAAGAAAGAAAAGAAGAAAACAAAGAAAAAGAAGAAAAAGAGGAGAAAGAGAGAGATCGACCATCCACCGGGAGCAAAGCTTGGTCGGTGGGACAACAAGAGAGAGTCAAAGTTGATCGTGCAAGAGTTTGCTGGTCGTGTCCTTCTTTGCTTGGACGCATGTTTTAGGGAAGATTTTGACACAAGATAATTTGAGGACAACGAATCAGGCGGCAGTCAACTCTTGTTGCATGTGCCTTCGTGCTTAGGAGACGATGGATCACCTCCTTTTGCACAGCACAATGGCTAGGAAATGTTGAGATTTGATGCTTGATTTGTTTGGGGTTCAGTGGATCATGTCTAGGTCCTCCAAAGGGTTAATTGAGGCTTGGAGAGGTTGTATAGTGGGGGTCCAAGTCTGGGATGCTTGGAGGTGTGTGTCTGGTGGTGTATTTGGCTCGAGAGGAACAGGAGATCTTTCGAAAAAAAGAATCCTATTTCTATGCTTAACTTCTCTATTATCTCCACTCTTTTTTGTTGGGTTGTAGGGAGAAATTATACACCTTTAGAGGAGATTGTTGATTTTTTGGACTCTTTGAAAGTTTAGAGGCCCTTTTTGGCCTTCTATGTATTGCCTTTTGAGGGGTTCTATAATATTTTCTTACTTATCAAAAAAAAAAAAATTTGTTTTATAAAACAACTTTTAAGTAATTATGTAATAAGCATCATATTATTGAAAGCTATTAAACAACTCCTTATATTTACACAGTTACACTTCAACCTAGCTTTCTTTCTAAAACTTTTCTTAAAATCCCCAAGTGCCTTACTTAAAAACAAAAAAAAGAAAAAGAAAAGAAGGGACAAGCGTGTCGGACTTATACATGGCGTGTCCAACGCACGTACACAGCGTGTCCATGCTGAGTCTGCGTTGTGTCCGAAGAATAATAATAATAATAATAATAAAATCAGACATGTTTATTGGCCCTTTAGGCGTGTCCGTGCTTCCTAGTTGACCACTGTATTATTTCAGAGCATTCCAACAAGTCTACTGACCAAATTTTTACAAAAGCTACTCGGAAAAGTCACTTCAATGACCCCAAAAGCTATGCCAACACTTTAATATGATACAATAATGTGACATTGACTAAATAAAATGCTAAAACTTGATAACAATTTGCCTCCACAGCATATTACCTACTTTAGCAGCAGCACAAAACTTGTATGGGAGCAAATCAACAATCAGAGAACTCAACTATAGGCTAAATAGATACGAAAACCAAGTAAACTTTGATATAATATTTTCATCATTACAAAAGTAAGCCTGAAAGTTTTTGATAGCGAAACAGACCGTCCATTTAGTTAATTCAGAGAGGACCATTCTATAATCTCTAGTATGCCAAACTTGCCCATGTTTCAAAATCAACAATTTTAATTAGGCATGGAAGGAACAACCAAAAGCTCCTACGCAATTTTCTTTTATTTCTACTTGTAATTCACGAAATCATTTGCACGTCTTTGTTAAATTTGGTCCTTGGCATCATTCTTCTAGCACCGGACACAAGCAGTGTTTACCACATAACACAAATTTGGATGTCAAAATTACTCTACAGTATAAAATGAATTTAATTCTTCAATTTAGCAATAGAAGATCTGCTTGGTGCTTAGTTTATCCTTGCCTAGATCAAAAACTATAATTCACGTTATTCGGACAAAAAATCAAGCCCTGCAAATTCACGCGAATTACCAAGAACATTGTGCACTGAGCTAATATATAAACAGATTTCCAATGGCACTAAGAACAGAAAAGACTTATTTGAAGCCATTCTTTTACGTGAGGTTTCACTTTGTGTTACCGTTTAACTCATATATAAATCCTCTCCAAGCAACCCAAGAGAATAAGATAATCAAAATATAACATCATTCATTCAAAAGAAAAGGATAAGAACATGATTTTACCATCACAAATATTCACAATTCTGCACAAGCAAGCAATTATCTGCAATACAGGACAAACATAAAATCAGCAAAAGAAAAAGAAAAAAAAAAAATACGTAATGAAGTGTAGATATCTATTTGCTTAAGCTTGAATAAATTGATAATTAGTAAAACCAAAATATTGTGTTTGGTTAATGAGAAAAAGGAGGAAGATTATTCGAAAACCTTAAGTTCCGTCAGTTCGGATTTTTTTCTGGGTTAAAAAAACAAGAACGGAAATAAATCATATTCAAAAGCTTGAATCCCCGCTTCTCTCAACAACCAAACAAAAAATTCCAAGGAAGGCGCAGAAACTAACCTTTTTGTATCTGTATTTTCTTCTAAATTAGGGTTTTTTCCCCTTCTTTCTTTCTTTTCGAAGTTAAATAATGAAAAAGACGTTCTTGTTTCGTCTTCTCGGGGGATTTTTATTTTTTCTTTTTTCTTTTTTCCTGGGCCTAGGGTTTAATTATAACACAACTTGGGCAGGAAGAAAAACCCAGAAATTCCAGAGACTTCCGGGCATCCCCCTTACCGCTAAACGTATTATTACATTTATATACCTAGTGGTCCTAGTTCAATTCCAATCGAAATTGGTAACATAACTAACTATTTTATATATTTGTGATTGTGCTTTATTTAGTTTATTTTTATATTAATGTATTAATACTTTGAACATTATTATTTTTTTTTTTTGGACAAATTGTGAATGATATTTTAAACATTTGCGCCCAATTTTTAGAATTTTTTATGCTTAGACCAACATCAATCCATCCGAGTTTTCAATTCAATTCTATAAACCTAAACTCAGTCATAATTAAAAAATTTTTGAACTTCTTAATACTTGAATTGAAAATTTTGTTTGTTGAATAGACTTGACTAGGTGAGACTTGTTTCTTTTTTTATTTTTTTCTTATCTGAGAAATTATGGGAAGTGGATTCGAACATATGCCGTATAAGTGTGTGAGGGTATGTAATTAGTACGAAAATATACTAATAAAATTGGATCAAATTTTATTAATTAAATTTTTTTTTTTTTTTTTTTTTAACTTTTAATAGTTTAGATGGTAAGAAAGGATAAATTCTTTAGAGAGCAAAATTACCTAAGTTTCTCCCACACTTTCTTTAAAATAATAATAATAATAATAATAATAAAAGCTTTGTAAACATTAAAGTTACTTGAAACATAAAATGATAATTCTCCAACTTTCTTATAATATTTTTATCCTAACCAAATACATGTTAATATATATATATATATACACACACACACACATTTCATTTATTTATTTCTTTCGCTATCCAAAGTTCTCTTTTTGCTAACAAAACCAAAATAAGGAAACAAACTTCACTTATTACCCTCTAAAAATGTTTCACACTCTACAATAATTTCAAAAAATACTATTTTTCTGATTTGGTTTATTAAAAAATAGTAGAAAAATCTAAGTCACATAACACGGAAGCGAGAGTAAATTCAAGAGTAGGAACGTGAGAGCGGCATAATTAAATCATAAATAGTAAGAATTTGAGCCAAAGTGTACGTGGAGCTCGGAGCGTAAAAGCAACATCCCTTGAGAATAATTGTGTGACTCAGGGGAAGACAACCTTTGAAATTAAAAGTAATCCAAATAATTTTTTATCTTTTCTTTTTCCCATATTGAAATCCAAATTTATCACTAGGGATAGTAATTAGTGTTTGGGATTTATAATCGTATTGTGTCAACTTTAAAAATATTTTACTAAAAAGATCAATCCGAACACGACTCATTTAATAATTGTGATAGAAATTTTCAACATTAACCCGATTTATTTATTAAACGAGTAACACATGTTTAATGAACTATTCACAAAACCCGATATTATATTATTCAAATTATTTAAAATACTCAATTAAACAATAAAATACTACAATATATAGGATAAGAAGTTTATGTATATTTTTGTTTGAAATAACTTAATTATAACTTTTAATTAAATGGGTTATACATGTTAAACCTCCTCAATTAATGACTTGTTCATGTATCCGTTGCGACCTACCCCTACTTACCACTTTAAGAGCTACCTAAAACAATTGTATCAGTTGCTTTTAGCATCTAAAAGTAATTTAAAATGCATCTCCATTTATAGTAAGAAGCAATTTAACAGCACAAACTCTCGCATTTTGTGGTAGTTCAACAATTTGGATTTGCTCATGTCTTTGTTTCAATTGCTTTTAAACATTCTATGAGCATTTTGACTTGGATCAATGAGCTTGCTCTCAATCAATCAAAAACTATGTGGAATTGATCTTATCAACTCAGACTACCTTCGGATACACAAAATCTTCTTCAAATAGAGTAAATCAATCTAAGATTTTTATTTTACAAATTGATTTATGAAGCCCAATTCTGATAAAGTTAAGCTTTTTTCAATCTAAGACACATTTATACATTTATAAATGTGTTTAAAAAAAAAAAAACATATCTAAGACACATTTATACATTTATATATGGAGTGAAAAGTCTCGATCCACTGAGCTTATAGTCATCAAACTTACCTTTGCTTAATTTGTGCGCGACTTAATAATTTAAGAATTTTTGGTAATTGCTTGATAGATGAAGGGATTGTATTCGTTCTGTGGTAAATTACAAAATATATTATGAAGCAAGACACCTCTATATATAATTTATATATATATATAAGAACTGGTCAAGAGGTTTGAACCAATTCATTATTTTGATCTCCGCGTCTCTGATTTTCAATATGTATCTTCCTCAAATTATCAAGCAAAATGATAACAAGACTTAATTTTACAATTAATATCTTGTGAAAAATAAAAAATCTTTCACATTCTCACAACGATACTCTTGTACAAACGACACTCTTGTACAAACAATTGATGTGAGAGTGTATTTTTCAAGTTGTCGCGAGAAGAATGACTGATGTGAAAGTCTCATTGTCGGATTGTCACGACTTGAACTAAAAAAATCATCCTAAGAACTAATAATTGTTTTAGAAAAAGTCAATTAAATCATTTTTTGTCTTACTGTCTATTCCCTTTTCAATTCTTTGAAAATGGAATATTACTTTGAAAAAAAGAAAAAAAAAAAAAAAACACTATTAAAGGCTAAAGCTGCCAACTTTGATTCATATAGTTAGACCACCTCAATTGGTCAAGGTTGCAATTTTTTTGAATTTTTCCACTTCTTAAACCTAGTCTTCCGAAATAGCCCCGAGTCAAGTCAAAATTTCCCAAAAATTAATAAAACACCCTATGCCCCAAGCCCAGAGCAATCAATATATATATATATATATATATATATATTCTCTTCTCAATCAATATATTCCATATGGTGTGCTTGTGAAATATAGGAGAGGAGAAAAGTAAAAAAAAAAAGACAAAAAACAAAACAAAACAGCAGTCACATGATGCCATGCAGGAACCAAAAATGCTGCAGATATTATTATATGTTTCCAAACATCGATTGGGATCACTTGTTCTGGGCCTTAACATACATACATATATATACATATATAGTTATGTACTAATGTACATATACTGTATTAAAGAGAGAGTGCAAACGAATGGTCACACCCTTGTCATAATCAAACATCTTTCTTCGCAATAACGACCCTCCTTTTGATAAGTAGGTAAAGCAAAATTTGTAGTGTGAAATCCCACTTATACTTTGTAAGGTTTGTTAATAATTTATATATATATATATATATATATATATATATATTTTTTTTTTTTCTTTTCAATTATCTCCTTTGAGATTTTGATTTATTTAATAGAGTTGTTTCATATTAGAAGATAAACAGAGATAAATAGAATATGATGATGTAAGCATAAGAAAATTTACAAAAGGTCAATTTTGTGGTTCTCATGGACAAAACAGTAAATGACACATTAAAAATATTAAGTTGGACCATCCTCACTTATAGAGGAAGTAATTGAAATTATGAAACGTAAAAAAAATTTATGTAAAATATTAACAAACGTAAATGAGATTTATCCAATTTTCATTTCCATCAAGATGGTTTTGTAAATGTTTATTAGGCATGGCTATTGGCATTTTAGTCATAAATATGGGAAAATATGAGAGTGATATCATAAACAATTGCGGTCTAAACCTTGAAATAGCATTATCCAGCGTAATGATAGTTACAGATGTGATGTAAGCTTTTTCTTTTCTTGGAATTTTATGAAGTAGAGGCTATAATGCTCACTTATATTAAGAAAATAGGTGACAAAGAAGAAAAGAGATACATATAGAATGATTTAATTGTAAGACCATCTTTATTTGTTACTTGAACTTACTGATGGCCATCAAATTATGATCTATCAAGGATGGAAAAAAACCCTCCATTATGAATGAAAAGAGATGAGACTAACAAACGAATAATAATAATTATATCAACATACATTAAAAAAAGAAAAAAAAAAAAAAAAGAGATTAAATAGAGAAATGAAACCAATGAATAATATTTACCTTTCATTAGGTTTGTAAAAAAATTAACATGTCGTCTATTCGGTGCGAGTGAAGAGCTGATGATGTCAGCCCTTCACTCAATCACTCAATCAAAATAGTTGTGTCAGACTATATCTATATTATGACTCAAAAAGAAATGATCATTTTATTTTGTGATTGAGGCTGCATTTTGGTTCATCTTCCATTAATAGTAAAATTGGCAAAATCATTGATTAAAAAGTCAAGCTAGTCTTTCTCCTTTCATTTTATTTCCTTTGATCAAAATCTGATCTTAATAATCTAATCCAAGTTCCAACCTCTTGATTGTGGAATATCGGTTTTAATACCATTTATTGTAAAAAAAATATATTGAATTAATTTATTTGAAAGATGTTGAATTATATCCTAAAATCATTTATTCTAATTAAAGAATCATCTAATTAAAATCACTTAATAAAGTATGGATTTGAATAGGTATTGTACTGATTTGCTATGGATTTGAATGGGTATTGAGTATAATATACTAAAGAGAGTTAATGATTTGCAATTCAATTTTTTATATTCAAACTTTAATTCATAAAATATTTGCACCTAAAAAGAGTTTGTTGCATTTTGTTTTGTTACAAACTTTTAAGAGTAATTCAACTCAATTGGTACTATATTTTCGTCATTTGGTGAGTACACTGAAGGAATTAAATTTGTAGAAGAGCTGGACACCCACCCAAAAAGGTCAGTTTGACTTTTGGGCGAAACTTTCTTGGAGTTTGTGGGAGTCACATAAATGTCAACCAAGAAAGGTCATTTTTGTCATTACACGAACTCGCCTGGAAACACTCGCCGACGGTCGGGACTTAAAACCCTCCGGCCACTGTCTTAAAAGCTCATAACTGTACGCCTGGCTGTGAGTAAGCATGTGTACTAACTATTTCAGAGAGAGAAAAGAAGAGAGAGAAAGAGAGACCCTCGAATGATGAGTAACGAATTTAAAACCCCCCTCTCCTTCTCTCTCTTTCTCTCTCTGTAATCAGAGAAAGAGGAGAGAGAAAAGGGCTTTAAATCCGTCGGTTACCACGCATACAATATACGTACTTGAGGTTGGTTGGCTCCCTTATCGATCTTCTTCTAAAACAACGCGAACCTCCCTTTTAATTGCTCACTCACTCCACTCCGAAATTTCATTTCATTAAAAAAATTTATCACTCTCTCTCTCTCTCTCTCTCTCTCTCTCTATAAATATATCTCTCTCTATATATCTATATTTATAGATATTTATGCCGATATCTCCGATTTTCCGGCCGACGAGGCGGCTCTGTTCAAAATGAAATGAAATGGGTATTGTTTAAACAATGCGTTACATGCTCAAAATCGGAGCATCGATTTTCAAATCAGAATTCAAATCGAAATCTTCTGGGCGCGAGTTCTTCTTCTTTTGCTGTATTTTGTTGGGTTTTTTCGAATAATATGACGGGAATAGCTGATTTTCAAAAGCTTCTTGAGGACAAGTACTACTATTGTTATAATCACTACTACCACCTGCGCGACAGTTGCCGGAGGTGTTGGTGACTCCTCCGACGATGATGGACTACGGCGGCGGAGGCGGGGGGTCGGGAGGCGATCACCACGATGCCTCCGACCCTCACCGGAAGAAGAAACGTTACCACCGCCACACTGCTCACCAGATTCAGAGACTTGAAGCGTAAGATTGCCTTTACATGCATACACTCTTTTATCTTATAATAATGATAATGATAATAATGAAAGTAATAGTAAATAGTAATAATCACAACATGCACTTTTTTTTTTTTTCCTTGTTCATTCTATATACATGTTTGATTTTGTAATAAAATGGTGTTTGCTGTTGTTATGATGTCGATGCGAATGAAGGATGTTCAAAGAATTTCCTCATCCAGATGAAAAACAGAGATTACAGTTAAGCAGAGAGTTGGGCTTGGCTCCTAGACAGATTAAATTTTGGTTTCAAAACAGAAGAACCCAAATGAAGGTCTTTTTTTTTTGCTATGTTTATTCTCATTCTGTTCCTCCTGTTCTTGAGCGATTGAACTTGTTTGTAATTTTTTCTATTTTTTTTAATGTGTCTGTGATTTTATTGATATAGGCTCAACATGAACGAGCCGATAACTGTGCACTCCGGTCTGAGAATGATAAGATTCGATGTGAAAACATAGCAATCAGAGAGGCTCTAAAAAATGTGATATGCCCCTCTTGTGGAGGTCCTCCCGTTGGCGAAGATTCGTATTTCGATGAGCAAAAATTGAGAATGGAAAATGCCCAGTTGAAAGAAGAGGTAGCTTAAATGAATTCATACTTCAACTATTTTTATTTATTTATTTATTTTTTCTTCTTCTTCTACTAATCATTTTGTTAAACACTCTTGCTTTGCAGCTTGACAGAGTTTCGAGCATAGCTGCCAAGTACATAGGAAGGCCCATTTCTCAGCTCCCATCCATACAGCCAATTCACATGTCTTCATTGGATTTATCGATGGCAAGTTTCGGAGGCCATGGGATGAGTGGTCCTTCACTTGATCTTGATCTTCTCTCTGGTGGTTCGGCGACTATCCCCAATCCGCCTTTTCAGGCAACAAATTTTACAGAAATGGATAAATCCGTCATGGCTGATATTGCTGGTAGATCAATGGATGAATTGATCAGACTTTTGCAGACAACGCAGACAAACGAACCGTTGTGGATGAAGTCCACAGCTGATGGGAGGGAGGTTCTTAACCTCGAAAATTATGAGAGGATTTTCCCGAGGGCTAATACTCACTTGAAAAATCCCAATGTTCGGGTTGAAGCATCAAGAGATTCAGGTGTAGTGATAATGAATAGTTTGGCATTGGTTGACATGTTTATGGACTCGGTTAGTTCCTTTCCTCTATTTCTCAAATCATAGTAAAATTTGAATCCCAATTGTTCACTTTCGTGACTCGGCTGTGTTGAATTTGCAGAACAAATGGGTGGACCTATTTTCCACAATTGTCTCGAGGGCTAGAATAATTGAAGTAATATCTTCTGGAATGATGGGTAGCCAAAGTGGTTCCTTGCAACTGGTTATTAGCACCAACCTTCTCACTTTCTTTTGAGTTCAATACTACTGTGGCAGATTTTTGTTTGTCTATATTCTTATTAGTAAGGGTTCCTTGCAGATGTACCAAGAGTTGCAAGTGCTTTCTCCATTGGTACCAACTCGACAATTCTATTTCCTACGTTTCTGTCAGCAAATCGAACAAGGCTTGTGGGCAATAATTGATGTTTCATATGATTTACCTCAAATGAACCAATTTGCCTCTCAATGCCGGTGTCAACGGCTGCCTTCTGGATGCTTGATTCAAGATATGCCTAATGGGTACTCCAAGGTTGTCAAGTCAATCTACTAACATTTTTTCTGTTGTTTTATATTCTTAGTTTGTGATATACAAGTTGTAATCCTTGTATAACATAGTCCTTGCCGTGCCGGAAACAGGTTACTTGGGTGGAACACATGGAAATAGAAGACAGAACCCCAATTCATGCTCTTTACAGAGATCTCATACACAGTGGATTGGCATTTGGTGCAGAACGATGGCTTGCTACTCTTCAGAGGATGTGCGAAAGATTCGCTTGTTTGATGGTGACAGGCACGTCAACTCGTGATCTTGGAGGAGGTAACTAACTCTTAAACCAATTTCTTCAATGCTTAATCACCTATTCAATTTCATTTAGTGAACAAACTTTTCCATTTCCAGTGATTCCGTCTCCCGATGGCAAACGAAGCATGATGAAACTTGCCCAGAGAATGGTGAACAACTTCTGTGCAAGCATCAACCCATCGAACGGCCACCAATGGACCACTCTCTCTGGTGTGAATGAAACAGAAATCCGAGCCACTCTTCATAAGAGCACGGACCCTGGACAGCCCAATGGCGTGGTTCTTAGTGCAGCTACTACAATTTGGCTTCCAATTTCTCCACAGAATGTCTTCAATTTCTTTAGAGATGAAAGAACTCGTCCTCAGGTATATGCATGCGCGCTGCGCGCACACATGATAACTTGAATGCAAATATGAAAGTAGGACACTGTTTAACCAACCAAGTTAATTGGCTATTCAAGTTTTGTAATGCTTTGTTTTTCTTCCTGATTTTTGTAGTGGGACGTGCTATCCCATGGCAATGCCGTCCAGGAGGTTGCCCACATTGCGAATGGGTCTCATCCAGGGAACTGTATATCTGTTCTTCGGGTAAACTCAGATCAAATTTTCGATGAAATAGTTCATTTTTTGCATTTCAGTTTCCTTATCATATAGTTCTGTAGCAATTGGGATGTATTCTTTGGATATATTTGTTTTATAATTTTCAAATTACTCTACTTGATCAAGTGCAATGTTTGTTGATTAGGCCTTCAATACCAGCCAGAACAATATGTTGTTACTCCAAGAAAGTTGCATAGATTCATCGGGTTCGCTTGTTGTCTACTGCCCGGTGGACCTACCTGCCATCAATATAGCAATGAGCGGCGAGGATCCTTCATACATACCACTGCTGCCATCAGGGTTCGCCATTTCACCGGATGGGCGGCCCGACCAAGGTGGGGACGGAGCGTCGACAAGCTCCAACACTCATGGGGTGATGGGTGGTAGGTCAGCAGGTTCACTTATTACTGTAGTATTTCAAATACTAGTGAGTAGCTTGCCATCTGCTAAGATGAGCCCGGAGTCGGTGACGACCGTTAATAACCTTATCAGCTCCACTGTCCAGCAAATTAAAGCTGCCTTGAATTGCACTAGCTAGTTCCTGATGAGGTTCTGTTGCTCCCACAACTGTCCACCATATTTAAATACACAGGAGAAAAAATTCAGAGTCCTCTTCATGTTGGTGGTATTGAATGAAGGTGGAACACTATTGGGTTAGTTGGGACTTTGAATGCTCCATCATCAATAGCTGAAGCTGACTTATTGCTGCTGCTGCTGCTTCTCTGGCTGGTGTTGCTGTTTTTGCTGCCAAACCTCATTACAGTTTACAACAACTTCACTTCAAAAAATTTCTTTTTTCTTTTTAAATTTTTTATTTCTATTTTCTTTGAGTGTTTGTGTTTAATCCCTTTTTTTATTTTTGGGTTTGTCATTTTCATTTGGGTTTGGAGGGTTAGGCTTTAAAAGAGGAAGTCAAGAACGCACCATACGTGAATTTCCTGCTGTGGGGTCACTCTGTCTTTGTCACTGTTACATTTTTTTCCATTTGCTTTCCGTCTCTCTCTTTCTTTGCCTTACTCAACACAGCAAGAATAATGTATGGTTCGGGTATTGACTTCTGTTCATGGACTTTTTATCATCTATCTATGGAGCTATCTACAGGATCATCTACTAATTTTCACCTCCATCTATCTCTCTCTCTCTCTCTCTCTCTATATATATATATATATGCGTGTGTATATCTCTCTCTCTCTCTCTATATATATATATATATATGTATATATGTAACATTTTATGGGCAAATACGTCTTTCCAAACTCCAAAGTCATAGTACTGGGGACAGATGGTGACGGGTTGGACAGTTTTGTAGCTTGAACATCAATTGGGATGTGGGCTCCACGATTCTGAGGTTAATTTGAAGGTGATTGAACAACAACATATAAACATTACCTACATGTGATTTACATCTTTTGTTAAAAAATATAAAATAAAGGCATACGTGGTCTTCTAGGGAACAGAAGACTCATCATCAAGACCACTTCTGGTCTGGTTTTGATTTTGAAGGAGGAGACTTCGAAACAATTTGTTGTTGACTCTGTGTTCACCGTCTCACGCGCCTTAATTATCAAGATTCGAATTTCCAATGCTTACACAACTTTTACTACAATAATTTGAATTTCTTATTCCTAATTTTCAGAAGTGAATTAAAGTTTAGGTACCGTTCGGAGAGCATCTTAAATAGGCTTTGAAAGGACTTGTTCTCCAAAAACAGATTTTTATGGAAGTTTTTAAATATTGATTGACCATCAGCAGTTTAGGAATGCAAATGAAATGAGTTGTTGATGAAAATTTCGTGCTTTGCTTGGACATATTTGTTTCTATTTGTTAAGTAAATTTGAGTTCCAACTCTCTTACTAAACGAGTTAGTCCAAAAAATTTTGAACTTAGCTCTTGTAAACTTATATATATTCGAGAACATAGTCTTGTACTGTGCTTGCATATATTCGGGAACAAAAGCTCAGGGCTTGCATAGATTCGTAAATTGTAAACTTTTAATATTTGTTTCTATGTTTTATTGGAATTCTTTAATCTTTTGAAGTAGGAAAAAAAAATGCAAACGAACCTAGTAAGCTTAAAAACAAGAATAAATGAATTTTGAACATGAGTTCAAAATGAGCCCAAGCCCGAATAGCCTAAAGTTCAGCTCGGCTTGGTTCGTTTGCAACTCTATCTATTGTCTTCTTGAAGTTTGAAAGGAATTTTTGAAGCATCATGAAACCATTATAAAACATGTGGTAAATTGCCAAAAAAAAAAAAAAATCCTTAAACTATTATTACTCCCTGAACTATTTCTTTACCAGAAAGAATCCTTAAACTATTATTACTCCTTGAAATATTTCTTTACAAAAAAAAAAAAAAAAATCCTCAAATTAATTTTCTAACATATAACACCTTAAACTATATCCTCTTTTTTTTTTTTTTTTGGTCCATATGATGGACCAATAACAAATTGACACCTATTGAGTAATGGATTTTTGGATCAAACATATACCGGAAATTATACTTCATACACATAATTATTATATAAATAAATAACCACTGCAAATATTTTGGGTAAATCCAGAATTGTTAGATGTGAACTAACCAATCACATCTATCTCTCCCACCCCAGAAGATAAAAATAAAAAGAACAAGCCATGAAAAAATATAGTCTAATAAAAAGACTAAAACTAAAGTGCTCTAATGATTGGAAATCTTTTATTTATTTATTTTCAAATAAAAATAAAAGAACAATTAGTTATACAAAATGAATGTTGAAAACAAGTCAGTCCATTGACACAAAACTCATTCTCTTAAGCATTTGATTGCCAAGGGAGCATTTGCAAAAATTTGATAGTTGAAGGAGTTTTTCTGTAATTAACATTAACCTTTGTAAGTAATGAATGGGCAATTTAGTAATTGAACAAACAATTAGTTTGTCACTATCTGCAAGATCTTGATAGTTGAGATTTATTTATTTATTATTATTATTTTTTTACCTGAGCTATTTACAAAACCTTGATAATTTTAGGAAGTATTGTCATTTATAGATTTTGATCCACGAGAACTCGTATTAATTACTAACCCCATAAAAATAAAAAAATAAAAATAAAAAATAAAAAAAACTCGTATTAATCAAAAGGAAAAATAACTCAAAGAAAGTACAATACAAAACAAACAATGGTCAGGAATTTCAAGACATGTACGGGTCAACTCACCTAGTTATTAGAATATTAATTAGTCGGGCAGGAATTTAAAGCCAAAACCATATGTTATTATTAGTTAGTTGGTTATGTATGTAAGAGTTCATGCTGCAATACAATTATGAAATCACTTTGAGCAAGCACTACTAAAAAATTTGTCCAAACAGTCCCAAATGGTAGGTTAATACTTGCCCTGTTTTAGATCACAGTAGTTTACACATATTCAGACCTTCCCCATTTTCGTGGGGCCTGGGACAATGTTGACCAGCCACTCTGGATAATTGGAGACCATCAGAAATCCAGATCTCCAACTATTATCTAGCATACATAAGTAAGCTTAGGCTCAAGCTCGGCTTGTTTAGTAAACGATCTCGTATTTAAAAACCAAAATGAGCCAAGGAAACAGAACCAGAGTAAGGAATAGCTAGATTCATCTGAAACCTTATCTAGTGCTAAATGTTAGTGGCTCTCTCACTTGAATGCTGTACTGGCCTCTCTGCTTAGTGCTGAACTGTACTGCTGCAATTTATGGAATGGGGCCAATATGACAGCTTTCAGTCATCCTATTCTACAACATGTTTTATGGATGATCCTAGTGTGAGTGAGGCATTGTTTTGGGAAATTTTGTTTCCATTGTCATATATGCATTGATTTAAATTAATGTCTCCCAACCCCATCTTTTTGGTTCACACATGATTGGGGATTCAATGCCACTCTAAAACCCAACCAACAATATAGTAGAAAATATAAATGCCAAATGAAACATTTTATTGACAAGTAAAGCATTTACAATATTAGGGTTTTTCACAGAATTTCTTGAGATTGCACCGTCTAATCACGGTGCTGATGATCAGGTGAGCTATATAAATTCTTTATAGCATAAACAATGACAAAAACAGAGATAGCAACAAAGCACCACGAACCACTGGACAAAGTTGCACCAAGGTTTCTTCGGTAGCCTAGCCACTGCTTCTGCTCTGGACTACCTTCTTCCCTGTGAACATTAATCACCAGATCAATTTGGATCAATTTGAAAAAAAAATACAAAGGTTTTAGTATTGGAAGCAAGAGAATGATGAATTGAAAAACCAGGTATGACATGTGTGATCATATTTGTACACATTACTTTGGTTTTGGTTCATCTTTTGTGGGACGCGTAGGTGGTTCATCTTTTGTGGAACGCGTTGGCTGAGTGTCTGTCTTTGGCACCGGCACTGGTTGTTGGGGTTCAGGTGATGATAATGGTGCAGGGGCTGCTGGTGGTTGAGGTTCATCACTTGGGATTGCTACATTCTTCACCTATAACATTATATGTACATAAGTTCATATTTATTTTGTCAATAAATTCTCAACAATTAAATTAATATAATAGGTCCAATCCAACTCACCAGATCTCTGAATTGCTGATTGTAGAACATTTGAATGTATCTTAGCTTAGCTTGCTTTTGCTCCTTGTTCAATTGTCTCCAAAAGCCATATATAGACCCCATGTTCAACACTTTGTTCGCGTAAATCTTCCATGTGTAGCTGCAAGGCAACAGGATTAGAGATAATATGACAATTCAAATGGAAAACGGAAAAAACTAGATATTGTAGGGCCCTCTGGTACCATTCATAGATACGCTTGAGACCGGCTTGAGACATCTTGTTCCAATATCCAGCATCCACCTTGCATTTCTCAAAGAAATTGGCAATCTTGTTGCTTGACTCGTCGCCATTGTTAGGATCAATGTGGAAGCTTGATACCCCATCAACAATGATCTCTGCTGGTCCTCCTTGATTAGTTGCAAATGTGGGTAATCCACAGTTCATTGCTTCAATAACTGTTAGACCAAAAGCTTCATATAGTGCAGGCTGCACAAAAGCTCCCTTTGTATCTGCAATGCAGCGATACAGCTCACCATTCCGGTACCTGTCGTTTTGAGCTGCTATCCATCTGATCTGACCCTTGAGTTGGTATTTCTCTATCAATGTGTGCATCTTTTTTATTTCCATGATTTCTTCCCGGTCTTTCGATTTGGATGCATCAAAGAACCCAGCCACCACAACAAGATTTACCAAATTTCTGAGCCTTTTGTTCTTCGCATACCACTCAGTCAATCCTGTTATGTTCTTCACCGTGTCAAGTCTCGCCATTGAAAAGATGATGGGCTTCTTCCTATCTGCAAGAAAACCACTGTTCCAGGCCTAATTTAGTTTTGATGCTAAAAACTTGCAAGTGCACACAATGCACATGAATTGAGTGGAATAGAGAGATTAACTTACGTGTGCTCGCTATTATCCTCCTTACTGTAGAGTAGTTCTTCAATGGAAGGATGAAATGAGGTTAATCGCTTCTGTTTCTCGGAGAAGGGAAAAAAGATGGATTGATCAGCCCCAGGGGCAGCAATGTTGAACTTTGGATCGAAGACATTGATGCCTGAAACCACTCTATGAAGGCCTGGCATGGTAAATGCCGTATGGCTTTCATACTGTCCAGGCCTTTTCTTACTGGGAAAATTGAGAAAAGATTCATTTAGCTTTGGCCAGCACTGCAGACAATCATTGTATGCATCTAGCTAAACAGAAAATGTCATAAAACCGGCTAACCTTCCTGCGATTTCTTGATAAGTGCTAGTAATGATGAAATCAGCTGCATTCATCGCAATCAAGTCAGCTGTAAATTGACATGAGAAATGGTACTTTGGATCCAACTCCTTCCACTTCACATCAGAATCTTCATACTTAGTTTTCTCTAAAGCATGAGCAATGGTTCCCTAGGTTCAAAGCATGACGAAGTTAAGAAATAGAAAGTGAAGCAATTCACATAAACAGTTTCAAACTAATCAACAATGATTAAACCAGAGTAATTCCGAGTCTGCTAGCCACTAGAGATGCCACCAGGTTTCCATCAGTGTAATTCCCAAGTACAAGGTCTGGTTTACATTCCATGTGCTCTAGGATCTTAGCAGTAGCATCCTAGTGATGAGAGAGAGACACACAGAGAGTTGAATTGATAAACAAAGATTAGATTTTTTAAAAAAAAAAGAAGGTGCAAATAAAGGAATGAAAACGGAGAGATGACTTGCCTCAGCAAACTTTTCCAGGTATGGGTAGACATCAAACCTGGAAAGCCATGGCCGGAGAACCCCTTTCTCAGTCCGGAAAGGGACCCTAAGGATGTGAGTGTGCATAGTGTTAAGGATAGGCTCCATCTCCTGGTTGCACTTTGTCCCTTTTGCATCTGGTATAAGACGAGTTACCTATATTCGATATAGCAGAAGAAAATAGGAATTAAATTCTCTATATCATATCTTCAATTGGTTGAAAACTACCAAATCTTTATGAATTATATATGTATGTATAACTGACCACAAGAATCTGAGGCTTCACATTCAAGCCCTGTTGCTTAATTCTGAGAAGCAGTTCTTCCTCTAAAGCTTTCACTTGATCTAGAATGTAAACAACCTGTTTAAATTTATACAGATAAAACATTAGTCCTGAATGAACATGGAGTGTCACGGGTGACATGTCTATTATTATTTCAAATGACTATATACTACTACTACTAATACTAAGAAATTGAAGCTGATCAAGTTATACACCTGGCCTCCAGTATCTGGCAAGCCAAGTACATCCGACTGACCAAAGTAGCCGTGAACGGAGAAGATTACAACGTTGAATATGACAGGAAGCCTCCTAAAGAGGGACTCCATGTTAACAGGGTCTGGAGCCTGAAGTGTCTCGGAAAGTATGCTCATTGTCTCTTTGGTTCTTTCTGCATTTTCACCCCATCCTTTCTCAAAGCCCCACTCTTTAAGCCTGAAACATTTGAAACCACTTAGCATAGTAAGTAAGATTTTAAAATTCTACAATTTGATTCTAATCAAAGTAGAAAATGGTAACCTCTGCTCAAACTTCTGATAAGGCGTGTCTTTTGGTAGCGCGGAGATGAAAATATCAGCTGTCATCAATGCAACTTGAAGATTGGCTACTGTATTGAGTGTGTCATTGATCATAAGTTTCTGTGATTTTTGGAACCAAAATCAAACATCCCAATTAGTGACAAAATCAAATGCATTCCTCTTTGAAATTATTTGATTATTTTTTCAGTTTCTTTTCGTACCTCTCCATGATGACTAAGAGCAAGTAAGTACTCCAGCAAAGGCTTTGCACTCTCAGAACCCCCATTAAGCTTTGAAGTCAAGAACTTCGAGATATAACTGACTCCATTTCCAATAGAAGAAGAAAGGGTTAAGCGAGGAGTGCAGAAGTCTAATGCTCCAAAATCTATTTCCATTGCATTTTCGTCGTTGGCCCTGCATATCAAAAACACAAGTTACAATTCCTGAGCTAAATTTCAATAATTATTTTTAAAAAATCTGTTGAATTTTGTACAAAAAAAATATGGGACTTGAACAGCTAGCACGCACCACTTTTCGTTGTAGATCAATTCTTTGAATTTCAAGTATTCTGTTGAAGTCATAACATCTACAGCTAGATCATCATTGTTCACCTTGACATATTCCCATAAACCAGGATTGCGCCTTACTGCTAAAGCAACATAAGGTGGAACAACAGCAGCCTCCTGCAAATATTAAGAAGAATTTCAGTCTTTTTCGAAAGTTCAAGCAAAGCAAACGTGCACACAGCACATAACATTGCCCTAACAGGACTCGAACACTCAATGTTCCCTTTGGGGGAGGAGAGCACATTCCATATGGACTGATACCAATTGGTAAGAAGAACTTCATAGTCTACAAACATATATATATATATATATATATATATTTGAAGATTAAAAAAGAAATAGATAGAGTAATTGAGCACCTCAGTGGAACTGAAGACTTCACCAAGCAGACCAGCCAAGACTTTGTTTCTTTCAACCTTGTCCTCTATTGATTTCTCCATTTCTTCCACTAAATGATGGGTTTTCAGTAACCTTCTCCCCATTCCCACAAACCTTAATTTACAAAGGAAATCAAGTTTCAAAAGTCAAAATAAACAAGTTAGGACTCTTCATTGGAAATGTGTAGTTTAAAGAGAAATACAAGTCTGCTTGGTTTGTCACTCATAAAACAATTCTCAACGACTCAGAAAGTATAAATAGTTTTTAAAAACTATCAACCAAACAGATTTTTATACAGTTTTCTAATTTTCAGTTCTAAGATAATACTGAAGCAATAATTCAAGAAAAAAGAAGTACCTAGCAAAGCATCTTTTCATATGAAACCGGTTCTGCTTCAATGCATCTGGCATGCCATCAACCATAGATGATTGTTTGAAAACTGGTGAAGAAGCCATTGTAATGCTAAAAATGGTTTGTAGTTGAATGGAGGAATTGGTTTTCTGTCCTCTGATCCCTGAAGTAGAGAGTATATATAGAGGACACCATAATGGGAGGGAATATGAGGCTAAGGGAAGGGAAGAAAAGAAAGAACATTCCTTGATGCTGAGTGTTGGAAATTAATAAAGGGTGAAAGCAAGAAAGGAATTTGTGATTGGTTAGATCCAAATCTGATTTTACCCTTTCAGATGGATTAGCCTTTTATTCTTTTCTTCCTTAGTTGTATATATCCAAACAATTGTGGTTTAATTTGCACTGCATGTCTCTTGTTTCTATATATCACATGCAGTTGTTCTTTCTATTTTGCACTTTTAGGCCATGGTTGGAATGGAATGAAACACTCATTCCACTTTTTCATTCCTGTTTTTTTTTTTCGAGTTTGAAAAGTAAAGTATGTCTCTTTTTTGGGTAGGTGAAATGGTCATTCCCATAAAAATTACCATCTTAACCTAAGGAATGTGCATTCTATTTTCAAGGAAAAAAATGAGGGAAAAAAAGAGAGGAAAGCAAGAAAAAAATAGTATTAATTAATTAGGATAAAATGTGAAGGAGAGAGGACAATTAATCATTTTCCTTCACTATATATATATATATATAAACAGTTAACCCATTTTTCCTTGGATCAAACAGTTTTAAAATGGTTCAATCATATTATAAAACAGGTTGGAGGAAGCAAATACTATTGTTATTTCAGAAGGATAGTGGACAAAGAAAATAAAAAAGAAACTTTCTTAATTTGTAGCAGTGGAAAGCAAATGAAATACGAATTCACTTGTTACAGAAAGAGTAGTGATATACAATACAGGGCATTATACAAACCCATCAAAACACATAATTCAAATGGAAACGTTAACATGGGAATTGGGATACATTCAAGATTTGGCTTGTTTTTCAGACTTTCTTCTGGCCCGCCTTTCCCTAGAGCTGAGAGACGACTTGAAACCTTCGTTTTCAGAATTTTCCGAATCCTCTAAATCTCTGAAAGATTTCTGCATACATACATAACGGTAAGAGTAATGCTATTAAAGTCCAAGAGTTTCAATTACATTTGCAGGGAGCACCGAATTCCAGCCTTGGAATTTGACTGGAAGAAAATTTAGTTCACAATTTCAACTAGTTTTTCTTCAATTTCAATTTAAACACACCAATTCCATCCTCCCAAACTCGAGGTAAGTGTATTGAAGGATGGAGTTTTTGACCCAGTTTGGTTCAGACTCTAGACTTTAAAATCATTAGACAATAAAAGTAATGGTGAAACCATCTCAAAAATCTATCAAACAAACAAGTACATACAAGCCGACACACAAATATATATATATATATATATATATATATATATATATATATATATATATATATATTGTTTGTTGTCTATTTATACAGAGGAAGAGAGGGGAGAGATACCTCACTAAGCTCAGTAAAGCTGACTGCATAGAAAGTAACAGCTGCAGCTGCTACAATTCCCAATATGGGAAGGGCTAGTTGCACTCCATCCATCTCTCTCTCTCTCTCTCTCTCTCTATCTCTAGCCTTCTTCACTTTGTGGTACTTTACTAAGGAGTTCTTTTTCTGAATATTGAATGTATTGTTGAATAAATAAACTGGGTTGGTTAGTTGATCGAAAGGATAATGTTGCGAAATGCACTCCATTGACGATAAGGATTTGATGGGTTGGGCCTCATTCGTAATTGGGTCGACTTTTGTACATCATGTGTCGAGCCCAATTAGTTATAAGCTTTTTCTATCTTTTTCCCAATTGATGGAGATTGAAGTCTCTATTTGCTATTACTAAGAATAACAATGCAGTTGATTGCTCAACATGAGCAAAACTTCTTCAGGGTTTAAACAATTGATTTATTTTTTCTTCTCGAAAACAATATAATCCTTTTATTATTAAAAAAACAGAAGAAGAAAAGAATGAGAAGTTGATTTAAATTACGTGTACTGAAATTAGAAATGCAACTGAAACTTTATTTTTAATGCAAAATAGTGATGACAATTCCGAATTTATTTCTAGCACTCCTTTCACTCTAGAACTGGAGATGCCGGGAAAAAAATGGATGAAAATAAATTCTATTTGTCTGCAAACACACAACTCAAAAGTGACATTTCTGTATCTTAGCTAACCATGGGATGGAACTGTATCCATCATATAAATAATATCTTGCTAACCATAGGTTGGAACTATATCCATAAATATAAATATATCTCCGTCTCATGGGAGAGGAATAAGTAAAAGGCACTCATATCATCTAAGTCAGTCCCCAAGATTCACAAGGATAGAGGCTAGCAAATGTTTTCAATTGAAAATAAGCCTTTTTCCAATTATTTGAATTCGGCTTCTCATATTTCCATTCCGTTCTACTCGTATTTCCATTCCGTTCTATTCGAGGCTATAGCCTATGCTCGTATTTCCGTTAAGTCCTGTTCGAGGCCATAGCCTCTGTCAATAACAGTATAAATAACAGCATAAATCAGTATTGAATCAAATCAAAAGCCCTACAAGACATGAATGAAACCAAGAAAAAGGACTCTAAATGATGTTCCTTAGCTTTCATCATCCCACAAAAACATTTTCTATATTAAACCCCAAATATAGAAGCGCACATGTCAAATCATCTCACCCATATGCAATTGCAGCAAGAGCTGCTGATACAGAAGCAAGTCATGGTAACGACTTCAATGCAGTTTAATTAAATACAAAACAAACTCATTGCAAACTAGCAGAACTTTAACAACACACATCATGGTTTAATTATGATTACGCTCCAAGGCAGAAATAGAGTTTTGATCTCTCCCATAAATCCAAAACCTAGCAGTAGAACATTTTACTCTTCACGTTCTCTTTGAGGGCAGGAAGGGGTCTCACTGCGGCAGCAGGACCACCAGGTACCCGTGTGCTCCATGAACCTCCAACACCCATGCCTCCACGACCAGCTGCTGCACTTGTCATGGATCCACTATCAGATGTCTCTGGTTCCATATAGAAACGAGCTCTAAAAGCTGCCAGATGAGCATAGTATGCAGGAGGAACTGCAAAAAACAAACAGGGGGAAAGAGCCCATTAATAGACATTCTACTGGGTACATAGATGGTACAACACAAATGGACAGAGGGTAGTATAGCATGGTGAGGAGAACTAACCAATTGAGACCGATCGTGTGCACCTCGCATATCTGCAAGAATAAAATGACACCAATTCAAAATTATGTGAGTTCCTTAACGGGATTTTATGCCAGAGTCTAGAGAACATTAAGTGAAAAATAAAATTGACAGCTAAAACAATCTCTCCATTAAACCTATCAAATTGATATCTATTAAAAACTAATAAATAATGATCATTAAGAAGTAATCCCGATGCTAAGGCAGGGTGCCACAATTAAGAAAACATGAAAACCACAATTCTTTCAAACATTAGATAGATACTCAAGAACCAGTAATGTACTTACGTATAGCAAAGATTGTTCGTGAGTGATTGCAGCCCATCAGCTGTGAAGTTGTTCTCATCCCATAATACGTGGTAATGGGCCGGCCGGCTCGTACCCTGTTACATATCATCATAATATCTCCAATGAATGAAATCCAAAAACTTAAAAATAATTAACTTCATCAAAACCAGAGAGGAAACTGAGTTCTACTTGAATGCCAGCATGGCTGCATAGATAGAAGTCAAATTCAGTGGGATGACATATCCTCGAATCCACAACTGTACCTGTAAATTTATTATAGAAAGTGAATTTATTACAGAGACGGTAATACCAACAATTGAAATAATTCAAGCAACCATATTACTCATTCAGAATTGAAAGTAATTCAAGCAGAGGTGGTGGCAAATCAAATAATTTACCAGGCAGTATATTTCCACTCCTGTCAACAGCTCTTCTGTCGTTATGGTTGTTAGCAAACAACCTTGTGTGGTGCCGTTTCTGAACCACAACAAATGTAACAGGAGGCTGATAGTTTGGTTCCAAATGTGCACAGGCCTGAAATTAGTTGAATAGGAATGGTGGGAGGAAAAAAAGAAGTCAAAATTCTCCTAATTACAACAAAGCACACATCAATGAATCACAGTGAAAGAAAGCTAGGACCAAAAAGAAGATTAAATACTAGTCTTACCTTTCGAATAGCATCAAGTTCGTGAAGTAAAACTTGATAGAACTGCCCCTCACTGACACCATCCCTGCAGAAAAAGCACTAGTCAATAGGCATAGCACACATAAGAGCCAATTCCACCACTACATATAAAAGATAAAATCAGGATGGTAAGACAATGCCTGTAAAATATAATGCGTTGTGGTTTCTGCCCAGTTGCTCGGCGGAAAGAAATGAGAAGTTCCCTGAATTAAACATGAAAATATTAAAACCTATTACCAAATAACTTCACATTGAAAATTTCAAACGAGTATCAGCATCAACAAACCCACTCTAGAACTATGCACATTAAATTTAAGAGAGAGAGAGAGATGTGGCCATACTTGATCATGCCACCAGAAACAAGTCCCCTTACAGGATCTTGCCAAGACTTGAACAGATCTTCAATCAGCTCCTGTCGATGTGCTTGAGCACAAACCAAGCCAGCATACTTTGTAACCTCCGGCCAATCTTGGGAAGCAACCACCTAAATTAGAATTCAAATAAATTAACTTTGGTTGGCAATAGAAAATAGGAGGCAATATAAATCCAGGCAAACAAAGAAAAACATATCCTAAAACATCATACGGCCGCAATAGACGGGCTTGAATCCTCCCCAGGATGAGGATGGGTAACATCAGCACCAAAAATGATAGTAGGCCGATCGCTGACTAGTGGTATGCGCCTTGATAGTGCATCAACAAGAACTGTATTCCTTCCTCCAACCTTCACGTTAATCTTCAGAGCCACATTTGCAAGATATTGCTTACTCATTTTGTATACATGCTTTGTCAAACAGCACTGAGACACAATTCCCAGATCTGTCTCACAAATACGTTTCAAATCGCCTGCAAAGGAATGAAAATAAAACTGAATGGCAAAAATATATAAACCTCAAAAATCTATCCAGAAAAACTAGAGAAAATAAAGTGGAACTTGATTTGTTGTATAGATTTAATACCATAAAGCGATCCATTATTATCTGGCAAAATGACAATTAGCAGGTCAAGCTCCTTGGAACGGGGCTGGAGTTTAGTCATAGCGTCATGGAATCGAGCTTTCAAAACTCTTTCTACTTGATCAGGACGGGCACCGAGTACCGGGAGAACAGGTTCAGGATTAAATGCCTATAAAATCCATACAGCCAAAGTTCAGAGCAGAGTAATGATAATCCTTTGAGATATATAGCAAATAATAAAATATAAGTATATCTCAAGACCCACCATGCCAGAAATGTTGCACATTTGGGCGAGCTCATGACAGAAACCACGGGCCACACCATCTTGTACATTTCGTGAAAAATTTATGCAGATCCAATTATTCACTATACCGCCATTAACCATTTTCTGTAACACAAGCCAATCAAATCTGAGTATCAATGTCATTTACAATGCTTTCAAATGGCAGTTGAACAAAGACCAGAAAAAAAGAACACAGATTTTTAAATACTCCAGTGAACTAATGTCGACATTAAGATTAGACCTTAAAAAATGAATGTTTGTATTGCAAATACCACATGTAAATCTGTAAACGTTAAAGATGTAAGATAAACAATAAAAGAGACTCAACCTTCAAATATATTGCCTCATAGCCTCAATACAAGGCCAAAAATATGAACTAAAATATGAACTACTCGAAGAAATGCAAATGTTGTGTTAATAAACAAAACAGCCACAATATTGTACCAAAGTTTACAAAATGAAAGAAAGTATAATTCAATATCCATATTTGTAACAGAACAGCAAGGGAGAAGCTCACTCGCACCCCTAAATATCAAAGTTTTTTATCTTCCTCCCATTATACCCTCTTTTAGCAATCTATTTAACAATGCCAATCCCTTTCCCTCAAACAGATGTTAAGCTCCGAAAATGCCCCATAATCACCCAACTGAATTGGAATTGCCAATCTCACTAGTTTGAATATATCCACAACTTCCAAACCAAATCACAGATGATTAGCACTTACCACTCACTAAAATTCCAAAAGTTATCTTACTCACAAAATTCACAATAAATGCAAGTCCTTGCCATGGAACTAACCAACATATGCTTCATTGTGGCTACTACTTAGATGGTAAAACTGAACAACTAGACACAATCCTCTCAGACTATTGAAACATGTTAAACACCTTAGACTGCTTCTTAACCAGACTCGGCATCCCCATAGCAAAGGAACCTTTAGATAATAACCCAACATTAACTGACTAAGAAACGTCAAAGAGGTATAAAACCCATTGCATCACTACATAAGTAACCGATCCAAGTGGTAGCAAAGAGAGCGAGCGAGCAAGCACACAATAAATGAAGTAAACTCTGCTTCAACGCGGGAGTACAAAAGACATCTCAAATTTATTAACAAAGTACAAGTCAAATTCATTTATCAATTTATCCTTTCACACTAACTTATCCTAAAAATAATGGCGCAATTCAAAAATAAAAAATTAAGAACACTATTTAGGAAATAAAATGTAAAATACCCTCTTTTTTAAACATACTATATTTGGGCCATGTGGGCTACAAAAGTACATGTAAGAACAACAGGTTTGGTTTATCTAGAGCAAATAGAAGTGGATAAAATATACTAAACATTCTGCAGACCATTACATACTAGAATACGCTGATTCAAAATTTAGAAACCGGGGGTTACCTTGTTCATCATGTTCCATTGACCAACTTGAGGCAGACAATCCTTCTCTCTACCCGTGTCATGGTACTTAAGCTGCACAAGCAACACATAAGCCACATATGTCACTTCAAACAATCAAATTAGAGATCACGAAAGATGATTAAATGAAAGATGATTAAACGAAAGACACCCAGCAACAGCAAAAATAATGATTAATCAATTACCCATGGAGGAGGCAGAATTCGAGCTTCAACTGAGGCCAAGTTCTCACTGATTTTAATTCCGAATTCTTTTGCGTAGGGGTCATCAGCATAAGCATTGTGACGCACTGTCTGCAGAAGGATAAAAAATATCAAGAACTGATAAGAGCACATCTGAAGTCCAACTATGATCATACCAGATACTACTCAATGAAAAACTTTTGATTATAAAAGGTTTGATACATATAATAAGGTGGCATTTGCAGATAGGAATTTATACATACATTGATAATATATATTCAAGAAATGCAACAAAGGTAATCAGGACTCCTAACAAGGTAAAAATTGAGTCGCCAAAAAATTAGGATTTATATCGAGAGTTGAGAGTTCCATCCAGAGAGTACTTGCAAGATGGCAAATAAAGAGTAAAATGAAAAAATAGACCTAGCATGATGGCAAGGATCTTGACCATGATCTACGTACAGCCCTTTTTAGTCATATACACAAGGGAGAGAGATATCGGGCCGGGGAGGGAGAGAGGGGGGGGGGGGACAATTAGAAAGATGCAACATGAATGCTATAGACCAGTGAATAATGTGAAACATAATCAATGTGGGTATTTTGCCACACAAACCTGAAGAATATCATACTCTCTTTCTTGAGGGCGCTGACAGGTCACCTTCAATAAAGCAGTAATCTGTTTTTCATTCAACCTCTTGGAGTACCTCTGACCCGCCACAATCTTGCACACCTGAATCCATAAATGACACATAAGGCATACATCCATACAATTCTCGAGACCAGGAAGAAAAGGTTCAAGTATTGACCTCCATAGGTAAATAATTTGGCCTCTGCTGATTTCCAACTTGTAGGCAAGGCCATTGGGTATGTTGAATAACAAAACCATAGGTCTCCTGGAAGTACTCAACCACAGATTTCACTGTACCTCTTTCATCAACAGGGAAGCTAATATATACAAACAGCGAAGCATATCATCAGCTAAAAAACATGTGAACAGTGTCTAAACACAAGCCACAAATTACATTCGAGAAATTAAAATTATTTATTGAAATTACAAACCAGACAATGACCCTTACGTCAGTTCTCGTGTTGCCTGAGATGTTAAACCAGATATACGGTATTTTCTACGCATATTTCCACGGTGAGTAACTTCAACCTTAACTCCTCTCAGAGCCTTCTTTATCTGTCATGCAAAGTAAAGCCAATGATACAGATAAGCAAATACTCACAGCAAGCTAACTGCATGTGAACTGTCATCAGATGTTGTCCATAAAACCCCATTCAAACAAACAACAGAAAATATCATCAAATACACTAAAATGGAAGCCAAAAATTGAATCCTTTCATTGAATAATATATAAACATGAATAGGTGGATTCAGAAGGATACTCAAAAAATTTATGACAAACAAAAGAAAAGACAGCAGAATAAACAAAGGAAAATTGAATAGACATGTAGATATGAGTAAAAGAAATTGACAGGGGGAGAGAGTGTGATAAACAGAAAGAGATTCTGATATAACATGAATTTTTTGGCCCTTTCGAAAAAATTTTATAATTACAGGGGTGTGCTTCTGATAAAATGTAGCAATAAGCAGCCTCTTGTTTTCTCATGGTATAAGTAGTTTTATTCTTAAGCTGCTGGTAAGTAATGACAAACAGCTCGAATATATTCTATCTAAAACTTCTAATAAAAGGAAAAAAAATGGCATGTAAAGCGAGTGGATCAGCTGTGGACACAGCCTCGAGTGGAAAGAAGAAGCAGGAAACAGAGAGAGATAGTATAGTCAAAATATTTAAGTGCAACAGATATACATAATAATGTGCAAGTACATAATTATCATAAAATAAAGGAACAGAATAAACCTTCACACGATCAGCATCAGACACAGGTCTGGAAGAAATATGAGGAAGAAGCTGAGTCACAAAGTCAATAACAGGTAATGGCTCAATGAACGCAGTTGAAGACATATCTGCACCAATAAAGGATGTCACAGTTACATAAAATCACAATAGGCCATAAACAGAGGCACACATAACTAACATACTGTAAAAGTCATTGGTAAAAAATGAATAACTATTACAGTAATGAAAATTACCAATATTCAACGACAACCCCATCTGAGTTGGGCGAATACTCTGATAGAAACCACGCCAACTTTCCAATCCCTCACCCAATGGTTGCTTTCTCCCCAACAATGGGGAATAAAATGAACGGCCCACAGGACAATACCTTCAAACAAAAGCATAAAATCAGTACAAGAACAACAATATAGAAGTAACAGTAATCGAGTCAAATGTCATTTAAACCATGGACTACCGGTTTGTAGGCAACTCCCGCAAAACAATGTCCAAAACCTGAAGAGCTTCTTGAGGTGCATCTGCCTGCCTCCCCTGTAAAAACATTTCTAAATGGTGCAAGTCAGCACGTGCAGCCAATTTGATGACGACTTTAAATTCTCGCTCTCTCCTGCATCAAGATAAGAAGAAAGGTAACCAAAGATAACTTAGCTACAGATCAAACAAGTATGTGGGTAACAGTATACAAGAAAAATAAAATAAAAGAAAGAAGCAAAGAAGTTAAATAAAAATATAAACTAATACCTGGCACCGCCTGATCCATCATCTTCATCAATTAGAGTGATTCTGAACTCTTTTGTAACAAAAGGAAGAGGTCCTGCTGTATAAAGACTCTTTCTTCCGTCATATGCAGGAAGCCGTTTTCCAAGATGAGATTCCCTGTAAAGTTTCACCAGCTGTTCCATCACAGCACGGTTGACTCCGCGCGATGTAACCTCGGGAGTGATGGAAACCTTGCATGAATCAAGAGAAAATAAATTAAAATGCATTTTCAGCAACATGTGCCCTAAAAGTAAGTACAAAGAGATATATGAAAATGAGAGTACTCACATCATACTGGTGCAAATCCTTGTCTGGCAATTCCGCAAAAAAATGGTTAGCTTTGACAATACACTTCATACCGGTGCTACCCTTACCGGGTCGAAGAGGAAACCTCATTGATTTGCTTGAAAGAGGGGCAGGTTGAATTGCCTGGCTGGAAGGCGGCGCTTCTTGCTGGATAGAAACCTGCTGAAATTGCTGTGTCACTTGTAAACTGCTTGGTTCAGGTGGACGGGACGAAGAACTGGCCTCAGCATATGGTATTGGCGGAGTGGTCAGGCCAGCCTGATGCGGAGTATTGGTTGCTTGGTGCAGCTCGGGAACTGGTGGCCTAGATGCTCCGCCAGCAGCAGGTCCTATACCACGGCCACCAGCCTGCTGGGGCAGTGCTCCTCGTGGTGGCTGCTGCTGGATCCCCCTGCCTTGCTGATATTCAGGGTGGCCACCATAATACTGCTGAGATGCCATTCCACCACGCTGATCACCACCACCACGGCCACCATATCCTCCACGACCTCCATACTGAGATTGGGAAGGACCCCATGGTCTTCCTCCTCCTTGGTGTCCAAATCCCTGCTGCTGTTGTGGTTGTTGTGGTTGCGGTTGTGGTTGTTGTGCTGGTGGACGTTGTGGTTGTGGTTGTTGTGCTGGTGGACGTTGTGCACCAGTACCACGTCCTCCACTGCCTTCCTGGGGCATAGAGCTCTCCCCGCCACTAGGAAGCTCGGTTCTCCTCTTCCTCACCATGATAAAAACTGCATCAAAAACAAAAAAGGAAAGCAGAATCGCTGATTACTGAAACTTCATCTGTGTGAAGATACCAAAATCATAAATTAAAATAGTATGATAAAATATAAATAGAATAAAAACTAGTATCACGAGAATGAGTGAATGTTTTAGAACTATATGCCGCCAAAGCCATAACACTTACTTCACACAGTCCAAATTCACTATTTGTGGGATATCAGCAAAATGGCAATAATCTATTTACTTGCAATGGTTGATTCAGAACAGTAAAGAACCAGATACATCACACTTCAAATTAACAAAAGCACAACAATATTAGCAGATTACCTAAAATCAACAACCGCAGCCCTAATCACAACCAAGTATAAAAAATAAATAAATAAATAAGATGATCTAATAATTTATATATACTGTATACATGATCTAATGCTTTATCTATACTGTATACATGAACATACAGCTGAAAATTTTTGTTAAAGAACACAAAATAAACTATTAAAATTACTGTACAGCAGTTGATCAATATATAATACATATATACACAGCACGCACAAGTCCAACTGTTCCGATTATAACATAATTTCTCATAAATGAAGCAGAAAAACATCCACGAATAAAATGCTTAATACAAATTATAATAAAAAATGAAAAATCCATCAAAAACCCTACTCATCAAAACTATGCCATATATAACCGGGGCGAGCTAATATCAAAACCAGAAACTATAAGTTGAAGATCTGATCAGGTTATTCCACAAAACCACCAAAAAAACCCACCCGATTCATGTGCATTAAACAAGACTAAACAAGAGACATGCAAAACCCTTCAAAATCGCTACAGATCCGAATGAAAAACAAATTACTAAACTCAAAAGGACTAGATCCAAACAAATAAACAGAACAATCATCAAAACAATCAATAAAAACATCCAGAAATTAACTTATAACATGGAGAATCGCATTCTAAACAGCAAAAAATCAGACAAACAAACGATCGCAGGCCAAAAACCGATATATTTACCTTGGAACGCCTTCCTTTAACACAAACCCTAAATCGAAGTAACCAAAAAGGCACTAGTACCAACCAGAAGAGAAGATATAAAGAAACGCACAGATATGAAGAGAGAGAATAAAGATATAAAATGGAAAACGACGCGAGCCCTCGGTCTGCTCTGTGTAAAGCCCATCCACAACCTGTAAATAGAGGGGCGTTAGGTGTTTTAAAATGACAACTTAGTCCCGGTCTCTCTCTAACTTTTCTCTCTCTAGTCTCCAATTTTTACCTGACTGTCTCGATTACTCTTCTGGAGTGAAACGTCGTGTCGGACGATGATGTGGCTAAATTCGAGACGTTGACTGGTCGAGGTGTGATGTGGCCGCTGAGTTGGCGTGAGCTTATCTGTACACACCGCCACAGTGGAAATAAGTTGAGAGCAAAGTGTGGGCCCGGTCTACATGATTGGCCAGCCCGTCTCGACCGAAGCAGAACAGAAGCGTAGAGTTTTCTACAAAACTCGCGACTGTGTCACGGAACAATCGTACTCGCCTCCTTCTGTTTGCCACCTGCCACTTAAAAGAGTTTTCTAATTCAGTCGTACGGTTTTTGTGTGAGTTGACAGAATTGCCATCAGGTCGTACAAATGGCGAGTAAATCGTTTTCATCTGAGCTGGCGAGTACGTTTGGCGGTGCGATTTATGATAATTGGATAAATTAAATTAAGTTATTATTGGCAACGTTTCTTTATTGTTAAGTGACTTAGTTACTATGTCAAATATTAAAACTGGGTCGATACTTTCTAGAATTATCTATTGGTCTTTGGATAATTGGTATAAGCAAAATCTTATTTACTGTGTCAAATATTTAAATTATGTCGATATTTTCTAGAATTATCCATTTTAGTCTTCCAAAAATTGATATAAACAAAATTCTGTTATAAGAAATGAAGAAAAAACTTAAATCATAAATAATAATAATATGACATCATTAGATTTTTACATGAGTGTGTATTAATTTGTCTCTCATTTTTAGCTCATTCACTCAATTGGCGATAGCTACTTTATAGTCCATGATTGTGTCACTATTTGAGTTTTTATTTTTTATTTTAGCCCTATATTTGAATGTGTAATTATGAAGAAAAAAAATATCGATTAAGTAGGCTGATTTAATAATTTGAAACAAAAATTACGGACTACTCATGTTGCTCTCACATGATACATTTCATAAATGTTCACTTACAGCCAAAAGTCGATAAAATAGGCTGATTTAATAATATGAAACAAAAATAGGGACTACTCATATTGATCTCACGTGATGCATTTCATAAATGTTCATTGGTTGTCTCCTTTTTCATATCTTATTTATTTTTTTAACAGAGAATTTCCATAATTCAGAGACTGTCCAAGTGTAGGAAATTTTTAGTGTTAATTTCAATTAAATATTATTTTTTAATTTTTAATGTTCACTGTTTGGTGAGGTATTCCTCTCCTAACACTTTACTATATTTTAAATGGCACCTGTGGTTTTAAATTGTATTTAAAAAAAAAAAAAAAAAAAAACATCATAATGGAACTTATTAAATTGTGTCAACTGTGTAATGAAAAAAATTGGTATCTAAAGAGTTTAGTCCTGAATTATTACAAACTATTTAGTGTTTTTTAGTTCAGTTCTCTAAAATAAGTTGTCAATAATTCTAGGAAAGAGAACATTTCAGATGGATATGAAAAAAATAATGTGTAAAAGAAATATCAAACAAATAATTTTTCACAAATTCTCAGCATTTAGTTCCACTAGATCAAACAAGTTAAAGACTAACGTGATTCGAGTTACATCTATTTACAAATATTTTAGAATTAAATTGTTTCTAAGGATTAAGTAATATTTGGAACCAAATTGAATCATAAAAAAATCACTGGTTCACTTTGGTTCCACAGCTTGTCCGTTTTTGTAATTAAGTCTAACAATTAACTAACGTGCAATAATTCTGGCTGGTCAACAGTCTTTGTTTTGTTTGTTTGTTTATTAATTATTATTATTTAATCTGGCTGAAGTTTTTTCTTTTTTCTTTTTTCTTTTTCCCTTTCCATAAATGGGCAAACATAGCATTAATACAACAACAGAGTAAAAACAATTAGAGACACGCAACACAAAGCTGGCACCTAAAGAGTCCACAACAAGAACACAGTACTCCCAAACATGAAATAAAATCTCATCATTCTATATTATGCATGTAATATATAGATATATATATATATTCACTGCATATAATAATAATAAGATATAGGAGAACAGTAAATTAATAATAATAAGTTACTATTCTATATATTATATAACATGCCGTGCGTACGTGCCTAACTCGTTTTCCTCTCCAACCGCACTCGAAAGGGTGGAAGGGGTGTAATTTGTAGGGATTTCTCTGCCTTCAGCGGCTTAAGGCTGCACCCCCACCACTTTGGCTCTATGTTTGAGAAAGGCAGTGGTGTGATGAGAGTTTGGTTCCAGAGCGACTCTCTCTCTCTGTCACCGTTGCATGTCCCAGTCAAAATTGCGTCTGTTGGATAATTTTCTTGTGTAGGCTTAGCCTTCGGAGAGATGGCCACGATTGTGTAATTGAGCAAATCTCCAAAAGTCGTAGCAAATGTTCTTGATATATATATATATATAATTACAGTCGAGAGTCACCCCTATAAAACAATAAGATACATGGAGGATAGGAGGCTAATAATAAAAAATAAAAAAATTATATAATGATTCGGTTTTGTATGATAAGAATAAAATGTGTTGAACATATGGCTCAATTTGAAACTTGCATCACCCACGATGTCATCAAGATTCTTGGCCTCTAAGAATGTGTGTCCAACAAGTCTTTTGAGTCTTGGCCTCCATGGATGTGTGCCCAACAAGTCTTTTGAGTGGTCACCAAGTAGCCTCATTTTAGTGTCCTATTTTTGTTATAAATAGTCTTTGCCTTCCGTAGTTTAAAGCATCCGAGAGACATCAAAGAGTTAGATAATATTCGGATCAAGAGAGTATATTGGTTTTGTATGTGTGAAAAAATCATTTTGTGTGTACAATCTTCAAGAGAGAGTTGAAGTTTGTATTTTGGTGGGTTTTTCTCTTTATGTAAACCATATATTATTTGGGGTATTTCTTGAGTGTTGAGTGAGTCTTCTTTGTTGGTGAGTAAGTGGTGTAAAAAGAGAGATTATTGTGAGGAAGAACCAAAACGTTATTCAGTTTGTAATATTATTCTTTATAGTGATACGAATCATCATCGTCCGTGAACGTAACTCTATCTGTGAGGGTGAACTACGTATAAATTTTTGTTTCGTTTGTGTGTGCCTATTTACTTTTCTTGTCATTAATTTTTCTCTTGTTCTCATAAACTCCTATTCGATCATTTTTTTCATAACAAAATGCTTATCAAGAATTCAAAAATTTGGGAATATTCGTAGCTTAGCAATTTGGTTGCTCCTCATTGTCCTTAGAAGTCTGACTAATGTGTAAATAATTTATGCATGAATTTAGTTTTAACTTGAAACGGATCAGAATCAGATGCAGTTGACCAAACATGAGGAGGTGTTAATAAAATTAATCATATTAAATTTAGTTTGTGAGCCCAAATGATTATTTGTACATCCCTCCATCATTTGTGACTAAAAAGAAGTAAGAATAGCATTCTCACCTCTAACTTCTAAATCATGCCTAAAAATAATAATAATAATAAATAAAATAGTCTGTGGACCGAAATGATTATTTTTACATCCTCCTATCAAGTGTGATAGAGGTAAGAATTGTCAATTCTTACATAGGTTGGACCCTTTTGGGCTTGGCCCATGTAAACCCAACTCCAACCCATATTTGTATTTGGCCCATGTTTACACTATACAGGCACGAAAAATGACGATGACGATGACGGTGAAAACGTCGGCGGAGTTGTTCGGTCGTCTTCTAATGGAAACGAAGAGAGCGGCAGTACTCTACCACTATCCCTGCCCCGACGGCGCCTTCGCCGCTTTGGCCGCTCACCTTTACTTCTCTTCCACATCCACTTCGCCCTTATTTTTCCCCAATACCGTATATTCTCCTCTCAGGTCTCTATGTCTCTATATGTGCGTCTGTGTGTTATATATACGTATATCCGTGTGTGTCTGTGTGTTTGTTAATGTAATTATCTTCTTTGATCAATTGTAATTTTCAGGGCTGAAGATCTTCCTCTAAACGAAATTGATGATGTTTACCTCTTAGATTTTGTCGGACCCGCTGGTTTCGTTCAGAATCTCTCTTCAAAAGTTCACAGGTCTGGTTCAGTCTCTTCCCATCCCCTCTTTTGGTGTGTATTATTCCCATTGAAGCGTCAAGAAACATATATACATGTACATATACATGGGTGTATATGCACGCGCGTTTGCACACAATTTCACACACATTCGTTCTTTTACCCTGTAGCTTGATCACGATGGTACTAGATTAGACCATCACAAAATTGCACTTGATAGTTTGGGGTCCAATAGCATAAAGAAACATACAGTGTGTGTTTGTGTATGGGGACAATAAACACATATACATGATTGCATCTGTTGGTTCTTTACTCTGCAGCGTGGTGGTACTTGATCATCACAAAACTGCACTTGAGAATTTGGGGGACAATACTTCGGTAGCCGAGAATGTGATCAGGGTGATAGATATGGAGAGGAGTGGGGCTACAATTGCTTATGATTTTTTCAAGGAAAAGATCATGGCAATGGGGAATGTTAATGTTGGTGATCCATGTGAGTTGGCAGTTCGTGAATTTGAACGTGCTAGGCGGCTCTTTGATTACATTGAAGACGGAGACCTGTGGAGGTGGCGGCTTCATAATAGCAAAGCTTTCAGTGGCGGTTTTAAGGACTTGAACATCGAGTACAACGTCAGATTGAATCCCTCCTTGTTTCAGCAGGTAATCATTTGGATGTTTATTGCTCTTTTTGTTGGTGAAGACATTCTTTTAAAAGACTACAACAGACGCAGGCTATTGAAATCTCATTTGCCTTCGATTTTTTTTTCGTATAAATAATTGTTATGCGAAGTCTGATGTTTCATCGAAGTTATTAAGCTAAACGGAACTATGAAGATAGACTAGACACGTTTATCATTATTGAAGAAAGTTTTTAGACTGCAAAGAATTTATGTCCTCTGCTGGACACGACACTTGGAGGCACAAATTTGAATGCACATTCCATGATTCTGCTCTTTTAAATATCTACATTAGGATTCATCAAAGTTTTTTGACGCATATCTCACAATAATTATAGTTTTTTGTCTTGCTTAATGTTGGCAGACACACATAGTTAATTGACTGGTGTGAAATGACAGACTCTTATGTTCGTCGAGAATTGAAATATATAGAAACAAAAGGCAATAGATTTGAATCTGAGAAATTGTATTGAGCATTGCTGACAAGAATCATTACTTACCCCAAACCTTTGTAAGACCCAGATTAATTTTGTGAATGGACATTTGGGTACCATATTTTCAAAGATCCAGGTGCCAACAAGGGACTTAAAAAGAGTTTGGTCAGAGGACTGGTGGTGGTTGCTTTTGTTTGTAGTTTGGGACGCCCCTGGGGCAGGGCGGGGATGCTGCAGCTGTATTAGTAAGAGAGTTAGATCAGCCCTCAGTTCGAGCAATATATGACTACAACACTTTATCACCATGCTACGACACCTTTGGTTTCGTTTCCTTTTCCCATTTTAGTTCTATAAAGTGAAATTCATACCCATAAAATATTCATTATTAAAGTGGACTGCACCACATACATATCTCCTGCCTTCCTTCTGATAAGTACCCCAAACAGAAACTGCATCCCGATTGGGACATGAACCCCAAACCTCTCTTTCTGGGAGGCAGGAGATTTGATTATGTCATTCATGTTAAGTAGTTAACAAATTGGTGAGTTTAATCCCGCCCTGGTGTCATAAATTGAGGTTTATTATTACACATCTTTATTTTTAATAATATTTAAATATTTGTTTGTGTCACAGATATATCAAAGAGATGCAATAAAGGATATAATTATATTGATGCTGCACTAAAATGACTATAATCATGGCACATAACTACAAATTTTTTTCCTTGCTTTTATGCTAGTTTCTAATGCTTTGTTACTTCGGATAATGCCATAAAATTTTGCAGTTGCTTTCTTTAGATCTCGAGTCTATCATCAATCAGGGCATGGCGAGCATATCACGCAAGCAGAAACTAATAAATGAGGTCCTTGAGCAGTCATATGTCATTGCATTGGGTGGCGGAGCATTTGGACGTTGCCTGGTAAATTTGCAAGTTACCATTTTTTGTATAGTGCTTTCATAATATAAACATTACAGTTTTGGTTGAGTGGTGTCCACATTGCTACATGGGTAAGTTATCCATGTACTATTTAGAAACAATTTAGTATAAAGTCTACCTATTCTTGTGAATTTACTAAAAATACTTCATGTTAGCTTATGAAACTCTGTTTCTGTCATCAATTATTGGTCTTGTAAGCCTTTTAAATTTTAAGTAGTGATGTGTGATTCAAGCACAAGCTAGATTTATGGTAGTTTGTTGCTTTTATATAAGAGAGGAAGTGAAATACAACAAAGGACTTTGAGAAAATGAATATTTTTATAAACATTTCATAAAATTATACTTCTGACTTCTGTATTGGCGGGAACTTCCACGTCAGAGCTGCAACTCTATACTTCTTACTCAAACCTTGTAAGATTGTTGGCATTCTCATGGAAGAATCCGAGTTTATAATGGCAATACCACAAACATGAGAAAAATGATGAATTATCAATAAATCGAATGATTTCACTCAAAGTAGTTTGAACACATTAGATGGAAAAAGGGGGTTTCAATTGTAAAACAAGGGTCTATGAAAATAAATAATCATTGCCTTCTTGCTCGACATATCCAATTTAAAAGAAAGAACAATATTATTATTACCATTGGTAGTAGCAGCAGTAGTTGATAGCTGTTTAAATTAATATTTTTCACAAAATTTTGACATTCTAATTCTATAACAATTTTGAATTTAGATTCATCCTTTACAAAAGATTTTGTAAGTTCTAATGTTCTCTGTTCTTACCGCTTAACTCACCTTGGATGTAGTTACCATTTTGGATTTTCAAGTATATTCTCATCTTTAATACTGACTCCACAAATTGAATCTCTCTCTCTCTCTCTCTCTCTCTCACTCTCTTTCATGTCCAAGTGATCCTGATTTTGAACAACTATGGTTTTTCAAAAGTCTTGAAAGAAGCAGATGGACAACTGTCCCTTGCTTGTATGTATGCTGAGAAATGATGATCCAATGCAGCTTTGAGCAAGAAAACAACATTTGTGTTCTACCATATATTTGTAAGACAACAAAAGCTGTAAAGGATAATTAAATATGAAATTGGAATTGTACACTGGTTGGTATCAGGACGATGTCTGTATTTTTTCTTCATTGTAGGTTTTCATGTGACTCTTGGTATCTCTTTATATTGTTATTTTTATTGCGCTGCTTTATTTTACTTAAATTCCTTGATTGTTGATTATGCGTGGTGAATGATTACGTGAATTGTTTATTAGCAACCTTTAAAGTTTAAAACACATTCAAAAAGAAGAAGAGTTCAATCCGCTCTAGGTTTCTAATCACATATGTGAGTCCACTGGGCTCTTACATGCGCACGACTCTCAATAGAGATGTGGTAGATGGTATTAGAACCCTACAGTTCTGAACTCATTCTATTTTCACTTCTTCCTTTTTTATTTTTCCTCTGCCACCTCCTCTTCTTGAAATCATTTCATAGACCCAGCAATGTTGATATATTTAACAAAGATACTTTAGGCAATTAAAGTAGGTTCCTATTGTGTGTGTGTGTGTGTGTGTGTGTAAAACCTAGGCAACTATTTGTTTTGTGGGATCGAGAAATTAAAAACCTAGAGACTTGACATTCCATTTGGGTTTTGAGAAATTGAGTTTGGAAGTTGATGATTGCCTTCAGGGAATGAATAATAAATGTTAAAACATGCCCCAGGAAAACAGTTTGTTGATTGCGTAGCTTAATATCTATGTCCGGGCTTTCGTAAATATAGATTTTCCTCGTTTTCACTTTATCCTCAAGTTGATTATCTATTTCTTTCACTTAATTGAAATATTTATGGTAATCCACCTTGCAAAATATACTTCTATTTGTTCATCATCAAATTCATCATCAGCCCCTTTCAGAGTGTCGGTGACCAAGAAGTGGTATGAAGGTTGGGAAATGTTTTGGTTTCTTCCCAAAGCTAGTATAAAATGTAAAGCTATTTTCCTCTTACACCATCCTTTGAGTATTATACGCGTTTTGAATTTGTTGACTTCCTAATTTCTTGTTGCTTATAATAAATTAGAAAACAATGATTTTTTAATTCCAATCTCCTACCTATAGGCTGTTTATGCAGATTCTGTCTCTGAGCTGAGGAGTGAGCTTGGACACCAGTTAGCTAATAAAAGCCACAGCATGAAGTTGAGGTTTGTTGAATTCATGCTTTGTCTCTCATTTGAACCAGCTTGTCTAAGTTGCTGCCATGCTATGCTACTTTATTATATTGCACTGGAATTCTAAACAATAATAATTTGGGAAAAAAAAAATTAGACTATCATGTAAAGTGTAAACTGAGGGTTGATATAGCAAGGTTGTGGCATAAACATCTGTCGTTGGTCACTTAACTGAATTAGATGATGCAGCATTTTTGCTTTTAATATGACAATATTTCAACTTTGGCTAAAGCTTGGGGAGATCTTGATTTGCATAGTCGGGTTCATTTCTTAACAGCTTAAAATTTTGGGAAAGTGGATGTCTAACATGGTATTAGAATCATCTGATTCTGATCCTTTTGAGTTGGTACATGTTGATATAGGGATCCATCTGGGTATAAATATAGGTTCTCTTATTATGTGTCGGTTGTAGATGATTATTCAATGATAAACTGATTGTTTTTAATTAGAGGTCATTCTTAAAAGTCTTCAGTTCTATAAAGAAGTTGAGACCCAATTTGGCTGTTCTATTAGTAATATAAGATCTTATAATGTATTTGAGCATGTTAGAGGTACTCTAGAATTCAAGCGCTATAGATGCACGTTTCTAAGTAATTCTGGACTGATGATTTTCTGAGTGCATGTAATCTTATTAATTGGATGCCCTCGTCTCTTCTTAACAGTCGAATTCCTTATTCTACAATGTCCCTGCAACTTCCATTCTTTGAGCCACCTTGCAGTTTTTGTTTGTTTATGTTTTGTCCAGTTTGTTACTCCTTGTCTTGTCAAGTTGTCTCCTCTTCGAGTTTCTTACTCCTTGTGGTTACAAATGCTAATGTTACCTTCTCTGAAGGTACACCCCTTTTTTTCATGACAGAGGGTTCTGCTTTAGATAATGATATGGTTGTATAATCTTTAGCTAAACATCTAGCAGTTGCTCCATCACCTATTGTCTAGGTCAACAGCCGACAAAGTCCAGCCTACTTGTGCGCTTTTGCCCCAGTATTCAATTCCAGCCAAGGGACCTGTGGTTCATTTGACTTCTACTTATAAATGTCAAGAACTCTGGTAGAGATGATACTTTCACACTACCGGTTTTAGACTCAACTCAGCAGGATGAATCTGAGCATTTCTCAGTATATGTCAATCATTTATTGAATGTCAACTTTAGGATCTACTAACAAAATGACAATTTTGAAAGCACATAAAGAATCTATAACATGAGTGCCAGCACAATTAGTGTATAAATATCATATCTTGATTTTTTTTCCTTGTATGATTCCTTGAAACATCATTTATCTGGTTTGCCTTGTATCTGTGTATGACTCAGACAGTTTTGGAATTTATTACATTCTTGTTTGATTTGTTTTACTTATGAGGATTGGATTTATATTGCATTGCAAGATAACTGTTCACATTTTTATTAAATTGGTTTTGAATTTTTAGTGAAAAACAAAGCCAGTTTGAAATGTGTGCACACAAACACACCATATATAATATTGGTTAATTGGAGGACAACTGCATTTCAGGTTTCCTTCACTGTTGATTCTCTGTTTATTTTTTATGGGTTGAGAACTGGGTGCCAATTGGGTATTTAAGTTGGAAATTTACAAATGCTGACTTGACTAATCTCAGCACCTAATCGATAGATAGGTGTTTGGTTACCATAATGATTAGAGGAATTGTGGCAAGTAACTCGCTAATTGCTGAGCCTCTATATGTTACATGGATTCGGGTACGTGTGTTGGGTGGGGGTAAAAGTACCCACACATCGGACGTGTCAAATCCCAAGCAAAAAGATACATGGACACTGATAAATATTCATATTATTTAATATTTTTATTTTATTTTCTTAGTAAGCTAATGTCAAAATAACATAGTGTAGGTACCTGGTTTTTAGGTGGGTTCCAAATCATAACAAAGTAACAAATGGTGAGGTAATTCTTGCAACATGATGGAATCCGAGGTAGATTGAGAGAGGTGGAAGCTCAAGCAAACGAGAGAGAGAGAGAGGGGATGGCAGTGTACAAAAACCATCGACTCCCTTGATCCATCTTAAGGGTTGTGAAGACCACCCATCTGAGAAATAGACTTGGAGCTCTCAATGTCTTGGAGGAATTTTCCTTTCTCTTGTGTCTACCCACTTCTTGGCCTTAGGTATGTCCTTTTAGAGGCCAAGTGAGAATGGGTGATGTCATCAATGACATCATGTATGGGTCCATTAATAAAATAATTAAAAGAGATTAATTTCTCAAATAATTATAAAGTAATGTTAAATAAGATGGGGTTAAATGTTCGGGAGTCAAAATAGTATTTCTCTCTCTACAAGTCAGGCCGAGTGTCGACTCGACGAACCCTGGACTTCAGCCACCAAACCAAAACCTTCTTAGATCCCAGGTAATCCTGAGTCCTGCTCCCAACTCAGGTCTTCGTTCTTCTGCTCGAAGTATGTTGATGCCGTGGTAACTCTGACCGTTGACCAGGTTATGTGGGCCATCGCTACTAATGTAGTGTAGCTCGTGACCGCTTGACCGAGCTGTGAGGGCCATTGTTGATGATGTGACATTTGCCACGTGGACTCGAAATGTAGGTACCCACACATTGTATTCAATATAGGCATTTTACTCATTTTGAAGCAATAATATGATAAAATTGAATTATTTGACATATTTTTTTAGGGAAATGTCCAACCAAAACCGTCGGACATATAAACCCATACCCATGTCCCTGAACAATGTGTGTTGGACACGGAACAGGTTCTATCTAACAACCAAAGAGGTTTGATATAATTCAACGGAAACTCCAATACCCAGTTTCGGTTGCTCCATTTTTCAACTTTGGGCATTATATGGACGTATCTAAGTAGTCCTGTTTGGGCAGATTGCCACAGGCTTGTGAGAAAAAAAATAAGACTGTGACACATACTGATGAGTAGGTTCCAACGATTTTACCCCCAATTGGAAACTCATTTGTATCATACCCAACTTTATTTTATCCACTATCATATATTGTATGGTTTGTTCAAGTACTTTGGTTAACTGGTAGGATGAAGAGATGCATTGATATGGGCATCAAATATGACAGTAACCATCCACTTTCCAGAAAGGGGTTCTCTGTCCACTGTTCGTATGTTGTTTGGGTTAGCGGACATTATCTTTGTTCATTGTGTATGTTTTGTCTAAAATTTACTGCTTGTTGAAATTTTATTGAGGCTTTAAAGCTGCAGTTCACCGTTTATTTCCGTTTTACTCGTCTTTTCCACTGATTTGCTCCCCTTCTTAGAAAAATCATCTTGAATTCTTAGAAAATGCACATGGACCTTCATCAGATACATTGCACAAACCCATGCTGGACCTTCATTTGTCTTATTCTTAGTTTCTATTATTTTTTATTGTTTCTTTTGATTCTTTTAGGGGCATTGGAGCCGTTGTATATAGAGTTCCTGAGCTTCAAAATGATCAATTGTTGAAAATAAGCCTCAGAAGTGTGAAAAGCGAAGACACAACACCCATCTCACAGGTTATTCTTGCTTCCCTGTTTTGCTCATGATTTTGTTTCCCAATAAGTAAATTTAAAACGAAGTTGAATTGCACTGTGAATTACTTTCAGGAATTTGGAGGCGGCGGGCATCGGAATGCCAGTTCATTCATGTTAAGCTCCGCAGAGTTTGAGCGGTGGAAGGTTTAAGATAATGCTTTTAACCTAAGCAAAAATTTTGCCGTTCCTTTAACCGTACACTATTAAGTATTTAACCCAAGTGATCAAGACAAAGTGGCCAAATCTGAAAGAGATGGACCAGTGTGTCTGCTGGATTCTGTGACATAGTCATCTCTCACTTTATCGTGTAACATGTTGAACATCAGCTCGTGTTTCTCTCCCAAATCACTGAGGGCACAATGCTTGTAACATTATTTGGTGATTTTTATTGCTATTACTATATATTATATTTTACTTTTTTATATGGACTATAAGCGCAGCTGCGCAAGGATGTTTATTTATTACTAATTGTATGTTGTGTCCATGCAGTGTATATATTTTTTCGATAAGTCTGTCCATGCAGTGTATTAGAATTGGATAGTCTGGAACCGGCCCTATGGTTCATATGCGTAGGATTAGCAGTGACAGTTGTTGAAAAAAAGATATAATTACAGATCTTCTGTTGTAAATTTTGGTGCTGCGGTAATTTTTAACACCATTACATCTATTTTTAATATACATCTACTTTTCTTTTCTTTTTTTCTTTTTTTTTTCCAGCTTGTAACATGTTGAAATGAAAAAGCAGCTATAATGACGTAATGTGTTGAAAAGTATATAATACTACTACAGAAAGGGGATTACAGACTGTATAGCAGAGGATTCAGACTCGTAATGGCCTATTACTTCATTTGCGTCTACTATTTGGGTACACTCCGTTTCCCCTCGGATATTATTTGGGTACACTCCTTTTCCCCTCGGATTAGGTATTAGTTAACATAGGGTTAAGTTCATGATAGATGATGTGTTTGAATGTACATAAATTGAATTTTTCCCGATTTCAATTTTACGGCATCAATTTAATGCTTCCAATATATTTACAGTTTTGTTTAATAAAAAACTTTCAACAACAATGTTTCTCGAGACAACTTCGACATTTACTCAAATAACATCGTACCTTCATTCAAGCATAATTCAACACCAATATAAAAATGAATTCACACCAGAGAAGTAACCCCAACCTCCACCCAAAAAAAGAAAACAATATTTATGCCCCGGCCTTATTCCACAATTAGAATCCACAGTAACCTCAAAATATAAAGAGGTATAAACCTAAATACTTTAGCCGCATATTGACTGGCTTTTACAGAAGCCATAGCCATAATAATGGGGATAATTAAGCAAACTAAGTACAATTAGAGATGCATGATCTATATATGGTATAGAAAGCAAAAAATTTGTAATTCTTTGAAACATTTTGTCTTATTTGTATGAAAAATTTCTGTTAATGACCATCCATCCTCTAATTTCTGTTTAATTTGTGAACGTCCCTTGCGAGACCTCTTCGTTACCCATGGAAACGTTGGAAGAACACCATGCCTCCTCTGTGATGAACTGCATCCATGAATCATCTTTATCTTCTTCGTCGATGCACGAGGACGATGCCAAAGGAACATCCGGCGACATGGTCTCGTAATCGGTACTCATCATGATGCTATGAGGATTATTATTGATTAACGCCGAGCTACATTGCCCTTGTTCTTCTATTTCAGTGCAGACTCCATTTTTCTTGAACACACGACACAATGCATACAAATCCTGTACGTGAAAAACATTACAGTTACTCTTCACGTAAATAAAGAAGGGTATTATAGAGATTTTATGTTCGAAACATGTATTATGGCAATGGCACTGTTGTGTGACGGCTAAAATTAAATTTACAGATCATTCATGTAAAATATAGTATCCCATTCATTGTCTCATTATGGTGTTTGGAATAAAGTGAAAAGTGACCGACAGATTCTTACACTGTGAAAGTGAGATGAGAGCTGCTTTTGGGCTTAGCCTATATTATTTTAATTAATGTATATAAGGGATTTAATTAGTGGTAGAGTCTACAAGTTTAGATCAGAATATTAAAATAAAATAAAGAAGATTTGGTTAAAATATCCAGTAATACTAAAGAAAGTGAGGATAGGGTGGCGAAGATATTTATTCAATTTCAATCATAGGGGGTGATATAAAGTGGTTTTGTCTCATTAGGGAATTAAAAGACAAAGTGAAGCCAAAGCTTTGTCATCATGTAAGAGATCTATACCAATCAATACAAGCAACGAATATGTCAGGACTTTTTTTTATATATATAATTTATTAATTAGTAACACACAAATATGCCCTAAAGAAAGATAAAAAGACCTCTAAGAGGAATAACAAAGGCCAAACTTTCCATGCAAGTAAGTCATGCAATACTACTTCCCACGTTCCCTTCCTCTCCTCACCATCAACCCCATTTTCATGTTCACTAGTCCATAAATCAAATTGTTTTGAGTTTTAAAAAAAAAATGTTTTGAGTAACCAAAAATTAATATATATATATATATATGTATATAATTTTACATTCAGGATTCTGACTATATCATGAGGAAAATGTCATTTATATCGATATTGACAAGATAATTTTATCAAGAAATACTCCAAGCATTCTATTACTTATGTATCAATGTTCCAATAAAATTTTTTGTATGCAAAAAAAATATATATATATATGTAAAGTAATAAAAAAACAGTTGAAATGATACAAATGATGATGATGACTGTGATAATAATGAATTGTATGAAATTGTGAATTAAGCATGCCACCACCCACACACTCTAATGTGGGACAAAGGAAGGATTGGTTCCATACCCGAAAGGACTAGTTTTTTGTGAGACAAAACTCATTTATGCATTCATAACAATCTATACAAATTGTAGCAGTTATATATACATGCAAACATATATATATATATGTATATATATATATATATGTATATTTACCAATGTGGTATCTTATTTATGTAGTGTTAAATATGTTTGTGGTCATGTTCATTATACGAACTACCTGAATTCCAGCAGTGTCATGATCGCATTCATTGTCATGGAGACGATATTCATGCATTACCCAATCCGTCCTAATACCCTGAGGAGCTCTTCCTCTGTAATAAACCAGTGTCTTCTTCATACCAATGGGTCGATTCTGGGACGTTACCTTCCGATCCTTCCCGGTCGATTTCCAGTACCCAGCTCGAGTTGCTCTATTCGTTCTGAACCCATTCGGATACTTTCGATCCCGTGGTCCAAAGAAGTACCACTCTGGATCTCTACTAGGCAAAAACGATTTCTCTGCAGCAACCAAAATTAATTAAGTTGACAATATTATAATTTGTTCTTAATTTGACCAAACGTAAATATAATTGCTAAATTCAGGAATTTATTTGCAAGTTTGTAACAGCACAAAAAAAGAGTAACCAAGGAAAAAAAAAAAAAAAAAACTCACAGCCTAAGAGATATATAGATTAATTCCCTATAGACGAGTAACATTTGATCCTACGGTACTATTCCTGCATGCTAGGTAGAAAAAATTAAAGACCATGCGTAAAGACATGATACAGAGAGAGAAAGAGGGTGTTTGGTGGACGAGAAATTCATGTTAAATTGAGTCTTAAACGAGAATGAATGTAATGATAGTGTGTGTGTGTGTGTATATATGGAGAATGAAAATATAAGGTAGAAATGAATTAACCTGCTAACTCCCAAGGCTCACATTTGTAGAGATCAACCTCGGGAATGATGTCGAGTTCAATCTCTTGTCCATGAATTTTTCTCTTGAGATAGTAATTCACAAGCTCTTCCTCGGTGGGATGAAACCTAAAACCTGGAGGCAATCCCAGTGGCGCCATTTCGATCTTTATTTGGATCTCGATCTCCTGAATTGCGAGACCCTTTCCCTTTCTTTACCAGTTCATGACTCAATACGTACTGCAATATTTATATAGATATACACGGTTAGCACACACACATAAATGAATAAAAGGATTCGAAGTCCCTTGTCTTTAAGTCATTTTTGACTTTCTCTTTTACAGATTCTAGACAAACGTTCCATGCAAGCCCTCACCCTTAATTCTCACTCCATCTTACAGTACTACCCTGTGTTCTGACTCCTGAGTTCTTTATGGATACCACCCACTAACCCTTTCTTAAGTTTACTTCTACAAGTAATTGTTTTAATTATATAGTTATATATATATACACACACATACTCATGCATGATATAACATTTAATTGGAGTTTGAAATGTTAAACCCTTGGATCATGTCCTCGTGAAGCAGGGTCCACTTTATTTGTAAGGATCATATCTTGTGTACGTGGAGTGATCTTTACCTTCTATTTGTACGCGCACATAAATGATACGGCTTATCAAAAGGTTGGTGGTATGTCCTTTTAATAAATAAACAAAAAAAATTAGAGAAAGAAAAGAGAAATGTTTAAAATTGTTCCATTTATATTAGGCCTACTTGATTCAAATATTTGAAAGAGTAATGATAAAAAAATTTACAATCGTACAAATTTGAATAATTTTATGTGAGCTCAACTGATATTATTATCACTTCAGAAATATTAATGACAATAATCCCTACTCACATAAACCAGTCCATCAAACTTTGGAATTCCAAATCATTTTTGAAATATAACTTTAGAAACACTTAGCAAAGTTAATTGGATGGAATGCCGCCTCCAGTATCCATCCATTATTGGTGGGTTGCAAATGGCCACCATAAATAAAATTCTAAAATTATTTGTAACAATCCAAAAAAGGCCCATTGCAAGACCTGAAACCCTCTGGGCCCATTTGGCCTCTGACTTGAGCCTGAGCAAACTCCTATCCTGGGCCGTCTGGCCTCCAGTGGTCTTATCACATGGGCTTTTTCAACTCCTTTTGAAACGAGGTGAAAGTTGAAACAGTTATCGTTGTTATCTAATCCTCCTCTTCTTCTCTCTGCTTGATTTGGAGATCGATGGCAATGGCAGCAAGAGTTGTCACTGTTTCTCATGCCTGGACATCATCAACTCAGAGAAAAAGACAATATTGTCCTCTGCATATTCATAGTCCCAGAACCTCCTTATCTTTAGGTTTCAATCGATCCCAATCTCGACTCCGATACAATGGTTTCGCTGTTGTAGCGTGTGTTACTTCTCCTTCTTCATCGCCAAAGACTACTTTCAATCCCTCTGCCAAGCTCTATGTCAGCGGTGAGCTCTCTCTCTCACTCTCTCTATATATTCATCATTTGTTTTTCCATTACTTATTTTCTCCCGAAATGGCGATGATATCAATTCGGTGAATTTGTTGAATTGTCATTGCTGGTTAGTGTAATTGATTCTTTGCACACATACACACATGTTATTTCTGCTTATTGGTGGTCATTTTTTCAGAATTTGACTGAAAGATTACAGTGACGAACATTTTAGAACTTAAGCCTATTGTTTTATTGTCAATAGTGTGATAGAGATACAAATTAGAAGGGAGATTTGGAACAAATGAGTTCTTCAGATTTTCGCAGATTTGTGCTCTGGGTTTTATAATTTGCTCGAGTGTGGTACACCGGGCTATTGGAAAAATCCCTTATGGTAGATAAGCAAAATGAGAGAGCACCCAGAGAAATAAATGAGTGATAAGTTTCCTCTCTCACTCCATTCTCTCTCCTTTGGAGCCATGGGCAGCCAACTCCACCATAATGAATTCTATCATACGCACCCCTCTACTATATCAACATGTTTGCTGATTCGGATTGGTTTTCTTCACTCTCAATTACAATGTAGTGAAATCCCATTTTGTAGCTAGTTTATTATTATTATTATTTTTATTCTCTAATTCGATTGGCTGAAATGCACAGGCAAGTAAATGCGAGAACCGAATATAAGAGTAGTCACTTTGTGCAGACTGTTAGCTCTTTATATCCATTCTATTCCTCCTAGCACCTGTGTTGGCAGAAGCAATGCTGATGATGACATATTCTGTATTTCTAGCTCTGTCCCTGTCTCTAATTTTATTGCGACAATGGTTCTATTTTTTCTTCAGTAGAAAAACACTAGATTCTGCTAAAAATAATTTAGTTCCTTATTATCGTTGTTAAAACCACTTCTTCATTGTTTCACCAATTACTTATATTAACAGTTTTAGTCACTCATCACTCATGGATGGTAACTGCATACCCTCTTGGATAGTTCCCACTTATCAATCTTCAGGATTTCGTTTCCCCACTCCTACTTTTCTTAAATTTACATCATCCAATTTATCTTACATATCTTTGATTTTAAACCATTTCTTCATAACTTTAACTAAGTTTCTAATATCTAACTTGTTTGGTTGGTCTAATGGAACTATATCATTACTAAACATTAACATGTGGCTTTTTCTGAAATACGCCAGTTTATTCATCCGGGATGGTGATTGGTGAAGCGTGATTACATAGCTGGCTCAAATTATTTGAATAATGTTTTGTCAAGTTGAGCTTGTCTTTCGAAAGTGTAACAAAAAATTAAGGTTTCTACTTTGCTTCCTCATGCTATTTAAAATTCTATTGCTTCATAGCAAATATTTCATTGGTTTAGCTTGAAATATGTCCAAAACTTGCAATGTATTTAGAATTTGGAATGTATCCAATGACATGTTCGCTTTGTTGAATAATAGCGTAATGCATAATATATATGTATATATTTAATGTATGCTCAATTAAAATTAATATTAACTGGACAATGTGGTGAAAAAAGGGTTTTTCATCTATGAAATCCTTCTTTAGTACAATTTGAGCTTTGTCTTCTTCTTCCATCATCAACTTGTAAAGTTTTGGAGTGCCAGATTAGGTTTTGTGTATCGGACATATATTTCATAACCATACTCACGTTGTGCCTTGTCGATACGGCCTACGGGTAAGTTGAGGGAAATAGGAGAGTCCTTGTAACAAAGTCATGTAATATTGTTATCGTTAGGGATTTGTTGTTTCCATATTCTATATAGAAATTGGAAACTCTTCTTTGCTGGAATTTTTTTTGAAAGTTTTCATTCTTTTAACCTTGTTTTTCCTTTTACAAATTCTTTCTACTTTTTTAACTTCCTACTATGAGTTTGATTAGGAGTGTTTTCTTGGGCTGACATACCTTTGGCATTTTCTAAAAATTTTCTGTTTTTGCAGGATTGGATTTCAATTTGGTTACTCTTGTTTTCTTGGTCTTTACTTGCTTGAAAGTTTTCTATAGTTTTTAAATAGAATCCATTGTACAAAACAAGATTCTTTCTTTAAACAAGACAGGATTTCATTTGTCTCCTGTTAGATGCATCAATGTTCTTGTTATTGCCCGCAGGTCTCTCATTCCGTACTACTGAAGAGAGCTTGAGAAATGCTTTTCAAAACTTTGGCCAACTCATTGAAGGTTGAACAGTAAATGTTGACTTCTCAGCTAACTTGTTTCCTTGAAGTCCTTCAATATACTTGGTGTTTGGTCTATTAATTTTCAGTTTCTGAAAGAGGTATCTATTTTTTTTATAGTGAATCTGGTGATGGATAGAATAGCGAATAGACCAAGGGGCTTTGCTTTCCTGCGTTATGCGTCCGAAGAGGAATCTAAGAAAGCCATTGAGGGAATGCATGGGAAGGTATGTTAAAGGTAGTAGTATTGTAGAGATGAATACACTTTTGCATAGTTATTATTAGATAGTACTACATTTGCTAAAGCTTATAATTACTTGATTTGCAGATTTGTATATATGCAATTAGTGTGGATAAGAATTTTTTTTTTCTCATTGTTTAGATTTGGTTCTTTCCGTGTGTGTATATATCATTATTCTTTTGTGAAACAAGAGGTGGCCTAATCTAAAATATCTATAATATGGAGAACATGGAGGAAATACAAAATATTAGGGAAGAAAATTGTTATACATATCACCTTATAATTACTTAAAGGAACCTGTACCTTCAAAGGAGAGAGAGAAATGGATTTATGCGTTTGTAACTGAAAACTATTAATTGTGCTCAACTCGATTAACCCTCATTTGAGACTGAAGGCCAGGGGTGATACAGCTTTTCTTAAACTGATCTCTATATATATTTATACTTCTTATAAACAGACTCGACAGTTGTCCCCTGGTTGAGACTTGTCAAAAAAAAAAAAAAAAGTAGTCCCCTGATTGAGAAATTTTAATTTCAATTTTCAGAAGTGATGCATTCTCCTATGCCAGTGCTTTTGTTAGCTCAAATTACTTCCTTAAAAATATTGACTAATTTATCCAGCCATTTCTGTTGGATATTCAATCCCCAAACAGACTAATTTACTTGTCTTGACGATGATAAGCTTTGTGCATATATTTCACCAGACATTTTTCCTGTAAATATATTATTGAACACCGAGTTATCAGAAGAACATAATAACTGCAGGATACTAAATACTACAATGGGCTACCGGGCTCTTTGAAAATCAGATTAATATATTATTGAACACTGAGTTATCAGAAGAACATAAGAACACATGAATGCACGGGCACCAAAAAGAACCAATGTAACTATTTATCATTCTTTACTTGTTTTGGAGTCTCCTTAACATACAATTTTCCTATTTATCTTCTTTCAACTGACCCAGAGAGTGGCAGCAGAGATTACTTTTATATATGTGAACTTCTGAATATATTTTCAGAGAGGCACCTTAAAATTGCTTAGCCCCAATGTTTTTTTTTTTTTTTTTATTATATATCTGAAGAAGATGGTGCATGGTTGTCTCTGACTCTAAATTCTCCTTTTAAATAAGAGAAAATGATTTTTCAAGTAATTATTTAATTTTTTCAAATTCATCAATCTGTTCTGTAAACCCTCTCTGGGTTCTTTTAATTTATAGATGTGAAATCAGTCATCACCCTTCAATAAAATGAGCCTCAACCACTTTCTTGCAGTTTCTGGATGGCAGGGTAATATTTGTTGAGGTTGCAAAGCCCAGATCTGAGCTCCGCCAAGGCTATAAGCAAAACACAAGACAGTATTGATGAGCTAGATACACCATTGTCTAGCATTTAGATTGAATGCGATGGAGTGCAAAGATAAAGCCTTGCTCCCAAGGATCACGTTGTTAGACATGTAAACTAATTTTTGTAAATCTCTCTCTAAAATGAGTACTGTTATTATGTATTGCTTATCAAAATGAACTGCTAATTAGGATCCTCTCGTGCAACAGTTTAATATTGTTGAGATATATATACTGCACGGTTCTGTATCACTATATTATGACTATCTTTTAATGAGAGGTTATGGATGGAGAGGTGTACCAGGCTTTATCAACATGGTTAATCAAATTACCCTGTGGCAATGATCAAATCTGTTAGTTTGTGTGTGAGAAAGAGATTGTAGGGCATGGAAATGATCTGTGTCACACATCTTTTTCTGCTTTTTAGAAAATAAAGAATACACCAAACAGTGGTTTCTCTCCAAAAAAAAGAATTATAGACATTGTTAAACTAAAGTTGTGGTTGATGAAGGGATTCCCGGTATCCCAAGGACTGTGGCTGCATCATGAGTGGGCTCTTCTTCAAATGTGCTGATGGCCGGGGTAATGTAATTTTGGGGCTTACAGTTTCTCTCCCATTTGTCTTCCTCTTGTTGATTGATGCCTGTTTTGCTGTCCAGTGCTGCTTTCTCTATGGTTGTGTTTTGCTTATTCCTTTTTGGCTCTTTAAGCTTCTTTGGCCTTTAGAGCTTTGTACAGACTAGGGCTACCCTTGTAACTTGTATATGCGCGCGTACACACATCAACACATGATGGATTGGAACTTGAGTTACTCGGGATGCTCAAGCACCAAGTGTTGTCCAAGTTTATATTGATCTTCGTAGATGATGACCTAGTTACAAGCCATCACATTGTAATGTCTGAATTTAACAAATGAATACTTGACAAATATGAGAAAAAGAAAAGAAAAATAAGAGAACTTGAAAGAAAATGGAAAAAACAAAGAGTAAAAAATTAAAGTTTTGATTGGAAAGGGAAAATTTAATTTGGTTGTAAGGAAATTAAATGAATTTAAAGAGAAAGAGAGAAGAAATAAAAAGTTTAAGGAGATAAATTTAGAAAGTAAAAACTTTAGGGGGCATTATAAATTTTTTTTTTTTTCAATCATATTTACATGAAAAAATAAAATACTTGAGTGATTCATATCATAGAGGATTCCAACTCTTGAGATAGACCAATTTTAAAGAATGATTTTTAAACTTCTTAATTATTCAATTAAAAAAAAAATTATTCATTTAAATTATAAAGTTGATATGCACGTCTGGACAAGCAATATCATTAGGCACTTTGTGCTTATAATATGCTTATTATTATTTTTGCGCCGCTGATGTTCCCGCCTATAAAGAGCTCAGAAATGCCAGTAGCTTGGAGGCAGTGAAACGCACACAACGTCTCAAAAATATTTTCAAGAAATTCAAGAGATGTCCTCTCTGGGTGGAGTCGGAGATGGAGACATGCTCATCAAGAATAGATTTCTAGGGTTTCTAATTTGGCAATCGGTTCAGTCAACAGCGATTTTCCTTCTATGTAAATCCTTGCTTCTCTCACACTTCACTCAAAACCCTCTCTCTCCCTCTTTCTCAGGCTTCCTCGCTTTCCTCTTATTTAACCTCTCTCTCCTCCTCTTCTCCGCCTCCGTCTTCGCCGTCGCTTCTCCGCAACCCCACTGCTCCGCTTCCCCGTCGGAACTCGCCCTCGGACTCGTCCGATTCATCTTCGTCTCCGGTGGTCAATCCCCGTCGTCCGATTTTCGTCGGCGGGCGACGGTTTCTTTGGGTTTTCTTCTGTTCTTGACTTCGTCTGCGTGGTCGGGTTTTTTGTCGGTGGTTTGTGTTTGCTGGAACTGCGACGCTTTTGCTGGACTACCGACGCGGTACCTCTTGGGGACACTAGGGTTTAGGGGTTTGGTCGTTGGGTTCTTTTACGGGTTGCATTATATCTTCAAGAGGCGATGGGTTTTGGAGTTCCCCATTATTCAGGTGACTTTTAGTATTTGTTTGTTCTCTAGGTCTTTCATTTTGTGTATGTATGTATGTATGTGTGCCTGTCTATATCTATATATGTTTATCAGTATCAGTCTTTTGCTAGTTTTGTGCCTCCTTTTAGGTTAAATCTTTTGATGCTCCGCCTTTAATTCAATTTGGGCAATCTTTATATCTGAGAATCTCAACTACCCTAATATGGTGGATTGGCTTTTGTAGACTTGGGCCAAGTTTTCCATTTGTGAGAAGCCATGAATACTCGAAAACATTATTGTTGCTTTTGGGAGCACTGAATCTGTACTTTGGATTTGAGATTGAAGTAAATTTAGTTCAAAATTTTAACCAAATCTCTTTCAATGCCGCTGATTCGGTTCTTTCAAACATAGCATATAAGTAATCAAAACATCAATCCTTTCCTTTTAGCAGTCAGTCTTAGCATCCAAAATGAGAATTCTATTTTTGTTTTATGATTTTATTTATGTTACAACAACTTCTGAGTATAAGATACTTATTCAAGTTAATGAACTATGTATATTGAGTGGCTTTGAGGCAATTCATATGGACTAAGACACGACTAAATTCATATGGATTTATGAGAATCTCCAATGCCAAGACACAAAGACATGAGTAAATGTTTATAGGAAAGGATTGATGCTTAAAAGAGTCGTCCGACATGGCTACTTCATTAATTTGAAAGTCCTTGAAACATAGGTTTTGAGATTTTGGGAAGCATACGTCTATTATTCAGTGCAACTTTGAAGCATGTCTTTTAACAATATTTAGAGAGAGAATAGTTTGATTTGCTGCTGGGGTTCACAAGTTGGATCTACCATTAGCATAACTTGCCCATAATGTTGCTGGCCTTCTGTTGCTAGTAGCTGGACTGATATGATACCCATTTTATTATTACAACTGATGTGTTCATATGATCAACATTCATGATCAATTTTTTAACTTTGTATCTCAGAGTTATCAACTCACATTCATCATATTTGTTTCCTCTTTGTGGAATTTGTTGTTCTCACTTGTATTTATATGCATGTCATTTGGAACTGTAGTTTAGTTTATTGTGATTTGGTTTCTTATTGATCATGCTTGTGACTAAGTTCTGATTGCTCATATCTACAGCGTCCTCCTTTCTTCAGCTTCAAGATGGGGATCCCTTCAGCTATTGGAAAAGCGTTAAAGCTTTCAACTGTGGGTTACCTTTTCTCAGCTGTGCTGACAGTTTTTCTGCCTAATGAGTCTACCGGTCAAGTTACAATGGGAAAATTCTTGGCTGAGCAGATCATCTTTTTTGTTGGAAGTTTCATAGTTTTTCTCTGTTGGGAATTAAGCCATCATTTACATCAGGTTGGTTCTTCAAAATCAGTTCTATTGCAATTTCCATCCCTGTTTACACCCATTTAGCTGCAATTCTTTAGAGAGGCATTGCATATATATATATATATTTTCCCTGAATGGGATGATTTCATTAAAAAAAGAAGAAAGAAACTGGAGTACAAGAGATCAGGGGCATACTAGAGTACATGAGCTGGCATTGCATATCAGCTCATGTACATTAGGTGATAGTTTAAATTACAAGATACCATCTATTTCGAATTGTTCTTCAATATCATTTCTAGTGTTAATGGACATTTTTGAGTGGTTATATAGGTGCTAAATACAAAAAGGTTCATATTTGCACCCCCAAAGGGATCAGCCGCAGCAGAAACAAATCCAAGTGAACCTCTCCTTGCAGCACTGGAGGGTAGCCCGCCCAGATCTCTTCTGCAGTATCTTGCTTATCTTGATCTCTGCATGGTTTGTGAACGTAATGTTGATACTTGGCGTAGAGCTGCCTTCTTTGAGGAAACCGGAGATACTTACAAAAGAGTTATAGCTGTATGCTTGAAGCCCCTAGAACAACTAGCATTGAAGTTGGGTGAAGGTTTGGATGGTTCTTCAGTTGAGAAATCCTTACAATTATCTCATCAGTTACAGTCACCAACGAATTCACAACTATACTCAAGATTCTATGAACCATTTAATGACTTGCAGGTACTAAATTCATTGTTAAATAGGTATTCGGATTATTATTAGCACATATAATTCTTGCTTTCCACACGAATTAATCTCAATGTATGTTTAATTCTTTCTTTTCCCTTTGTTTATCTTACTGTTGCCTTTATGATTTCTTGTTTGTGCTGTCATACATCTCTTGGGTAGAACAGGACACCTGTATTCAGGTCCTATTGTCATGTTTATTTGGCAGTCTTCTGTCTGCAAATTTAGGGAATTCATATGTTGATTTTCTCAGTTCTGATTTTTAAATGTATGTTATCTTTACTCTGAACATCTTGTGCCACTTTACATCCTCTAGGTTGCTCCCTGTCTAGAGGATTGATTTACTCCTATTGATTTGTTATTAAAGGACACTCTACCGTCTGCAGAGGATTTCTTGATCTTCTTTATGTTTATAGTAGTAGTGGACAATGGTCAAATAATTTTTCCTTATGTACTACTTTATTACATCCTTCAGGGGATCTCCGCCTCTCAATATTCAGGTCATGTTCGGACAGTTGAATAAAGGGTGCAGATAGAATATGCATATCCATTTTCTTTAATAAGTAAAATATTCATTAGAAAGGCACCTAACGGATGCATTACGCAATGCATATGCTATGCTAGTAGGCAAATTTAATAATTATACTCTTATCCCATCCAAATGCTCTTATAGAATAACGTACAAATAAAATAGCTCCTGTGATCCTGAAATAAATAGGGAATCCCACACCTACAAAGGATCTACTCTTCCTGTGACTCCTGTCATTGTATCTTTTCCACCATAGACATAGTGGAGCTGTCTGTCACACAGTACTGACTCTCCTCCCAGTCTTTTTAACTTCTTGAGCCGGCAAGCTCATGCTACCCACCAGTCTCGGGTATCATCCACCCCCAAAAAAGAGTAAGCGCAGAAGTTTCCGCAGATATCCATCAACCCAATGCAGCAAAAGATGACTCTCTCTCCATCCCTTTTTACACAAGCAACACTAATTGACTATAATGTATCTCCTCTTCAACAAGCTATCTAAGGTCAAATGTCCCCAAGAACTGTCGTCCGTCTAAAGATTTCCTAAGAAAAGCCCTCTCACCCACCTCTCTTAAGCACCTTGTACTGAGATCTCACATTGAAAATACCCTCTCGATTGTTCCACCTCTCAAAGCATCCTCCTAGCCCCATACTATAACTTGAGCGTACCGAAGGAATTCCAAATTTGGGGAAGGAATAGGTTTAGTCACACTTATAACAGAACTGATTCCTCTTACATGTTTATATTATAGTATAATGTTATGGTATATGTGTTTCTTGCTCTCTATCCAGATGTAATTTTGCCTTTTGTGCTTCAGTATGTGGTTGTTTCAGTTATGATTGTCAATATAACTTACTCAGATGGTGTGGGGGAAATGAGAACCTGTATTGTCAATTCATTGTGTTCCTAAGATTATGTATTAGTTTAATTAAACCCTACGGTTCTTATTATTTTTAACGATTCACTATTTACAAATTTGGATGATACATTCAACATGGATTTAACAGCAAATATTGTGTGAAGTTGAAATATTCAGTACAGCTAGACAGCTTTATATTTTGTGAAGCTTATTGTCACACCCCACTACCAAGAGGCTATGCCACGCAGGCGCCACGCAGACGCCCAGCAGATGATGACATGGAGCCTGCATGGACTGGAGCTTTCTAGACTTCTCTACACAAGTATGGAACTTTTTGGAATTCTCTAGATTAGTGTGGAGTTGTCTAGCCTTTTCTAGACTTGTCTAGAGTTGCATAGAATTCTCTAGAATTCTCTAGACTTGTCTTGTACATAGTAGATAGTTCTAGAGTTGTGTAGATATTTCTGGAAGATTCTAGACACTAAATCTAGGCCACACATTTGTACACATCTAGAATGTTCTTGTAAGGCCAAAGGCCTATAAATAGGAGGTGGGAGTTCATTTGCTCCTCACCAAGCAACTAAGTTGTAATCTCTCCTCTCAAGCAATACAAGTTCTATACATTCCCAAACTCTCTTGCTCACTTGCCTAACCTCTTCCTACACACCCAAGTAAGCAAAACACTTGTCTAGCCTTAGTCTTCACTAAGCTAGCACACTCGGGTAGGCTGACTTAGCACTTCAAGGGGGCTTGAAAGTGTCTAAGGCTGCACGGTAGCTTGAAAAGGTTCAAGTCTATGACAGTTGGTATCAGAGCTAAGGTCGTGAGGCGTCACACCTTGTGTGGAGGAAGCTATGGCGGAGCTATCAGACGTGACTGGCACCCAAGAGGAGACTCTACGTGGAAGGGAAACAAATCCCCCTCCAGGCGGAGTGAGGACGAGGGCTAGGTCGAAGGACATCATGGCGGGCTTAGAGGCACGGGTGGCAACGATGGAGGGGTCCATAGCCAACATGTTGGAACAGCTTGAGGATGCTCACCAGCGCATGGATGGGCTGGAGTCAGAGGATGTTGAGGTCCAGAATGCTGTCAAAGGGTCACTCAATACCTTAAGTGGTGACTTTCGGCAGGAGCTCCAAGCACTTCGAGAACTTATGTTGGGGGAGTTCGCCACCCTACGTGGCTATGTTGATCAGGAGCTTGGCACTTTCCGCGAGCAAATGGAGGAAATGCGAGCGGACTGGACATTGTGCAAACGGGCGGTGGCGTCCGGCACAGCTACTACGGGGGTAGTAGCACCCCGGGTTGATATTCCCAAGCCTAAGTGCTATGGTGGGAACCAGGTAGCGAGGGAGTTGGAGAACTTCCTCTTCAGCATGGAGCAATACTTTGAGGCTACGGGCATGACCGATGAGACCATCAAGATACGCACGGCGACCCACTACCTCACCGACCATGCCATACTATGGTGGAGGAAAAAGTATGGTGACATAGGCAAAGGTACGGTCTCTATTGATACTTGGGCTGATTTCACTAGGGAAATTAAGAAGCATTTCTATCCTGAGAATGCCGAGGATGAAGCTAGGGGCAGACTCCGAAGGCTAAAACAGGTTGGGTCGATTCGGGACTATGTGAAGGAATTCACTAACTTGACTCTTGAGATCCCGGATCTATCCGACAAGGACTCTCTTTTCTTCTTCATGGATGGATTGCAGTTGTGGGCTAAGACGGAGTTGAGGCGGCGCAACGTGCAAGACCTTGCCACAGCTATTGCAGAGGCGGAGTCCTTTATTGATTTCAGCTTCAAGAAGGAACCCTCGTCCAAGCCAAAAGACAAAGACAAAGACAAGGGGAGGTATGCCGGCAAAGGTGGGGGAGACAAGGGTGCTGCACCCCACAAGGATTGGTCCCGTAAGCCAGGTGGTGGCCATGGAGGCAAAGAGGGAAGGGAGAACAAGGAAGGAGCACCCAAGCCTAAGGGTTCTTGCTTCATATGTGATGGACCACATTGGGTACGAGATTGCCCAAAGCGGAAGACCCTCAATGCCATGACGAGCCGCTATGAAGAACAACAACAGGAGGAGGCGCAGATGGGTTCACTGCAAATCCTTAATGCCATCAAGGCTAAAACTGAAGTCCCTAAGGCGGCGGCTAAAGGGCTAATGTTCGTGGAGGCGAGCATCAATGGGACACCCACACGTGCTTTGGTAGACACGGGTGCATCCCACAACTTTGTGAGCCTTGACGAGGCTAAGAGGTTGGGCCTCAAGTATAGCAAAGAAGGGGGCTCCATGAAGGCAGTTAACTCGTCGGCAAAGGCTATACATGGCATGGCACACGGCGTCCAAGCATGCATTGGCGAGTGGGGTGGCCACATAGATCTATCGGTGGTACTCATGGACGACTTCAAACTAGTCCTTGGGTTGGAGTTCTTAGACAAGGTGAGAGCCTTCCCCATTCCTTTTGCTAACACTATGTGTATTATGGAAGGCAACACAGCATGCATGGTGCCGGTGGAGCGAGGCGCCAAGTTGGAAGCCCAAGCTTTGTCAGCTATGCAGTTCAAGAAGGGCTTCAAGAAGGGAGAGACTAGCTACCTTGCTACGTTACTGGAGACACCCGATGATGAGCTAGTCCCTTCCACACAAGAAGAGGTGCCTAAGGAGATACGAGCCGTACTAGACGAGTACACGGATGTGATGCCTAAGGAGCTGCCCAAGAAGCTTCCACCTAGGAGGGAGGTGGATCATAAGATTGAGCTGGAACTGGGTTCTAAACCCCCTGCTTTGGTGCCCTATCGGATGGCACCCCCAGAGTTGGAGGAGTTACGGAGGCAACTTAAGGAACTGTTAGAGGCGGGCTATATTCGACCATCGAAGGCCCCATATGGCGCACCGGTGCTGTTCCAGAGGAAGAAGGACGGGTCTTTGCGCATGTGCATCGACTACCGGGCGCTCAACAAGGTGACTATCAAAAACAAGTACCCCATTCCTCTCATTGCCGATCTCTTTGATCAGCTTGGTGGAGCACGCTACTTCACTAAGCTTGACTTGCGCTCGGGGTACTACCAGGTGCGGATAGCGGACGGGGATGAGCCTAAGACTACGTGTGTGACGAGGTATGGCTCTTATGAGTTTCTTGTTATGCCGTTTGGCCTCGCCAATGCACCTGCTACTTTTTGTACTTTGATGAACAAGTTCTTCCATCCCTACTTGGATCGCTTTGTGGTGGTGTACTTGGATGATATTGTTGTGTATAGCACCACTCTAGAGGAGCACGTGCAGCACTTGAGGGCGGTCTTCCAAGTCCTACGGGAGAACGACCTATATGTGAAGACGGAGAAATGCTCATTTGCCCAAGAGGAGGTGTTGTTCCTAGGGCATAAGATACGGGATGGCAAGTTGATGATGGATGAGGCAAAGGTGAGGGCCATTCAAGAGTGGGAGCCGCCCACTAAGGTGACAGAGCTACGCTCATTCCTTGGGCTTGTCAACTACTACCGCCACTTTATCAAGGGTTACTCGGCGAGAGCAGCCCCATTGACAGACCTTCTCAAGAAGGCGCGTGCTTGGAGTTGGACAGAGTCGTGCCAGGGGGCATTTGATGACTTGAAGAGGGCAGTTACGGAGGAGCCGGTACTTAGCTTGCCTGACCATTCCAAGCCATATGAGGTGCACACGGATGCATCAGACTTCGCTATTGGGGGCGTGTTGATGCAGGAAGAACACCCCATAGCTTATGAGAGCCGCAAGCTTAATGACACTGAGCGGCGCTATACTGTGCAAGAGAAAGAAATGACGGCGGTCATCCATTGCCTACGTACTTGGAGGCACTACTTGCTCGGGGCACAATTTGTGATCAAGACGGATAATGTTGCCACCAGCTACTTCCAGACACAGAAGAAGCTTAGCCCCAAGCAAGCTCGTTGGCAGGACTTCCTAGCGGAGTTCACTTACCATTTCGAATATAAGCCGGGCAAGGCCAATGTTGTGGCGGATGCACTTAGTCGCAAGGCCGAGCTCGCAGCTATTAGTCGGCCCCAGCACTCTCTTGTGGAGCGAATCAAAGAAGGGTTGCAGCATGACCCTCTAGCCAAAAGCCTTATTCAGCTAGCTAAGGAAGGGAAGACTCGGCGCTTTTGGCTAAGGGATGATTTACTTCTCACTACAGGGGACCGACTCTTTGTGCCCAGGTGGGGCAACTTGCGGAAGGAGCTAATACGGGAGTGCCACGACACCAAATGGGCTGGTCACCCAGGTATGCGGCGCACACTAGCACTCCTTGAAGATTCTTACTATTGGCCTCGGATGCGAGATGACGTGGAGACATATGTGAGAACTTGTCTTGTGTGCCAACAAGATAAGATTGAGCAACAGCATCCTGCAGGCCTACTAGAGCCACTGCCTATTCCGGAGAGACCTTGGGAGAGCGTCTCTATGGATTTCATCACTTGCTTACCCAAGTCAGAGGGTTGCGGGAGCATTATAGTGGTGGTAGATCGGTTCAGCAAGTATGCCACCTTCATACCCGCACCAGCAGACTGCACAGCAGAGAGGGCAGCAGAGTTATTTGTTGACCATGTGGTCAAGCTTTGGGGAGTTCCGCAGAATATTGTCAGTGATAGAGACCCGCATTTCACGGGTAGATTTTGGACGGGACTCTTCAAGAAGATGGGGACGGATCTCAACTTCTCTACGAGTTTCCACCCCCAATCAGATGGGCAGATAGAGCGCATCAACGCTCTCCTGGAGCTTTATTTGAGGCACTATGTGAGTGCTAATCAGCGAGATTGGGCCAAACTCCTTGGGGTGGCACAGTTTTCTTACAACTTGCAGCGGAGTGAGGCTACCAATCATAGTCCATTTGAGGTTGTCACCGGACGACAGCCTATGACACCCAACGCCATTGCTTCAACTTGCGATGGTAAGAGTCCGGCGGCCTACAAATTTGCCAAGAGGTGGCATGAGCAGTCTGACTTGGCTAGGGCGTACCTTGACAAGGCGGCAAAGAAGATGAAGAAATGGGCCGACACCAAGCGAAGGCGGGAGGAGTACATAGTGGGAGACCAGGTGATGGTTAAGCTACTACCCCAACAATTCAAGTCCTTCCGGAGCGTGCATAAGGGACTAGTAAGGAAGTACGAGGGCCCGTTCCCCATCGTCAAGCGGGTGGGCAAGGTCTCCTACATGGTGGAGCTTCCACCCAAGTTGAAGATACATCCAGTCTTCCATGTCAGCATGCTCAAGCCTTATCATGAAGACACGGAAGACCATACTCGGGGCATATCGCATAGGGCACCCACGGCCGTTGTCACATCCTTTAATAAGGAAGTTGATTGCATCCTTGCAGATCGTGTGATGAGCAGGAGAGGTGTGCCCAAATATACAGAGTATTTAGTGAAATGGAAGAACCTGCCAGATAGCGAGGCGAGCTGGGAGCACGAGGATACACTATGGCAGTTTGCAGAGCATATCCAGCGGTTCAAGCAAGAAGACGCGACGAGGGCGTCGCGAGCTTAGGTGGGGGAGAATGTCACACCCCACTACCAAGAGGCTATGCCACGCAGGCGCCCAGCAGATGATGACATGGAGCCTGCATGGATTGGAGCTTTCTAGACTTCTCTACACAAGTATGGAACTTTTTGGAATTCTCTAGATTAGTGTGGAGTTGTCTAGCCTTTTCTAGACTTGTCTAGAGTTGCATAGAATTCTCTAGAATTCTCTAGACTTGTCTTGTACATAGTAGATAGTTCTAGAGTTGTGTAGATATTTCTGGAAGATTCTAGACACTAAATCTAGGCCACACATTTGTACACATCTAGAATGTTCTTGTAAGGCCAAAGACCTATAAATAGGAGGTGGGAGTTCATTTGCTCCTCACCAAGCAACCAAGTTGTAATCTCTCCTCTCAAGCAATACAAGTTCTATACATTCCCAAACTCTCTTGCTCACTTGCCTAACCTCTTCCTACACACCCAAGTAAGCAAAACACTTGTCTAGCCTTAGTCTTCACTAAGCTAGCACACTCGGGTAGGCTGACTTAGCGCTTCAAGGGGGCTTGAAAGTGTCTAAGGCCGCACGGTAGTTTGAAAAGGTTCAAGTCCGTGACATTATACTTAGTTGTGTTATGGAGGTGATGTAGTTTGGGCCTTGACATAGAGTCGATTTTCAATATAGGAACCTTATTTCTGAACTCTGATTTTAGTCTGTGATCTTTCTAGAGTGTCTCCTTTTAAAAGGAAGAACAAACCATTCTTTTTTATGCCAATTTTCAATGTTTTTTGTCCATCCGGTTGTATAGAATTATTCCATTCCCCTTGTCAGAAAGAACAATGAAAAAACAGAGATGATGCTAGATTGGTTACTCAAATTCAAGTCATAGTAATATGAGAGGAAAGGGTGGAAATAACTCTTGCCCAAATTTATTCCGCCACCTTGGCTAGAGATATTGATGATAAAAGTGCAAAATGGCACATTTTAAGAAGTTACCATTGAAAGAGGTCTTAAAGCTATAAATATTAACGTGCTTAAAGATCAGTTATAATGGCATTTCCACAATGAAAGTGTGAACGTTGAGAGAGAGGAAAGAACCGTGTTATGTTTCTGTGCTAATTAAAGAAGCTAATAATGTTTGCCTACTTTTATGCAGCTATGTGCATGGTGTGCCCGGGCGAGCTCTTCACTTACAGCTCACTCACACAAGGAGGACCGATTTGGGGTTGCTCAACTCTCTGGTAGCAATGCGGCTGTTATCTCAACGCTATTGTCCTGCTTGCTTGCTGTTGAAACATTTATGGGGAAGAAGATCAACTTGCAATCCCCAAATCTTGTGACGGGTCCGACTTTTATGAAATTTGCAACAGTGAGCACAGGAAGGAGTGATGTGGGTTTTGGTGGCACTGGAAAAAGGATACGAAACCCTCAGTACTCGAAAGCATATTGTATGGCTGACATTCTGAGGACTTCTATTTACTGCATCTTGTCTACTTTCCATGATGAGATGCTCAGTGCTGCTAAAGCAGGACTTCTTGAGAAGGACTGGATCATGAGTAGTAAGCCTCCTTATGGTACCCACGGGATCCTTCTGCAGAAATTGAAGCTTTTCTTATATTTCAACGCTAGCTAGTGGTGTGCGTAGCAGTGTTCTCCTTAACTACTTATCTCAGGTATGAGACCAAAATCTGGAATTTGGCAATTGAGAGAAGTTGATACTTCCCGCAATTCACATTTTTGTTGGGAAACAAAATCAGAGGAAGAGAACCTGTAATATCATGTCACCTGTTGTTTTGTAGCATCAAGTTGAATTGCATTTGTATTTATGAAAGCTAAAAGGAAAAAGTTTTACTGCAAGGTGATATTGTATTTCTTTTGGTGGCAATTACTGTTAGCTGGATTACTCGGAACAAAAGCCGAACAAAAAGTTGCATGATTATGTTTAAAGAAGATGCCAATCGTGTGCATATGATAGTTAATCATGTACACAATCAATCTGAAGTTGAGACACCATGTACACATCACACAAGAACTTCCCGCATCTTGATTTCTATTGTCTGTGCAAGTCTTAACAGAGAGATCTCTTAAACCATGATTTCCCATGATACCCTTCAATGGTGAATCCTTTTTTCTTTTTTTCTTTTAAGTTTTACCTACCATATTTTTTACTGATACAGGGATGATGTATTGAAAGAGTGTGTGGATTGATTGCAGCCACAAGGATTCACCTTTGCATCTTTTTGAATTCCTTTCATAAATTCTAACATTAGTGGCAAACACGTCTTGCCAGTGCACATAGCCAGCCATCTGTCCCCATCATGCTTGCCACATAAACCACCACTAGTTATATATATATATATATATATAAAGGCTATCATGGTTCGTCTTTTACGGCAATCCATGAACTTTACTTTGAGTTGCTATGCAACTATACACAGTACCAATGAGCCATTGGTCGGATGGTATAATTCCTTCTCCCTCAAAGGGAGGAGATGGGGGAGTTCTGTTGTGGGCAATTTGTAATCTCCAAACAAAAAGCTATAAGGACATGTTCTTTGTGTACAAATATAAGCTTCAAACGCGGCGGTTATTTTTTATATATTTTTTTCTTTTGGTAGAACAACTTTCATAATACTCCTAGCTGCTGCCAAACTAAAACCAAGAGCAAAGGTGGTTCAAGGAGCTAATTAATGGAAAGCTATTCACTCACTTTAAGAAATTGATTAAAATAGATTTCCATTATTTTTAGTTCTCTTTCTATGACTTGGCCTAATGTTAGATGGATGGTTATTGAAATAGATGTAAGTTAACGGTCAATCCTAAAGAAGCAAAGGAACTCTAATTTGAACCTTTTTTTTTTTTTTGAAAGGAGAATAGGTATCAACACTACCCCCAATCCTTGGTGCATAAAAAATTTACTAGATTTAATTTCTTTATTACAGAATTTGGTCTTAAAGACCTTAAAAATGGAAAGGCACGAGAAAATTCAGTTGATTGACATTTTTGTCCATTTTCAGGACCCTAAACTCTTGAAACAGATCTTTAAGTCCTTGCTATACTTGATTATGCACGGAATAACCATATACAGCTCTTTCTTATATAAGTTATAATGAAAAGGAGCTTTCCAAGTGCCTTGGCACTTCAAACACCACATTACACGAAAGAGGAAAATTGAAGTGGAAGGTACTATGGCTATGAAAGAAACAACTCAGGCATTTTATCACCGTGCAAGCCATATCAACTCAAGCCCAACCATGATAGTTCGTCGTATTGTCCGATACGCGACTCTTTTTCAAGTCCGATATGCGATTCATATCAGTCAGTTTTGCACTTATTCTGTCCGAGTTCGTTACACTGCAATCATGACCAATACCGCGACCGTAAACAATACTGCAAACATGATATATGTTTGGGCTTGAGGTTATTGTATGTAATATGAGGTTATGATTTATTTAATATTTTGGTTCATTAACATATGTATGTGTGTGTGTGTGTGTGTGTGTGTGTATTTATATATGTATGTATGCATTATATGCATGTGGTGCTGGAAGGACTTAATTACTGCCTATGCCTTGCTGCATATGCATAATTACATTCTACATGCAAGAACCATATGTTTGGGCTATAATTTCATTTATTCCAATCTTTTATATAAGACCTCTGTTTTATATGTTTCTCATACTTTATAGGGTAATAATTCAAAGAAGGGAGATTAGTTTAATCTCCGAGAAAAAGTAAAAGCCAAAACTGAGGGAAAAAAGGATTCTCTGTCTATATATATTGGAGGTTGACAGTGACACAAGCACTAACAAGTTGAACAAGAAATGGAAGACGACGAAGCGCAAGAGTTTGCAATATCAAATCTGACAGAAAAAGGAAGGATGGCAAACAAGATAGAACTGACAGTAGATGAAATAGTTGAAAGGTTTGTTGGATCATTTGGCTTCTCACAGCTGCTGCATGTGTTCTTGGTATCACTCGCATGGATATTTGATTCCCAGAACATGTTGATCACTATCTTCAGCGACGCCCAACCTGCTTCTTGGAGATGCATAGGTTCATCATCGTCATGCATTAATAGCAGCAATGATGGCCGGGATGCTTCTTCAGTCTGTGGGCTGGTGCCAGGTAGTTGGGAGTGGGTCGGGGGCAGTACAAGCTCTACCATTGCAGAGTGGGGACTCATTTGTGACAGAAAGTTTCTTGCTGCAATTCCAGCGTCCCTCTTCTTCCTTGGTTCTCTTCTGGGTACTTCCTTTATCCTTCTACTAGAATTCTTCTTTTTAAGTAATGCTGGACATGACCAAAACTTTTCATCATACATATGACAAAAATTTCTGGGCAGGGTATGCTGCCTATGGTCGCTTGGCTGACTCATCGTTCTTGGGAAGAAAGAGAACGGTGCTCCTTTCATGTCTCCTGACCTCCATAACCGCTTTTCTCACCTCCCTCTCACCAAATGTCTGGATATATGCACTGCTCCGGTTTGCCAGTGGGTTTGCACGTTCAGGGATCGGCGTATGCTGTCTTGTCCTCTCCACAGAAGCTGTTGGCCACAAATGGCATGGTCAAGTTGGCCAATACGGCTTCTTCTTTTTCACATCAGGCTACCTTTCGCTCCCCTTGATTGCTTATCCCACCAGAACTAACTGGAGAAATTTATACAGAATCATCTCTCTTCTCCCTCTCCTCTACTCCCTCTTTATACTCCCCTTTGTATCAGAGTCACCGCGGTGGCTCCTCGTCAGGGGAAGAAGCAAAGAAGCACTCGAGGTCTTGGAAAGATACGCGACACTGAACGGGAAGAAGCTGCCAACCAACCTGAGTCTCTCAGAGCCATTCCCTTCCAAAATGGTTGGTCAAGGTAGAAAATCACTACCAACATCAGACACACAAATGAACCTGTGGACCACTAAATGGGCTGCTAAAAGAATTGCCACAGTGATGGTGGTAGGTTTTGGAGTTGGCTTTGCCTATTATGGTGTCCAACTCAATGTCGAAAACCTAAACTTCAATCTCTATTTCACCGTGGCACTAAATGCAATGATGGAGATTCCAGCAGTTTTTATTGGCAGCGTGCTCTTGAGCTTCACAAATCGCCGTCAACTCTTCTCCCAGTCAGCTTACGTAGCTGGAGTTTCATGCATCCTCCGCGTTGTTTTCTCCCATGGTAGACATGAAAAGACTGATGAATATAAATGGAGCTGCACACAACTGACATTAGAATCGATAGGATTCATGGCTGCTTCAACAGCATTTGATGTGCTGTATATCTACTGCGTTGAGCTTTTCTCCACCAATATGAGAAACTTTGCTGTGTCTCTGTTGCGCCAAGCCTTGATGTTAGGGGCTTCGCTCGCTCCTCTGCTAGTTGTTCTTGGCCGACAGAACCCCTCTCTTTCCTTTTTGGTATTCGGGGCCCTTTCCATCTTTAGTGGTCTGTTGAGTTTGTGGCTTCCTGAGACCAGGAATGCTCCACTCTACGAGACATTGGAGCAACAGGAGGAAGAGGAGAAGCTAAATTATGTCTCCGAAGAGTCTGGGTTAGAGCTTGGGAAGTAGACACAGGTGATTATTCTTTCGAACCTGCAAGAGTGAATCCAAGAACTGCTCTACAAAAACATCTTAAGCCGTGCAAGTTCTTTAATTTGTAAAATAACAGCAATTAGAAGGGTTCATCTACTATAAGATCACAGTGTTTATAAGCTTAGGCCTGGTGCAGTCAATATCAGTATCCATATCTGTGGTACCACAATATTTTTGATGTGGAAAACCAAGTGTGATTATTTGAGGTGTTATCAGTATCAGTCTTGTTTTACACTATATCCTAGTCATCACTCTCTAAAGCTTACTTTATCTTATTTTATACTATGTAGTATATACTAGTCATCACTCTCTGAAGCTTACTAAATCTTATTGAAAAATGGAGTATACGTTGATACTCAAGAGTAGCATATCATGATATAAATCCTTTCTCATCAGGGCCTCTACCTGAGTAGGCAGGAAGTAAATATAGAGATCCCTACAAGATTTCAGATTCTCAAACTAAGACATGGGATACTTAAAGAACAAATCCATCTAAATCATTCAAGTGCAAGTCCACGGATTAAATATCTCAATTTAAAGGTCTCTCTCTGAGGTGTAAGTTTACAGGTCCGGCACAGGACACTCTATGCCAAACAAATAGAAGGCTTGAGGGTTTCTAAATCAAAGAAGAGTGGAATGGATCAATTTTGAAATGAATATGGCATAATGATCAATATCTGCACTATGGTAACTTAGCACAATGGTTATCAATATTAGTAAGGACACTAATACCATTATATCAGGAGTAACTAGTTTTATGAACATGGACGACTAATATAACGCAGAGTCACAGACTAGATGAATAATGGATTTGTCCGGGTTGTATAACCACTAAGAAAAGGAGAATGTATTGAATCTTTTCTCATCTTTTTTACTCCAATGTGTGGCAATTGATTAAGAAAACAGCCTCACCTATCTCAGGATTAGGAGGAGGGAAGTTAGCCAGTTGTTTTCTGTCCCTGGAGTTTAAATACTCGTCAACTTCTCCCATAGAGTAACAAGGTACCAGAACAATGATCAGTTTGCTTCTCATCGGAGAATTAACTCAGGATCAAAACCACATTTTCAGATCGCGTTCACCCACTCATTTGCCCTTGCTGGATAACACTTTTTATAATTGTCATCACAACAGGGTTAAATTAGAAAAGAAGTAGGACTTAATCCAAGCACCAAAGTTCAAGGCTAGCTTTTAAACCCTTAAACCAGTCCACTATGTAATGAAAGTCAGTCCACAGAGAACGCTGCAGCCCTTTTGAAGCAAACATAATCCTACTAACAAAACAGAAGATTCTCCACAATACAACACTTGATGACCAAAATCTATTATTGCAGAACAAAGTATAAATACTGCATTAAATATTTCTTGGATCAGAGTTATCATACTTTGCATTGTGTACATTTAGACAAAAGCCTAGACAAAAGAAGGTGGAGGAACACAGAGTGAAGTTCAAGGCTAGCTAGTAAACCCCTTAAATCAGCCCACTATGTAATGAAAGTCAGCCAAAGAGAAAGCTGCAGCACTTTTGAAGCAAACATAATCATACTAACAAAACAGAGAATTCTCCACAATACAACAACACTTGATGACCAAAATCTATTATTGCCGAACAAAGTACAAATACTGTATCAAATATTTTTGGATAAGAGTAATCATACTTTGCATTGTGTAGATTTAGACAAAAGCCTAAACTAGAGAAGGTGGAGGAACACAGAGCAAAGGCAGAACCAGAAAACCCCAGCAACTTCACCTTTCCATCGAACCTCCTGTATGCCTGAGGGGAAAAAAATTACACCATGAATCAATAGTTGAATCAAGAGCAGATCAAAGCATACACAGCATTTATATATAATATACAACCAGTGTTATTAAAGGCTCAAGGCGCACCAACGCACTAGAGGTCCTTTGGAGCTGAGGCGCGAGGCGTATAGCGAGGTGCGCCCCTGAGTGAAGTGAGGCGCATGATTGAAAATTTAAAAAACCACAAAAACATTCATATCTCATAAGTCATATCAATATTCTAACGATTAATATAAAATATAAAAAAGTAAGTCCATCAACTATACAAGTATCCAAGAGCACATTCTTGAAAGGCAAAACAAAATTTGTTTTTTTAAAACAAAATCTGTTATTTTGAGAGGCAAAACATAGCACGCACAGAAATAAACCTGTTACAAAAAATAAAAATAAAAAACTGTTAACAACAAAATAAAAGAAAAAACAGAGCCAAAAAAAAAAAAAAAAAGACGGATAGACAGAAGTAGACAAGAAGAGAGAGAAAGTGTTAAAGAAGAAAAGGAGAAAAAACAGAGCCCAAAAAAAAAAAAGACGAGAGAGAAGAGAACAAGACAGAGAGAGAGATGTAAACAAAGATGAGAAGAGAGGGGAGAGAAGTAGAGAAGAGAGGAGAATAATAAAGAACTAGCGTGGCTTCGATGTTCGTCTCTGCAACTAAGGCTTTGTCGTTCGTCTCACTCTCTTTCTCTATTCGGTTGACACTTTTGACACTTGGGCTTTCTGATTTGTTTATTCTTTTGAACAAAAGTTCCGTCGCTTGGGCTTTCTTATTTGTTTATCAAGTTGCCAAAAGTACCCTTTTTGGCTTAAGAAATAGAATAATCATTTTTTTAATAAAAAAAATAGTGAGGCGCGCCAGACAAATAGGATGAGGCACAACCGAGGCGCGCGCCTAGTAAACATTAGTGCGCCTAGGATGACAACAGGCGCTAGACCTGTGCCTCGCGCCTAGGCGCAAGCCTTAACAACACTGTCTACAACCATAAAACTTGGCACAGACACCATGCTTGTATAAAATACAAATAAGTGGAAGTCCAGTCTGGCCAAACATGAAATCCCGACATGTTGCTTGTCCCAAGAATGAAGGATCCATAAATAATAAAAATAAAAAATAGCCATTCATCAATAGATACATTTTGCCAGACATATTATTACTTAAAGTTGGGCACAACATGCAAAACAACATTATTAACCCCGAGAAAAGTATAAAACAAGCTATCATTTAAACTACTGAAGTGACATAGAAATTCCAACAACAGCACTCTACATCTTCTCCTCTAGGCTACAGAGGGACATCAATCATCGCAGGGATTCAGCAGGGAAAAAATAACAGAAATTAAGACAATTTTTTTACTAAATAAATGGTTTAGAAAAGACGCCATAATTTTATGCTGGTAACTGGTGATGAACTATTACCAATGCGAAAAGGAAAAAATGGCACACAAGCAGTTGCTACAAAATTCAGGTATATATTATTATTTTTTTAATTCATTGGGTAAGGTATGTAAGGCCTAAGAGATGTAAATAGACAAATGTCAAAGACATTCAACAACAGGTGCCTCTTGTATCACTTTGACAGTCTTCGGTAGGTTCTAATTACATGAGCTTCATATGGCGTGGTTTAGCCTATTTCCTAACCACTTGAGCTTATGGGACAAGGGTTGTCTTATGTCTAATGTGGTATCGGCTATTAAGATTTTGGAAGTTCTTGAGTTCAAGTCTTTCCATCTGCATTAGTTCTCCCCCTTTTTCCCCATTTTTTTAGCAACAAGAATAGCATCCTTATCCCACTCCTCCCATATAAGTGTCATGTCAGCATTTTTCCATTAAGCTGCAACAACTTTAACATGCTATATTTGTTCTCCATGTACGTGGGGTGACGGGAGGTGTGAAAGCTTCACATGCATTAATTGACCATTCACTAACATCTTAATTTTATGGAGCAAGAAGGTATTTAACTTAATGTGCATGATTCTGAAAATTTATCGATCTAGGCATGACATGACTCTTCAATCAGTCTTTGATAACCAGTGCTCGTATTCCATCGTGTCCCTCGCATAAGAAAGAGTTACTTCAAAAAATTGCCAGTAAGCACCATATTGTGATCACTAAATATCAATTGTGGCTTTCATGTATCTTGAAGATGTAACGAATAGTTTAGCAATGGCACAACCATATACAAATGGGAGGAGGTCCACAACCATAACTATTATTACATCTTTCCTTGAGATGGAGGATAACCTTTCATAATATCCATAGATATATCAAACCAGGGATGAGCTGAAACTGGCAGTGGCAGCAAGAGAACAGGAGTAGCCACTGTTTCCCGGCAAGTGTCACACCCTTGCACAACTCGCTTATTAGAATTTCCAAACAGTAGCATCTATTTCAAGAGTCTACAAAAGACCCATTACTTGTTAGAATTACGTAATTCATGCCAAAGCCAGAGGTACTTGTTGGACTGGCTATTTGATATGAGCAAGAAGCACATTACTAACTAAATTTCCTTGATTCGTGCCCAATCCAGAAACTCAATAAACCCAGCCATATAAACTATATGTGTGCATAACTGTGTGTACCAAAATCCATTATCCCAGTGCTGCCTATACGGGTTTAGGAATGTGGAGAAAAACCAAATCTTTGGTATTATTTTATAGGGAAAACTAGAAACAAATGCTTGCTGGACCAAAAAAATATTTGTAGGTGCCCCCAAATCTAGTTAAATCCACTCTCCCTAGGGATCGCAAGAGAGCTAAGAATCGTGTTATTCACCGAGGAGGAGATTTCACCAATAAAGAGATGGTAACTAATCAACTCACAGCCAAATTATTCAAACGAAGCATTAAAAAAACAAACAAATCAATGAATTGTGAAATTAAAAGAGAAATTCAGGGAACCCTAAAACGAAAAAGCAAATAATGAAGTACCTGAGTGAATGGATTGTTTCTATTTACAGTAACGATCGGCTTTCTTCTTGACACGATCATCAAGAGCGTCCTCGACGGTCTTGGAACTAAACTTGGGATCGTAACGGAATTTCTTGGCCTCGACCGGGAAAAGCTGTTCGTATTTCATCCGCTTTGCGGCGTCGATTGTGTAAACCATCTCTCCTCCTTCTCCTTTATCGGCGGCTGAACCCTCCTCGCCCCCACTGGCGGCGGCGACGACCTCGTCGGAGATAAATTCAGCGGCTTCGTCAGGTAAGTTTTCATTCTTCTTGGTCTTCTTCTTCTTCTTGTTGATGGATTTGGTGCGAGTGGCGAGAACGCCACCTTTAAAGGCCAGCCTCCCTGCTTTCGCTCTCTCATATGGGTCCGACATTCACAACCCTCTTCTCTCTCCCACTCCCCTTTGCTCTCTCTCTTGTCCTCAACCCTGGGGGAATCCTAGACGCCCTCTGTGTTCATAACTCAAGTTTTCCAGCCTTCCAAGCCAAACAAAAATTACCAATAAAATTTTGAAATAGATTAATACTGTAACAAATTAAAGGACAATAACATTTTACGAACGTTTCTCGGTTTTTATTTTTTTGTTTTGCAATATATTTTTGGAAGAAAACTAAACAATTCTTTTGAATTTGTTAAATAACAAAAAGGGCAATTTACACATTAGCACTTGCACCTAAGTTTGAGTTAAAAACAAGTAGAGATACAACTTTGGGCAAGTGGTAAATTGAATAAAGACACATGGATAAAAATATGTAATTGTCCTTTAATTTCTGAATTGACCTATTAAATTAAGGGTTAAATGTAAAAAAAAAAAATCTCATATATAAGGTTTGTGCAGAACTAGTTCATACTTTTTGAAAATGTGCATGTTAGTCTATAAAATTCAAAAAAATATGCAAATAAGCTCTTTTGACCACTTCTTGATAAAAACTAAATATGAAAACTTTGTAAATTTTTTTTTAAAATTCTTATCAATTCAATAGACACATAAAATAAAATTATAATTAAAATTAAAATTATGTTACGATAAACACAATGGGAATACCTTAAAGTGTGTGATTATGTGTGGGGACGGTGGTGGTGGTTTTGCAATAGGGATGGTGGTAGCTAGTTGTGCAACAGGGATAACTATATTGTTGATGGGTTTAGAGAGGAGAGAAATGGTTGTGGGCAGTGGCAGGAGGCGGCGACCATGGTGGGGAGGAAGTGGGAGGAGGCGGTGGCCATAGTGGGGAGAAGGCGGCATGGGCAGTGGGAAGAGGCAGCGGCCATGGTGAGGAGGAGGCGGCATAGGTGATTTTGGGATTTTTTTTTTTTTTTTTGATAAATAGTGCTACAGTGTCTCCTATATAGTAGGGGACTGTTTTGTTTCGGTTTTTATTATATTCAGTTTTAGGTTTATTTGGTTTAACTTATCCCAATTTTATACAAATTGAGATTTATTTTATTCTTGTTTCAAACAAACACAATTTTACACAAATTAGACAAAATGGTCATTTTACATGGCCTGTATTTATAGTTATTAATTTATTCAACTGAAGTGAGTGTATTATCGTCATTTTATACCACACAGAAACCTATTGCACCAAATTTATAGTATAAGGGTTTTATATCACACAATGACCTTTTTGCATTATATCAATAGTAAATGGCTCTTTTTTTGCACTTAACCCTTAAATTAAACTCCTTTTAATTGACCAGAATGACCATCATGAATGAAAAAACAAATAAAAGCCACAACCACCACTACTACTTTAAAACCTTGCCACTCCACAGCCCCTCCACCACCACTTCAGTATATAGTTTTCCATCATATTCACTACCTAAGAATCACCCTCCAAATTTTTAATCCTCAATTTATTCTAAAATCCATCCAATCTAAGTATTCAAACTAGGTCAATTGGTATTCTTGCATATATATATATGTCTTACTATTACATTAACAAAAAGAGCAAGTAGGAAGCCAAAGGTGGCGAGCAAGGAGGAAGCAAGGCCAGTCGGATACGACGAGCTTAGATGATGACAACGGTGATGCAATTGCCAGGCGATAATTAATTGAATAAAAGGATTTGCAGATTAATGGTGAGCAAAGATTGAACTTACCAAGGCTGGTGTCTAGCGATGTGCTCAACGATGAGGATGAAGTGAACTTATAAGCCAACTGTGGTAATGGCGGTGAAAGACGATTGTCAGAGAGCTCTTAACGCAGGTGATGCACTTATTGGCGAGTGTAGAGATTTTCTAGCTGTAGATACCTGATTTCTCGTGGGTCCTGGAAGAGTCAAAGAAGTCTGGGAATATACCACTCGGCAATGTGAAGAATGCAGAAGGGTAGAAAGAAGGGAAAGAAAATTAATCAAGAAAGAGAATTTGAGCAATGGTAGGGAAAAAGCTGCCATCAGTTTTTGCCCTCTTCTTTTGTCACTGCCTCTTTTTTATAGCCCTAGGTCATCCAGGTGGTACATTGTTGGACCTCTATCTTTAGAGTGGGCCAATTTGGGTCATGATGCCCTAATCCCTATATTTTTGGATCAACTGCCAAGTGTACCTTTCCTGTTGAATAATAAAAAAATGACAGGCTGTAAAGGCAATTGTACTATTCCAGCTGTCTTTTACTCTTATCCTCAAACTAGGTCTTGCCTTAGTGAGCAAGACATTACTAATTTTTCATCCTCCATTCCAAAACCCCTTCTACATCCCACTGTCACTCGAAGAGCCCTACCATAACTCTTCGTTGCTTTGATCAAGGTTCAAAGCCCATCAATCAATGGTTTACGGCTACATTGGTTCGAGGTTCAGGATATGTCGATCGTCAATAAGGTCAAATCGAGGTTTAAGGCCCGTCGATCGACAAATTGTGAAGGCCAGATCGAGGTTCAAGGCCCATGGACTGACTGTGAAGAGATTGGCTCGTAGTTCAAGGCCCGAGGTCCATCGACCGAATGTTGGGTCAAAATTTGAGGCCCAACGGTCGACTACTGCTCGCCTTGCTGAGGTGGATCTTGTCAAGGTGTTGACTGTTTGACTTGACCTCTGGTGACGTGGCTGAACCACATCCACACTAGCCAACTATTTTAGGCCCTCCGTTGGCGGCAACAAAGAAGACACAACCATACCCCGGGGATGACTTAGGCTTATGGTTAGTGATAGAGGCTGAAAATTACTCTTGTTTACTTCACCCAAAGGCTTGTCCTCATAAGATGGTGTTTGGTTCAACCATGACTTGAACTCATAAATTGAAGATCCCGAAATAAGAAGTGATTTGCCGACAACTAGCAACGACGATAGCAAGGCAGTGATGTGATTTGGACAGAGGTCGGAGGTGTGGATGGCGTTGGAGAATAAATGAAGGAGGAAAATATGGTGGCGATGGTGGTCAAGAAGTGGTCGCAGTGGCATATTGGTAAGTGAGGGAAGGGAGAGAAAGGGGAAAGGTGAGGGGAAATTGGTGGTAAAACTTTATGGTCTGCTTGATTTGTAATTCTGAAAATAGTTCTCAATAATTTAAAAATTAGAAAACTGTTACCAGAAAACAATCTTTTATAGTTTTTTGAAAATATGCATTTTTATAATTAAGTTTTTAGAAAATTGACCAAATCAAGCAAATAGAGTTTTTGTACTGTGTTTTGTTTTCAGTTAAACGAAAAGACCATAAAATTGTTTCCAAAGTTATAAATCAAGCAAGTCCTTACTATTTCATATGTTTAGAAATGTTAGAAGGGTAGTTTCATAATTTAAATTGGTTAATGCATAAGTTAAAGGATATTAATGACAATTTACACGGGTTTGTAGTGCTTTTATTAACTTTACCAAAATTAGGGGTTGTCATTGTCCAAACAATGTCAAAGTTGTAGTTAGGCATCTTTAACCCAAACCTCAGGGTTGTGAGTGTAAATTATCTTAATGAAAAAATTAAGTACAAATCATTTATATTTTGTTATTCCAAAATAAGTGTCTATTTATTTTTTTCCTCAAAAAATTATTGTTCTAATTAAAAAGTCTATCTATTATTTTTTTTTTTATAATATTATCAATTTTACCTTCTTACATTGAATATATAAAAATTAAACCATCACATCAATGTGAATTGTGAACTCACTCGAGTTAAATTAGGTAATTCATTCATTATTAATACAATAAAAAAATAATTAAAATCATCATCTTAGAAAGTTAGACTCCCAAAAAGAACAATTAAAACGAAGAAAGGGGGAGTATATATTAATTAAATGATATTAAATTAATTCAAAATTAAATGTCAAAATAACATTTTACATTTCCACGAAATTTCGTCATTCGAATGTTATGACAAACACAACGAACCCAAGATAGAATCAAAAATCACGACAGAAAGGTAAACAAACAACACAAAGAATACAAAACTTTATACGTGGTTCGGCAACATCATATGTTCACGGTTGGGATTCGGCGAAAGTTTTCACTACGTGTAAAATCGGAAATTATAAGTTTTCAACCCCACTCTGTTTCTGTACGAATTTCAAAGTCTTTCTCTTACACCACTTCAAACCCTAAACGCCCTTATGTATCGAATTGTAACAGATTATTTACCATCCACGTTCCAAGAGCAACAAATGGGTCAACAAATTTTCCTCGGGGGCTCTGACCTTTGGCGGCTACCGGCACCAAATTCAAATTACAATATCACAATGAAAAATAACTCCATTTTTGTTTGTTTGTTTTTTTTTTTTTTTTTTTTCTTTTATTTCCTTTCCTTTTTGGGCCATATTTTGAAACTCACAAATAAAAGAGCAAAGGTTTTGAAGCAAGTTTATAAAATATTTTAAAAAGTTAAGTGCATACCAGACATTGAGGATTAACTTTTTCTTCTTTACTATTTATGAAAAAAATTAATAATTAAAAATGACATAATATACCAAATTTATAATGAATCTACAAGTGTAACCTGTACAAACCAATCCAAATTCAATAATTTTCCATGAATTGTTGACTAAATTTACAAATTAATTTCAGTCGGATTGAGTTTTTAACTTTGTGATTGTGTTAAATAATTATGAATTCGAATTCAACTCATCCTATTAAAGGGTATGCATTTTTTTAATTTATATATTATTGTTGTCGAAAAAAGTGAGATGCCCACGATCATTAGATCCACTTTAGTTCATTTGTTTCATTGTTGTTTGTTTGGAGTGTCTATGGCAGATATCTTCCTTCTGTTAAGTGTATTTTAATGGCTTGCGGAAAAAAAAAAAATCTTATATGATATTAAGAGAGCGGATGAAATGGGAACGTAACAGGATAAACGGGCTACCCGCCCCGCCTCCGCGAGTCATAATTACTAAATTACCCTGCTGTATGTTAGCATATAAATTTATTAGGGTTTCGTACTTTATCCATTCAGTCTCAGAGGTCTCGGGTTTACTCTCTTACCTCAACCGCTCATCCCTTTCCGTTCTACTCCAGAGCTTGCCGAGGTAAATAAAAAATCCATCATATAGTCTCTCTATATATATACATATCGGTGATCTGATTGCAAGTGAGAATAGTTTCAGTTTCAGTATCAGTATCGGATGAGATCTGATAGTTCAACAAATAATGTTTTTGTTTTTCTTCTATTTTGTTTCGTGATAATTGATGGATGAGATATTAGGGTTTTACCTCTCCAGCCGCCATGTCATATGAACTCTATGAAGTAGGGTTTTTTCAGCATATAGATTCGTATTTATTTGTAAATGTTTCTGTATATATTTATGTATATTCTCGAATTTGGGGCTTTTGCTTTGTGTCTCGTTATTGTTTTGTCATCCTTTAGTGACGATTTTGCATAGAATCAGAAAATTCGAATCTGGGGTTTGGTTCAATGCGCTGTAGTGTTCTCATTTTAATTCTTATTATTAATTAAAGGGATGTCAAACATAAATGATTTGTTGTGTTAGATATTTGATAATATTTTCACTCCCATTAATCAAGCTATATTATTTCATTAGTTTGAATAGCAATGACGTGAATGCAAACACACATTATGTCTATGCATTTTAGAACCTGATTCACTGGTTATTTTTTGGTTTCATGACATATATATGTTTTGTATGGTTAAGTGTCTTCTTTATAGTTGGTGATTCTGGTATTTTAGAGGACTGTGAAGATTTGCATTATTTTTCATGTGATCTGCTTACCATTTTGTTTTGCAACAAGTTCTTTAATGATGAGTAGAGATGTTTCTCTATTTTCTTATTCATTGGCCATCTCCGTCCATTGCAGATGAATGTTGAGAAGCTCATGAAGATGGCCGGTGCAGTTCGCACTGGTGGAAAGGGTAGCATGAGAAGGTGTGTTTGTCTTGCTGCTTAATTCTGATCAGATTTACTGGATTTACTTGTCTAAGAATTGAACTCCTCTTAAGTTAATAATTTTTATTACATTCTAATCAAACTACCTTCAGAGTTGTATTAGCTAAAAAATTGCATGGGTAAATATTCAGTTGGTGTGGCATCACAAGATGTTAAAAATTAAGCAAGTTCTAACTCTTGAACAATTTGGTTTAAAGATGATCATAACATCATCATCAAAATGTTATGTTTTGATTGTTATTTCAAAATATGACCTTATATATAGAATATTTAGCAAGATTGCACAAGTAATAGGGATTTCATTATTTTAATAGATAGCTTTATAGCTGAATCATATGCTGAAAAACGTAATGGTCCAGTAAAAAATGCTTGATAATTTATAATTTGGTATCATGAGTAAATAGATTAACCATTGGGCTGGTTGGAGGCACGGGAGACTTGCATCTCTTGGATGTAGGTATTGGTGAAGTAACACTGATGTTGCCCAAACCAGAGAATTAAAATTTCAGGATTTGAATTAGCTGGTTGTTGTAGGTCCTACTAATTGGTATGCACCAAGTAGTTTTGATTGATTGAAAGCATACCTCTCCTGTGGAGTTAACTTATATGTTTGGCATCTCACCTCCTTAAATTTAGCTGCTTTTCCTTCTCGTGCTTAATTTCGTTAAGCGTATTACTCGTAACTGCAGAAAGAAGAAAGCCGTTCACAAGACAACCACCACAGATGACAAGAGACTTCAAAGCACCCTGAAGAGAATAGGGGTGAATGCCATTCCTGCAATTGAGGAAGTCAACATATTTAAAGATGATGTAGTTATCCAGTTTATTAATCCTAAAGGTAAACACCAGTTATTGCAGTAAACCATGTATTTTCAGTCACACCCTTCTGCTTGCTCATCTTAGGCAACTGATAACTTATTTTTCTGTCATGTATCAGTTCAAGCCTCTATTGCTGCCAACACTTGGGTCGTTAGTGGTTCTCCTCAGACCAAGAGTATGCTTTCTCCTTATTCTCATCTGCTTTATAATTTATTGCTTGTGTACATAAATTGTGTCTGCTGCGCATCTGGGTTTGGTTATTAAATTCATTATATTTACAGCAAAATTCAAATGATAAAACTGTGAATGTTGGTTTTGGGTCATTTAACTTATATTGTATCTCAGCTGTTGTTTCAATATGCACGTTCTGTCATCAGCTGTTGGTTTAAGGTGGGGCAGGCCAGTCAATTTGTTGTCCTAGACCCATTCCATCATTTCTACTAGTTTTAGATTAGTCTAACTAGTGATTTAATATTACCTCGAATTTTCTTCTGTTCCAGAATTGCAAGATATTCTTCCTGGAATTATTAATCAATTGGGTATGTGCCTGTCTTGTTATTTTTTGTGTCCATTTATTTCCCTTCACCGAAAAGATTGGTTAAATATTTAACTTTTTCTTTCATCTTTTTAGGACCTGATAACTTGGACAACTTGAGGAAGCTGGCAGAGCAGTTCCAAAAGCAGGCACCAGGTTCCGGAGCAGGTGCGGCCGCGGCAGCAGCACAAGCGGATGATGATGATGAGGTCCCAGAGCTTGTGGCTGGGGAGACCTTTGAAGCCGCTGCAGAGGAGGGGAACAAGTCTTAGGGAGTTTTAGCTGGATTGTTATTCCTTATATTTCTGATGTTTTTTAAGGTATATTTCTGATGTTGAGTTATTTACTGGTTCCATTCTCTGTTGCCCATCTAGAAGTGTACTCCATCATTGCTGGTGATAGGGAGACTTGTATTAAATATCACTGCTCTAATCACTTTGGTATCATTAGGTCTGCAATGGGCTTACAATGGCTTCTCTGTCCGCAGTTGAGTCTGTGGGACAAAAAATAGCTTTTAAGTGCAACACCGGAAGTTTTTTGGAACGCTTCTAATACGTTTGATAATGGATCCTGAATTTATTTTTATCGACATTAACTTGTGCCCGGCTCACAAGTTGGTATACATTGTAGGGAACAACACAGTTCCCTCTCTCTCTCTACCCCTCTACATAATATATATACATATATATATATATGAAGTTTTTCTTTTTGATTTTGCTTGTCTCTCAACATTTGCTGTTTTCTGAACTTGATTTTGATAGTTAAGTGAGAATCTACCAAAATATGGACATGGCATTTTTTTATGAATGGTGGAATTGACTAAGGTCGGACAAGGCAAGTTTTACCAGCGCTTGGCAAAAGTGCCAAAATGACCCCGTTTTGTCTTCTTGTCTGAAGGTCACGTAGAATAAATCTAATTGCCAAAAAAAAAAAAAAAAAAATGAAATGGTTTATTTTGGTCATATTTCAAGATTGAGCAAATTGCATATGGGACTATGATACTTAATTCATTTTTGTAAATGGGGAATACGAACTGAAGTTCTATTGTTTTAGTTTCTCAAAATTTGGATAGGCTCATAATACCAATCCCCAATTTGATCTTTGAACAAAGAAAAATAAAATAAAATTTTGAGGCTTTAACCGGGCATGCGGGATTCTTCTCCAAGACCCTGTGAGCAATTTTGTATTGAACTTTTTGTTCTAAACTTATGCTACTAATGTGGTAGCAGTGATGACAAATGTCACTTGGCCTCTCTCCGCCTAATCTGTTATTTATGTAAAATACAAATCAGTGTAGGTTTTCACTCTTAATTTTTTTTTTTTTTGTAGATGACCAATTAAAAGCAGTATATTGGGTGTAAAAATCATTTTCTCAAGCACACAACACACACAATGTGTGCTTACCTTCATTCTTCGGTTCACCCCCAAATGTATCTCACCACTTTTCTTAACATGTTTCTAAATTACATTTCCAAAAAAAAAAAAATGAAAAAAAAAAAAATGTTCCTAAATTACTATGATTCAGAATAATTGATGGGGCATGTCTCTTACAAGAATTTTGCAATGTGCAATGCTTCACACATTTTTAATTTTCTAACACATGATATGTGTGGTGGGTTGGGTTCAGCCAAAACAAGCACTGCTTCCTCAACCTAGATTGAGATTATTTGTAATATTCCAACAATTATCTTTCTGTCTTTCTTCTTCTTCTTCTCTCTCTCTTGTTTTTTTTTTTTTTTTCACCTTTGCAAACTACTCGACCACATTTTGTCTTGGGTAGATACAATTAGGTTATAACACAAATCAAACTGTTTTTACAACAATGTGTTGTACAAATCAAAGTTCATGTTGTGTGGTTTTATGGTACTGTTTTTACAAGAGGTGCACCTGCAAAATACAACAAGGGTCCAAACACTAGATTCTGCATTAGCCTCTTATTTCCGACCATATATTCATGCATTATGTATTCTCAATTTCTCACACAAATCACGTCCTAAATATAATTATTTTTATAACATGTGTGTGCACCTAGTTTATTTTTTACTCACTTCGAATTTGGATTTGGGATTAATTCTCGATTTTTTTTTTGACATGCTCAAAATTTCATAGACTTAAAATTCTAATCATAAATTTTAATATCCCTAACCTCTTAATTCCTTTAAACATCATGATCTGTATAAGGAGTGCTAGGCGCTAGGGCGACTGTACACTCGCTTTCATCACTGATGTTGAGTTGAGGAGGATTGATTTTCAACTAATCACTGCAACTATTGTGATTTTAATCTTTTCATTTTTTCACTTTTTTATTTTTTGCCAATTATTTTTATTAATTGAAAATCAATCACTCCATATCTCAAGCGTCTAGAGCCACCACGTTGCTGGCAACCCCTCTATCATTCCGTACATACAAGCTTTTTTTTTTTTTTGGATGGTCGAATTCTGACCTCTTATTTGTAAGAAATTATGCATTGCAACTGTTATAACAATAGTGTGGTACAATGGACGACTACAAACTAGACCTGTTAATGGATTGAATTTTAATATAAATTCGATCTGATAATTCAGATATGAATTGAAGATTTAATTCGATAACTCGTTAAATATTCGAATCCGATAATCTATTAGCTAAACAAATCGAATATGGATTATGGTCAATTCGATACGATAACAATTCAATCCGAAATAATATATTATATAATACATTAAAATATATAATCTAATTTTATGATATATAATTTATGAAAAAAAATATATACGATATATAATATTTTTTATATTATAAAAAATTCTTATCATCATTTTGTCCTTTCCTTCTTTACTCACTCTATTTTTTTTTTTTTTTCTTATTCCCAATTTTTTATACTTTAACAATAAGTAAAACATCCAATTTTCTTTTTTCATAATTTTATTTAACTTTGTTTTTTATTATTTTTATTCTCTTTTGACATTAAATTTTTTTTTTTAAAAAAAGAAGTACACACACCCTTATCGGATCGAACCAGATTATCCGATCGGATATCCGTTTATTAACAAATCAGTTATGGATTGATTCATAAAATATCCGTCAAATTATCGAATCAGATCGAGTATATCCTTATCGGGTTCGGATCGGATCATCAGTGTTTAGGTCTGAATTCAACCCTTATACAGGTCTACTACAAACACTACACCAAAGCACATATATCAACTTTTTGGTTCTATTGTAAGTCCATTTTGCTTTGGTAAAGTGTTTGTAGCCAAGTATGGATTTGTGAAGGGCTTAGTAGGGGCATCCGCCCCCACTAAAATTTTTTATTATTGCATTTTAGACCCCTAAATTTATATTTTTTTGCATTTATATCCATAAAATTTTGAAATTGCCGCCATTAAAATTATGAAAAAAACTCCTCTATATAAATTTGCCCCCCCCTCATATGAATTCCTGGATACGTCTCTATTTGTAGCCATCTATCATACCATGCCATTGTTGCAACGATTGTAATAAATAATTTCTCGCCTTGGGGATGCCAAGTTTGTACGAGTTGGACCATTGCCCATTTAATAACGTATGTTGTGTTGTATTGAATAAAGTTACTAATCATTCAGACTTAATTAGGGTATACTTGTGTTATATTCTTAAAGATTTTTTTTTTTTAATCATCTTAAAGATTTGACATGTTAGGATATATAAGTCAATTCAAATTAAATGGGTTGAGTTCCTAAAGTCAAATAAGACTTGTTTATTCTAAAAGATTAGTAAACTAATACAATTATGACATAAACATTATTAATGTCAATCTAAATAAGTTAATTTTTTGTTATATTCACAGATTGTTTCAAATTTTGCCGCTGGACCTCTTTCTTCCCAACTCGGTAGAAGGACAAATCTGAGATGTGATCATTTGAAGTATACTATTACTTATATTACATGCATTTTTGTATTTTTTTTATTTTATGTACAAGGGTACATACTATGATTTGTCGTATTATTCAATACGCGACGTAATGGTCGGTACGTAATCTTTTTTCAAGTTTGATATATGATTCATATTGGTCAATTTATACTGACTTTATCCTAATTTGTTACACTGCAATCATAAACAATACTGTGAACCATGATACATACAACATGACATGTTTGTAATTATAGAATATGTTTCTTACACATACTTAAATTAGATAGTACAAAAAGATCTCTAAGTTAACTTTTTTTTTTTCTTCACCACGTTACTTTAATTTAAAATTTTACTAAGTATACTTATAAGAACAATCATGTCATACAAAATTTATAGAACATATAATGTGTTTATATTTTAAAAACAGGTATATTTATACCCAAGTTTATTTGATATTTAGAAAGAGTTCATGTAACTGTGGGCATTTTTTTTCTTTAGTATTATGGAATTTAGCAATTTTATAGGAATATAATACAATATTACTTATTAGATTGCAAAAGTGTGCAGGCTATGTGCTGTGCAGTAGGCTTGTAGCCTACTAGGCACGTTTTCCGAACAGAGAATTTGTTGTCCCACATCGGCTAGGGGTGAAAATATTTGCACTTAATATACGTTTTGGTCCACAGGTGACTAGCGTCCCTTCGGGGACATCCGATAAAATTGGAACGATACAGAGAAGATTAGCATGGCCCCTGCGCAAGGATGACACGCACAAATCGAGAAATGTCCAAATTTTTTTTTCCCTTTTTTGCCCCAAATCCTTGGCATATGCTTTTACAAAAACACCCTCCTAATTCATCAAATTCCCACAGTACCCCTACTTCCTTCCACGTGTCTTATCATCCGCTTTGAGACTCACCAGAGGCTTACCGTGGACCTCCCTCTGCAACTCCCAACTTTCTGCTTCATCTCTGCGTTCTCCTAGCAATTTGTCTACCCTTCTCTCTCTCTCTCTCTCTCCTTCCTCTTGTGTGTGTGTGTGTGTATATATATAATAGATATATGTGATAATGTGTATATATTTAATCCATCAATTATTGTTATGGTGATTGTTGAGGCAACAATTCTAACCCTCGAAACCAAGGTGAGTCATCTCTTCCGTTTTCACTATCTATCAGGTTATCTCCATATTTGTGATTGATTTGTCTTTTTCTGCTGTTGTTATCGTTACACTTTTGGGGTTAGGGTTAGGGTTCGTTCTATGTTTCAATTCAGAACCAGTTTTTGCTTCAATAAATGTTTTTGCTTCTCTTTTATTAGTAGTAACATCACTAATTGTGGTTCTCATGCCATTAGCAATTCTTTGTTCATTATTTTATTTGCTTCCCCTATCCCTTTGTTTGGCAATTTTTGTGTATTTCTGTGTATGATGTATCTATCTGTTCACATGTAATTGTTGTATCTTTGTCCTTTAATTGGTTTCTTTAATTCACCAAAAATTTAAATGCCAACAATAACAGTATTTGCTTAATTTCTATGATATTTAGGATGCCTCCCAAACAATAGAAGCTAGGCTAATTTTTTTTTGATAAGTGAAGCTAGGCTAATTATATTACTAAAACAGAAGTTATCATTGCTATCTTTTTTTCCTTGTTTATCCATTGCTTCATTCTTTGTTCATTCAGATAACACTTCCTTGATTTTTCATGCCATCTC